AGGTGTTCTCATTCTTCTCATTCATTCCTCCGCCTTCGATTCCAGAATTATTACAAAAATAGTAAAGTCAGCCAAAGTTTCGTTCCTTCCTTCCGGGAATTTGGTCCATTTCATTCCCTCCGATGGCAACGTTTTAACTCGGCATAAAATAAAATGTTTTTTGTGCATTTAATCCAAAACTCCTCAGTTTTCTTTGCATCTCTAACCCGTATTCGATGTAGCATTCATTTTGAGACTTCGTCTTTCAACTCGAGGGCAGGCTTTGAATACGATCAGATTAAAATAAGCTTTGATATGGAAATTCCGTGAATATTTATTTCCTTTCTGGAACATAAAGTATTGGCGGAAGACGTGAAGAATGTTCCTCCATCATCAACTTGTACGGCTCACTTTTGAAATCAAATGCCATCATTTTTCTTCAAAGTTTTGTGAATTGGTATTTATGATGATGATGGATGAGAAAGTGCACTTTTGCGAGTCAATTAACAGTGCATCAACTTTGTGGTAGGAGTTAAACGTCGAAATTGAAAATGTACTATGGTTAATATATTTTATGGACGATGAAGATATGCTGGATTACAGAGTTCTGTTGGGAACTCGGCGTTGACGCCCAACATGCTCAATTTTATTAGTTCAAGTGAAGCACAAATGCCGCAGGTCACACCCACCCATCTCCTCCAGAAGTAGAACATATAGCGACACATTTCACCCTCCTCGCTTCTTGTATATTTCAATCTGATTTATGAAATTTACACGTCGACTTTTTTTTCTGGCGAATCGAAAAGCGTCGAAAAGCCTGGATAACTTCTTCTTTTCCAGGACAAGTTGAAGTGGTTGAGTTTGTGCGTGGCCGTGATACTACAGCCCGCCCCGATTTATTTATTGTCCTCAAGATTCAGAGGTAACTTTGAGGCTGAGTGGATACTCTAACTCAACTGGAGAGGGTGGGCATGATTAAGAGCGGAGTCAGTTCAAGGGGACAAAACACCACCTTCCTTTTGCATCCTGCTCAAGGTTGATGCACATTATTATATCGGCGGAAGACGAGAATTTGTGTGACAGCAGGGGCGAAGAATATCTTATTTTGCAGCTACTTCTCGTGCAAATTTGAGGCAGGATAAAATGGGAACTGCTCCATGGCTGGTGGCTCACTAATGGACCCATTTATCACGTCACTACACTGCCAGAGTTGGAATTAAGAGGCATTATTATCATGCTATTAATTCATCCCAAACTTTATACGAGTAGCGACGGAGAAGAAGAAGAAGATCGAGCTGTCATTTAGAGAAAGTTTCTTTACTACTTTCTCCTCCGTCTTTCTTCAACCATGATGATTTCCATTTGTGAAAAAGTTTTCTGGTTGCAGATTCAAAATCAAAGTGTCGTTGTCTGCTTTGCGATGGTCGTATCGCCGTCAAAAAGTTTTGTAGTTTCAATGTCGAGTCTAAATTCGGGGACAGAAAGAGGAGAATGAAACGCACATTTTTTCGACCTTTCTCAACTTTTAGGCAATTGGCTGGATGATGAGCGTGACCTTGTCATCTCGTAAAAAAAGAGATGGGACTGTGTGTGGACGGACACACAATTTCTGGAAAAGTTATAGCCATCGGCCACCCACTCGGTCAACCATGTCCAAAACTCTGTCATAGTTTACCTTTAGATTGCTGGCGACGAGAAGTTAGTTCAGGTCGGGACAACGAGACCATCTGTTACCGAAGAGTCGTCCGTTAAGGGCTCCCAGTCCAAGTGCCTACATAAACCCTCAACTGACTAACTAACTCTTGCTTGGTGGTGGCCTTGTTGTCAATAGTTTAAGGGGAACGCGGAGTCCACAATTTCTGCCCAACTTTACCCAGCTCGTAAACAGTGGAGAGAAGTTCAAGGAGAGTGTAATAAGTACGAAATAAAGTGATAAGTGGGGAAAACTTTCTCCCAGTCGTCGTCTGGCTTAAAGGGAAAAGTGGTTAATAATAAATTTGCAAATTCTATAATCTCCTTCTTCAAGGGAAGTGTGTAATAAACTGGCTAAATTTTTGTGACAGTTGCGTAATGAAAGGAAGCGAAAGTTATTACGTGGGACGTTCAGTAGTTTTAATAATAGAATTATTAAAAGCCTTATGCAATCCAAGCAGTCACTTTTCTCGGGGGGAATTATTATCCATCAATTTTATCCACGGCGGGGTTGATGTGTATAATTTCGAGTTAATTTTCCAGCCAGAAACTTTTCTTTGGTGAAATTTACGAGATCAAATCAAAATCATCGTGTCGGACGAGAAGAATCTCGCAGTTTTCCCATCTGGACACTTTTGACCCACCAGGGTATGTACATGTGTATGCCCACTTGTTTATGTAGCCTGTGTCACGTATTATGTACGAGTAGCGTCATCAATTTTTAAAATCTCATCGTCACAGGCTGTGACGATGAGCACTTTTCAATGTGATACACACATATAGAATCTCATGCTTCCTCTCGTCGCAATGTTGACTTGAAATTGAAAGGCTGTATGGTATGTATGTATGTACATGCACATGTGCTATGTAAGTTTTGTACTTAACGTGATCCACTTTTAGTTGTAACTTTCAGCTCTAAAATCTGTATACAATTCCATTCAACGGGAAATCCCACTCATCTCCATCTTTTCTAAATGCCTGTAAAGACATGTGTGACGATAATGTAACACAACGATATGAGTAAAATTATGTGCAAAGTTTTTTACCAGAATGTACTTACAAGTGCTGACACACTGTTATTTTATTGTATAATATACAGAGAGAGAACATCCTCCACAAGAATAAAATAGCGCTAGTTTCCCACAAGGAAAAAATAGTGGCCAACTCTCGGAAGTAGTTGATTGAACGAACAAATGAGGAAACCTCAATTGAAAAAGTTGTACGGATGTGTTCAATCTTCTTAAAGATGGAGATTGATGCGTACATTCCAGCCGAACATTGATTCCCTCAAACAAATGGGCCGTCATAGGATTGAAGCAAAAGTATAGATTTCACTTAAAGGAAGGAGAGAAGCAGCAAAATGTGGAGAGCTTTTCTTTCCTCCTTGTCGACGAATTTTCTACGACATGCCGTCTCGAACATACATATGTACGAGACGACCGATTGGGCTGTGTTTCGCATGTCTTTCTTATATCATGCCTGGCTTACTTAACCATTCAAATCAACCCACCGACATGCGACATCAACCATAAAAATGCAGTCATAAAACCATATTTTTGTACCAGCCAACCTGGTTTTTATATCCGAACCTATTTACATACATGCCTCACTTTTTTACCACCACTACCACCACTTGTGAGTTATTCTAGCTATGCAAAACTACCCGGAAAGGAAGAAAACACGCTAGACGAACGTGATATTTTCTCCAAGTGTGTAACCATGTTTGTTTGTTGCCCCAGTTTATAGCCACATCATCATCGTAGTCGTCGTCGTCAGAAAACAAGAGCAGCACCAATTGGATTTTCACGATATAAATGTACGAAACGAATCGCTGATTGCTTGCCATTATTGTGCGTATTTTGCTCCAGAATATTCCTTTCTTCTTGAACTTGTTACTTGTAACGGGTTCTGGTTTAGTTTGTGGTGGGTGGACGAAACTCATGAAAAATGCATGAACCAAAGAAAAATAGGAAACCAGACCAGACCAGAAACCCCGATGGTCGGTTCTTCTTCCGTGTAAATAAAATGCAAACTTGAGTCTGCCATCTCCTCCTCCTCCTCCTTAAACTGATAAACTGGGGAAGGAAAGAAAACAATTTACAATTTAAAGCATCCCGACCCGATCGTGTGTGCATACATGAGAAATATTTCCTATAATCGACCTCCCAGAGAGACAAAGTAGTGCAGAAAATCTGCTGCATTGCGACTTCATGTTGGTTGGCATTAACAAATCGATTCGCTTGGCTCGTCGACTATGAGCTATATTTCCTCATCCATCCATCCATCCAGCCAGCTCGTCCTCCTTGGGGGCACGAGACCAGACCAGAGAGAGAGTCGGATTCGAGCCAGTTTAAACATTTTATTTACACTCATTAAAACTCGGTTTATTGCTCATGCATTCCTCATCTCGCTATTTCTGCACTTTTATCCCCTCATATCGTCATGTATATTTCATTCATTTGATGAGGCCACGAGTTGAGTTTGTGACATTATAGTATGTAATAAATCATGGTAGACAAAATTTGTCGAAACAGCAAAACTTGTCATTTCCCTGGTAGTAGTAGGATCATTTAGTGAGACTTACTTTGTTCCATTTTCTGTGAAAGCTTTCTGTTCACCCTCTCTCGAAATGAGAGGGAAGTGACTGATTATCCTTCCTCGTTTCCTCCTTTGTCAATGTTGTCGCCATGCATCACACCGGAGTGGACAATGGGCAGTGTGGGTGGGTGCTGGTGTAATATTGCATTTTGCTGCAATCTTGTCCCTCCCGAAAATCGACAAGTTCTCACAAAGTGATACATTGGAAGCTAGTTGAGTGAGACACTCTCAGATTTTTTTTTCGAATCGGTAGGTGCATGACACTTACGATTTCCCAAATGATACGACGAGCGAAAAAATCACTGGTGTTCGGAAGAACTGATGTTTTATTGATGACTTGTGTCCTATAACGCACCCTGTTCCCTCCTGCCACTCACTCTTCTCAGCTCCGTTATACAAGTAGGATTTTCATTTTGACAGCCAGTTTCTGCCTCTCCTTGGGATGATTCAATTTGTGTTGGGAAAGGTTGTTCTCGCGAAGAACAACCTTTTCCTTTTTGTAAAATTAGATGAGTGTCAGACCAGGAGAGCGAGAGAGAGAGATGAATTATTCCAGGAAACAGAACAACTTTTGGGACATAGTAGAACGAACGCGAAAATCCGATTCAGATCCCTGTTTTAAAGAATCGTAGGAGGAAGTGATGGAATCTTTGATTTAATTTTTTTTCTGGCAAGTGCCTCACTTCTAGTGTAAACATGAGTAAGAAAAAAATCTGTTTGTCTTATTTCAGGTTACGAGACGAGAAGGAGGACCTATTTTCTGACAAACTTTACAAAACCGTGTTATTTATTGGATTACTCAACCAAATCCGTCGTTATTTTTCAACCTTCACCTTATCAATGTACTGTATTGTTCGGGACAGAGTAATAAATTGAATTCTAGTCAGATGACGAATTATTACTGACCGTAAAGTCTGCCAACAATAGGAGAAACCTGGACCGAGAACGGAACGGAACAACAAACACTTTTTCTATTTTTTTTCGGGGAGGAATACAAGAGAATAAAATAAATAAATAAGTAAGGTCACTTTTTTTCCATCTCTCAGACTCTGTCAGTTAGAAAGACCTAAATTCACTCTCTTTCAAGTGGTAGTGTTGAATAACTATCAAGTCCAGAAATCCTGTACGGTGGGTAAACAACCACAAAAGAGATTGAAAAGTAAAAAAAGGTGCTGAAAAGAAGGCAATTTTTGACCATCACTCGACTTCAGTCAGAAGAAAAGAAACTTATCAAATTTTGTGGTCTTGAGTGAGTGAGTGAAAGTCGAGTGAAAAAATCTACCCATCTCCACCCGAGAAAAAAAGTGAGGTGATGAGTGAAACAAGATATCTTCTCACATTATTGCTTTCGCTGCCCTTCTACCCGTCCAATTTGGCTTGGAGAAGAGGAAAGAAGTGATATTTGATCCAAATAACCCAAACAACAGAGAACAAAACGAAGAGAAGAATATCATCTGTGAGGCACAGTAAGGAAGATGGATTACATCAGGGAGTTCGACATTCGCCTCGAGAAAGAGATGTATTATGCCGGAGAAACTATGTCGGGCGTTGTGGTGTTAGATACTTCGGAGAATTTTAAAGTTAAAGGTGAGTAAGGGCAGGAGTCAATTGTTTAAGTCGGAATAAATAACTTTTACCTTCTCGATATTTCTTGTATACAAAATATCCTTTCTTTTTTCCTCCGAGAGTAAGTGAGTGGATCGTATTTCGCTTATTTTTTTTCGCAAAACCCTCCACCTCCACTTTCTCTCACTCCTCTTGCCGTCTCATCTTTTATGATCCCAAGCTATTCTCTCTTGAGAGAAAGGTTCAAGACCTGTGTGGATGGACACGTAAGTAGGTTTAGCGTTCCAGTCTGCAAACTTTGCGTAGGCATGAATGTGATGCGATGCAAGAAGAAGACGGCGGCGACGACGACCCAGAATAAATTCCCCAATGGCAACTTTACTTATTATAAGCACGACTGTCTGGACGGATGTATGAATGAATGGGTGAATGAAACAATGAATATTGCATGCAGTACGGTGAATGTGCACAGATTAGGCGCTGTTTTTCCAGGCACAAATCTACTTGTTGTTTGTTCTTGGCATGTCTCGATTTCACTTTCAACAAATATTTTGCGAAACGAAAGGAAAGCTTAGTATTTCCATTTCCACAAATAAGCGAATTGATCATCATCACCGCTGCGGGCTGGGATGAAGAAATGATATCTTGCAAACTTTACCAATTCGGATCAAGTCTATAAAAAAATTGGGGGAGAATATTTTCTTCATCTTTCAAGTTGATGGGATGATGCGAAATTGAATTCGTAATGGAAATTCCCACGTCTTCGTTATGTAATTCGTGCTTTGGACAAAAAATTCCATCTTTTTTAACACCGCATAATTTTTAGAAGTTTCCAAAATATTGTATATAAAAAAATAAGTTTTGTTCTCTTTTATTTCCCATCAGCAATACGCGTCCTTTTACGTGGCAAGGCACACACGGAGTGGAAAGTGATGGTAAGTGGGGACCGGAGGACGGTAAAAGATGACCAATATTTCATCGACGATCGTTGCGTGATTTGGGGAAAAGGTGAGAAATACACATAATTTTCTAGTGTAAATATTCAATTTGTGCAAGTTTATGTAACACAGGTAAACATGTTGCATAACGTGAAGCTCTTAACTACTGTTTGAATTAGTTATTGAGCATAATAACCCGTGATGGAGGCGACGCAGTATTTTATTTATACGGTACACATAGACAGACAGGTATAATTTGCTTTCATATTAATTCGAGCACGCGTCTGTAATACAGAAATGTACATATTCATCACAAGATATGCACGTAGCCAGGTTTCGGAACTACTTAGCTAACATTCCAATGTACGTATTTAGCAATAGGCATGTCTATCTATCTGCCTGAGCGATGGAATGATCTCGCCTCCAGCCATCATAACTGGAGAAGATTACCCGCATATCCCAACCGAATAACTTTCTCTTCCTGTGAAGTATGTAAGTTGCCTTGTGTTACAAAATTGAGCCAGGCAGCAGCACCAGCAGGGATTACTTACATAGCGTCATCTTGCCCATAATAAGATGGAGGAAGTGTAGACGAAATTTCGCAAACTTTCACCCACACACAAAAATACGAATATGTATAGTTAGTAATTAGGCTGATTTATTCCACCTAATTTATCACGATCATATGCACAGCGCCGTAAGTGGTAGCGTTTAGCAGCACAAATGGCTCCATTAACAGATTAAAAACTAATTATGCAGATTAAAACGCACAATCAGTAGTTTAATTCCTACGTGATGGAGGAGGTGGTGGGACGGAAAGGAGGAAGAAACAAGTTGTTGGAATGTTGCACAGTTGGTTGACTATATATGCCGAAGGAAATATGTTCTTATGTAGAAGCCGTTGGGAATACCTATAATTTTTTAAGTGAATCTGGAAATGTACACAAGTTTAAGGATATAAGTTCCTTGCCAAATTTCTCCACGTCCTCATTTACATAATACACTCCCCACGATTAGGACAGGAAGTCTGTTATGTCATCCGCTCTCTCCTTCCTAAAGTGAAAGTGATCAACAAACGCAACCAAATTCAATAAAGTTATGAGACAACAGAATATTATTATCCGGAATAGAAATGTCTCTTAAACAAACGGAATCAGTTTTCGAATGCAAATCTAATAATGAATGCAACTATGAACTCATCTGTTTTCCACTCGGTTGGCCATGTGAATTAAATTCGCATCACATTTGGATAATGTCGAGGAGAAAGTCCTAAACTAAGGGGAATCATTTACTTACTTACTTGATGTATTCTAATGGTTGGCGTGTAGACAAATCCCACCCACCCAGTCGGGAGGAAGAAGGGTGGGTGTCGTCTGAAATGGTTACCAGAAATGTGTGGCATACCATTTAGATGCATAGTCCAAGTAGTCGAACCACTTTTAGTACAAACGGAGGTAGTAGAAACCAGCCATTCTTTTTATTCAAGTATAAAACCCTCCTAAATGCATCCTGTCCTTCTTCTTCTTACGGGGATAAAATAGAGGAGCGAGATAAGATGGCGTGATGAGAGGGAGCGTAAATAGCCATCTTTTTATTATTATTATCTCCACTTGGAGAAAAATTCTGGGTATTTGCACCAGAATTTGCAAATACCGGAATTTGTAGCTGTTTTCTTAGCAGGTATTTTTATATTTTCTGCATTTTTTCTCTCCAACACTATTTATTTATTCACCTGGGATTTGCTGATACATTTTTTAGATCAACTCCAACCAGACACATTTTGCATACATAAATACTGCGATTCGGGTTTGAAAATGGTTGAAAATCAAATGTGAATATTTTCTCGAAATGTTTGCTCTTCATGTTGATTATTTATTTTGTTTGGTTGTTATCTTTCAGAGAAAGGAGAAGGAAATGTCCCAATTCTACCCCGAGGAACGCACCAATTTCCGTTCCGTTTCCAAATTCCGGAAAGTTCGCTCCCATGTTCGTTCGAATCTCGAGCAGGCACAATCCGCTACTACCTCAAAGTAAGTGGTTTTTGGTATAATTCTCCATTCCGCATTGTACCGGGGTGCCAATTCATCACCTAATCTACGCCAGCACACAGCACTCTGACTGAATATTATCGTTCCCACCATTCTGGCAAGATTACCGCTTTTCAATCCCTCTAGGTAAACAAATCTCGAATAAATATCCAACCCCATCTCGACAGATATGTTCCTATACGCAAACATGTTGAAAGTTTCCCAAGATTTTTATCCGGAAATAGTTGTATCCCATGAAAAATGAGGTATTTATAAAAGCAAAAATTTGCATATGTATGTATATCCTACGAATTTCCTGTTAGACTAGATAAATTGCACACACAATGCGAAGGATAGAATTAATGAGGGAAAATTCGATCCAACTGAAAACGCAAGTTTGCCCAAACTTTTAAACATCCGTGTTCGTCAATGAGATTTCTGGAACAATTTTTGGCCTCGTTAGTGCTAATTTGTCGGACCCTTTCTTCTAAGAAGTCATTAGAGTACAGCAGATACTTGACTCCCGTAAATGTGAGAGGGCATCATCACGAGCGTCATCAATTCTTGAACTAATTCTGTTTTGTCATCATTAACTATTGTACGAGGAGGACGACGAAAGTAAGTATTGACGACACGGAGGAAGGGATCCAGTTGGCTTACTGCAAGAGTGACAATTATGTAGTTGGAGAAAGTGGGTGCCAATAAGGCCTGACGATATATCAAATTTATGTGGCAGTTATGTGATGATGACGTCGCCAGAATATTCTCCTGCGCCACGGTCTTAATTAGATTGTCGAATTATATAAAATCTACGTCGCACTTTTTAAAGTTTTCCCATCAAGGTTGAGCTCTATGTATGTAATTAATGTAGGATCGATCCTCGAGGACTATGTATTTGGTCCCTCTGCGTGTGGTTATCTAGTTGATTGGGCTGCGGTTTGCTGAATTTGTCTCTTGTGTCATTTCAGGTCACGGTGGACATTCCCTACGCTTCCCCACCTCAGGGAATGAAGTATTTTACGGTCATTGGGCCTCATCTTGACTGCATGGATTACTTGGTAAGCCAGACAGAGAATCGGAGGACGACTACGTATAAATTTTCTCATTTGGAATGGAACTTAGCTGGTGGGACTACTGGTTTCTCACGTTCATTTAGCAACTTGTGTAACTAATTGGTCCTTGCAAAGGTACAGATTTGCGTCAAACTCGATTTCTCGATGGGTACTTTGTCTTGGTCAGGAGACAGACAACGCAGGACAAAGTTGGTCAAGAGGCAGAACGAAATTACAACGATTCGAAACATGCTAATACTCACCCGTAGAAATTATGTCCTCTAATTTTAGCGTAGATATGTAGTGACGATTCTCTACAGCCGATCTCTCTCTCTCCGCCTTCTGTCCCTCCCAATTTAATTTCGTCCCATTCCAAACTGCTGGTCGGATGATTAATCATAGCAGCAGCAGCAGAATTCCTGACTGATTCCAGTCCAAGTCCAAGTGGAGGAATTTCTCAGCCTGTGAGCTGCATTCCTTCCTCGCACTCTCTCTTCCAATATATATAAATAACAAGTTAATTAATTAGACATGATGGATGTGATGAAAATTGCCAATTTATCTTTTGTTCGATCCTCCATCCTTTCCGCTCCTCTGACCACGATCGGTCTTCCCATTTTCAGTGCGAATCTCGTCCGGGTTCAACAATCAACTTTCACTTTCTCCCCACATTCAATTGGATTCATGGAGAAAAGGAGTAGAACTTGAGTTACTGAGTTTGCTTTACTGGTTGGGTTGCATCCCATTATGTTCAGTTCATCATCATCATCAAGGATGGGACATATCCTGGCCTGTGTGTGATACCACCACTTCGTCCCAAGGAGAAAGCAAGTTATACTTCATTTCAGTCAACACTTCTCTCTCGTCGTTCAGCTCCAATTCCATTTCATCTCATTCCATTCCATTTGCCTGGAACTGGAGCTGGGTGCAAAGTTTCTAAACTACTCGCAACCCTAAATTCACATTCAGTTATATTATAAAGAGAATAATGATGGATAGAAATTGCGTCATTTTTGACAAGATGTATGTAATTCCGAGATAACATTCGTTTAAAAAATGAGCAACAAACTGCCACTTAAAGAGAAGTAGTCGTCATTATTCGAGAATTGTGAGATGATGATGAACACGTCGTGCTCACTCGAGCAAATCGTTGTCGTCGTCTTTCTTTGGGTCGTTGAGTTTTGAAAAGTTGTTCTTTGTTCAAACTCAATTTCTCGGCGATTGAGAAATAGAACGGACTGCGAGTTGTTGGTCCGGGCAAATGCTTCTGTCCGGTGATATATTTTAACCAAACTGCTGACGTGACTTGGCTGCACTTGTTTTGCTTGGAGGGTCGAACTCAATGTACTTTTTTCAACTAAATGTACTTCTTTCTTCGAGGTTTCTCAAGTAAACTGTGTGTGGTTCCCTGCATGCATTTGTTCATGCATGTTTGGATGGTTTAGTTTAGTGCGGTGGAGGAGAAAACTCTTATCTTGTCAAAATTATTGGTGATTCAACTGCCCACCCAACCGGACATTGGGTAATAGTGCTGGTGACTTTGTCCATTCGTTCTATTTCAGGAGTTTGGTCACAACTTATTGGTCCATCGTCGAGTAGTGAGGACTTTCACATTTGTGAGAATATTATCGCAATAATGACTTCATTAATTACGAGATGACTCGAACAGCTAACAAAATATCTGCCTGTAATCGAATCTGATCGATTTTAAGTACATATTTTTCGATCAAAAATTCTCGCCACAATTTGTCTTTATTTCTTGAGAAATTCTTACGAAACCGAGATTGTGAGAGGATCAGGATGAGAATATTTTTTCCCACAAAAAATAAAACATCCTCTCGAGACAAATGTCATAGAAGGGGGGAAAGAATGGAGGAAAAACAAAGAGGAAAAGGAGAGTGACAACCAAACCAATATTGTGATTGAGGGAGAAAAAGTAGGAGAAAGGGATTGTAAGGCTAAAAGCTCATGCAAGTGATCAAGTCCCTCCAGTCCATCTACTCCTTGCGTAATCTCTCCAAGTTTTAGTTATCCGATGGCTTTCACTTCCATCAGCCCAGATTCCACTCTCTCTTTCTCTCCGCTGACCTCTTCCCCTCACTAAGAATTACCCACCCATGACTGACTTTCATACTTTCACCCATCAACTATTATATCCCACCGCTGGACAGCGATTCTGTATCCACTTCGCAAAGTTTGTATAGCTCGTCATCATCCAGAATGACGCCATATAGACGAACAGTCAGTCAAACGGGTATAAAAAAAAGTAGAGACACACTTTTATCCATGGTCTGGTTGAGAATTAAAGTGCTACTGCTGTTTCTGAGGATGGATCGCAGTTTGATTTGATGGTTTCTCTACAGAATTGGTTTTGGTGTCAGGCAGGCATACCACTATTTTGAAAGGAGAGAGAGAGAGATAGTCGAGAAAGGTGGCAGTAATAATAATGGCTGGGTGAAAATTGATTTCCTAGAAATGAAGACTGTTGGGTCACACATTCTCGAGAGAAAAAGCGACCTTATCAAAACTTGAAAACTGTTATTCTTACAGACAATGCACTTTACTTTATTTTTTTAAACGACAATTCACACAACTGTTCCCCCCTTCCGGCAGACAAGGCGAACAGCAGTGGAGATTGAGTAAGAAAAGAAAACACGTATCTTTTTGACTCGGAGATGTTTAGTTACATACATATAGCTGTCAAAGTCAGAGAAAGGATGACAGAAATTCCCAGCAGGAAGTTTTGTGTCGCTTTTCACAAAATGACAAAAGATATGGATGACAAAAGGGGATGTGTATAAGGCAATAGTTTCCCACCTGGAGTTACCTGTCACGATTTCTTCCCCCATTTCGCAATGCCACTTACATTACAAAACGATCCGACTTAAAATTAATATTTAATTCTTGTAGCGCCCAACGAGAGGAGAAACCCGGCGGAGAAGATGCTGCCTGTGCTGCGAGAGTGGGAAAGTCTCGCTCAAAACGGATTTAGAAAGGTCGGCCTACGTTTGCGGTGAGAGTTTACGTGTCCGGGCCGACATTGATAACCAGAGTGAGGAGGAAGTTCGCCTCAAGCTACGCCTGGTGCAGGTAACCGAAATATTTTAAGGATTTAATCCGGGCATAGATACTTTTTAGTCGTACATATTCCTTAAAATGTCCGAACTTAATACCTCGTCGTCCTTGACCGTGGTAATAAAAAATGGGAGGAAATCTCGTTGAAACCGTGTACCTACATGGCGCATCCGTAAACTGAAATGATGACATCACTACTGAAACAAATGGGGGAATTGTTTCTGCAAACTTTGAAAAGTAGAATCCATTCTGTTTCTCGGAATGTTCTCACATGATCACATAAAAGTGAAATAAAACGTCTCATTTAAGTCCGAGGAGGGGGGTGCGATTACCTTCATCCTTGTGCAGCTCGGGCAGAACGACCACCATTATTTCCTCTTCATGCTCCTCACATACAACATATAATAATATCGTCTTGGGCATATGTACATACGTACGTTTGAAACACAGCCGTTAGTTCAAGTTCAATGCGACGAATGGAATCTAATAATAATAATATCGGAATGCGAGTTCAGTGAACAAGGAGCGAGCCGTATTTTGATAGCTTTTATGTCTTTCTCCATCCAAAAGTTTCACTGGAAAGAAAGAAAAGCAGTAATGGCCCACATTTCTCCAGTCCATGGAGTACTAACTAGTTGCGCAATTGGTGGGGCGTAGGATTTTAATATCGCTTAAGTAACTGACGAGGATATGACGAATGTGTACTTTAAAACTTGAGGGATAGATATGCAGTTAAGTGAGATTATTGGGCATTGTAAAATTGCTAGTGCCAGAGTTATGTAGTAGTCCACTTACCTTATTGTAATATTGGTAGTAAAATCCCTTGCTGGAATTGTGATTGGGTTTTGGATCATTTTTGCAATTTTTCAAAAATTCTTATTTTTTCAGTATTTGGAGTACTACATCGACCGAGGAGTCCTTGGCGTGGAGAAGGAAGGGTCCAACACGATTCTCGAGTATCGCGGTGCCCCGGTCGCACCCAGATCGAGGATAAAATGGGATTCGCAGCAGAACTTGGTCGTCCCCACGATGCCTCCCACAATGCTCGGCGTCTGTCGCCTTATCCAAATCTACTACGTCTTGAAGGTATTGCATCATATTAAAATTATGTATTGCTCAAATATTTCACAAGGTGCTTGTTTTACGAGGGTAAAAAATTTATCAGGTTTTCTACACATAAATTATTTCTAATCCTGTCGAGTAAGTAGCTCGATGCAAATGCTAATGTCAACCTCGTCCTATTTGACGAGAATAAGTTTGACTTAACTTTGACGAACACGGATTCAGCTAAATTTTCTCTTTTTATATCTCCGAGGAAAGTGGAGGAGACTGAGGAGTTAAGTGTAGATGTAGACGGTGCGTCTACAATGACAGGTAGCGGCTGGCTGGTCTGCATCCTAATGTGGGCACGACTTTCTTTGACAAGCTTTTAGAATTTTTCCCTCAAGAATAATTAACTTGGTTGTTAGCCGAGTCCAAGTCTTATTACTCTCCTGCTCCGGCTAGTTAACATACTTGGCGAAATTGGATGTGGTGAAAGCACCGCAAGAATTTTAATGGCGACCTTGTAAATAAATATGTATTTAGCAGGGAGGAGCTATAAATAGTTTTATCTGACGAAGTCCACTACTTGACTGACTGGCTTAATTCATATTTTTGGTCTCACAGACAGACAGCCATATGTTGGTCCTAATGTTTTTTGACTGACGTCGATTATTACGAAAGTTTGATTCGATTTCGAGTCTGGTGTCATCGTATTTAAGAATTTTACGATGTGCTAAAGACGATAAAGGTCTGGCAGACGGTGTATATTTACTACTTGTCTAGTTACTATTACTCTCACCTATTCATCGCCCCCCACCCACACGAGATTTTCATGACCATGCACAACTAGCCCAGTGTGCTTTCACTGAATGAGGTTAATCCCTCCAACCAACAATGTGAAATTTACACTATTCTCAGTCAGCGTGGGTAGCGAGTTTCGTTGGTTAATTGTCTGTTAGCCAGACTTGCTTTCCCATAAATTAAACCTGAATAACTTACCATCAATATGTACACAGTTACATAGAAAAGGAGCTCTTTGTTTCGTTTTGTGTATATCACGACGCAAATGACGGGGTTTAATTACTTATTTGACTCATAGTCGGCCGAAGAGACGACGGAATATAGAATAATGAGAACAAAATCAACATTTGACTTGATTCTTGGCGACATGTTATTAAACCCGAATTTGGATGGAGAGAGAGCGACATTCGACTCGTTTGTGAAACCTTTCTCTTTCCATCAAATCTCAAGTTTTCCTTGGCATTGTTTGTCTCTCTCTCTCTGTTGTGTTTACTCGCTTTGTTTCAATTTCACTTTTCATCTCTATTTCATTTCATCTTTCCAGCTTACTTCATTTATTGAGAGGAAATGGCATGACCTTTTCATAAATAAGTAGACGACCAAGTTTGGTTCAGTGATTCGAAACTAAATTGTATTTAGATACATAACAAGTTTTTCGCCATATCATATTGTTACGTGAACTGAGGAAAAGAATGATGGAGAAAGTGAAGTGTGGAGAAGCGTGTATGTCATCGTTGATTGTGAATATGGATGAATAGACATTGTGTTTTCCTTCCTTGTTCATCACTCTTGCTTATTCGTGTCCCTTTGTTTGTCCTCTTGACAGGTGAACGTCGAGCTGGAAAAGTCCGGAGAAGGTAGGAACGAAGAGCTTATTTTTATTCAGACCAGTCAAGAGTGACATGTATGTACGTATCTACTTATGTATTTTACATGATTTTTCCCTTGCAGACCTCCACATGCACTTTCCCATCACGATTGCAACCGTGCCGTTTCGAATTCCCAATTCCAACCAAACGCCTATCATCACTTACGGTGAGTCGAGAGAAAAAGAACAAAGGATGAATAATAATACGTGTCTGTGTTCCATTGGGATTGATAGCATTGGTGATTCATGAAATGTCAAATGTTATATCACAAATATTCAATTCAGTCTGAGTGAGTGTTGTATTCCCTTCGAAATTCAAGGCTATATGCATGTGAATCCATGTACGACACGTTTTGTCACCTTTCTCGCTAAAAAAACAACCTTGATAAAGACCCCGAATTTCGTGGTTACTCGATGTGAACATTAGTGGAAATTTGATTATTTTTAGTGCACCACTTTCCATTCGTGATTCAATTGAACCAAACCTATAACTAGTTTAACATCCCAATTCCTGTTTTCCTGTGCTTTCACCTTTTAAGCACTTTACTAGATTTTCCTACATACACTTTCCTCCAGTTAGAAAGCGGCACATGTAATTTTACACGACATCAATTTGACTCAACCGCATAACTTGATTAATTTCCATAAAGTGAATACAAATCGGTACAAAATTTGAGTAAGTTGTCCTTCAAACTAGGCCGGTGGGAATATGTACGTAGGAGGACGCCGTTCTAGCCTCGCGTGTGTAGAAAAGTCAAGTCTCTCTCTTCAAGGGTTACATTTTTCTTTGTCAAGTTCCCCAACAAAAAAAAACGGATGTGATGTAATATTTCTTTCGTGCTTGGCCTTCTTCTTTTGCTCAGAGGAAGAAAAAAGTTTACTTTTCTGTAATCTGCCATGCATGTCCCACTCCGTTCTTCTTCTTGCACCCCCCGTTTTTTGTGTGCAAGTTGATAAATTATACATAACTTTGAACTTTGTGCATAGGCATTTCATAAATCCTAAAAAAAGACTTTGACAAAAAATGCACAAAACAAACAAATCTTGTGTAGGAACATATCTACCTTGAAAAAATATAGGGTATCCGTTTTTACGATTTTTATATTAATTTATGAAAACAGCTTTCACTTTTCAATTATGCATGACTGCATACAACTTGGCGAAGAATGGGTAATGTGTGTGGAGAAGGAAACTTTCATCATCATGAGAATTCTTTGGGAAAAGGAGAGTTTGGTTTGGAATTAGAAAAAAAGATAACCGCCGCGTGACTTATTCGATACACATTCTTTTTTGGGAAGAATTTTTAATTTAAAATTCTGAATGGAACCGTCACGCAACAAAGTTTGGTTGAGAATTTGAATCGGATAAACCGTTTTCACTTTCTTTTTTTTTCCTACTTAAGAACTTTTGTTGGGAGAAGACGCACCCTAATTTATTCCACTCATTGTTATTTCAGAGGTGGCCTGCGACCATGCCGAGGGAGGGATGTACATTGGCCCTGAGTTTCTCCTTGGTCAAGTTTACGATGGGACGTCGGAATCTGGAGAGTCGATCGTCCTCTATAGGTACGTATGCACGTAGTTATGCATGCATGGATTCATGGGTGGGGTGGAGGGATAATTTGATGCAGACTCAATTTTTTAATGGTTATTCTGCCCAATCACAGACCCATCTACCCCACGGTGAAGTCGGGGAAAGGAATGCTCAATAACACGACGACGAGCATTAATAATTCCATACAATCTCAGCCCCAGTCTTCCGCCGCCTCTACTCCCAACGCGACCAAAGGATTAAAAGTTGATGTCTCTAAAGACTTTGCTTCAATCCTGCAAAACCAGCAACCACTAGTACATCAACCACCGAACAAACCTGGAACTTCCTCCGCAGCAGGAGCATCTACAGCTTCGAATAATAAAAGTAGCACTAGTGGCATTACAAGTCCTTCGTCAAATTCAAATTTAATTAGCGCAACACCAACACAAGGCACTACCACCATCACGGATGTTACTGCTGCATCGGAAGTAGGAAGGTCGTCGTTGTCGTCAATTCCCATCGGTGGTGGTGGTGGTGATGGTACTGTTGAGAGCAGCAGCAGTAGTCGTGGTGGTCAATCTACAAATAAATCTTTGAAGAAAGACCCATGCTCCAGCTCAAGCCTTGCGTCCGTAATTTTGCCCACAGTCCATAAAAGTGGCAAGCCTGCTGCCGAAGAAGGCAAGTTACCACCAAATTCTTCGTCTTTAGCGGAAACCAACAATTTTGCGACTACGACAAACACTGGTCCATCCGGTAGCTCGAATAAACGGACGAGAAAGTTGAATCCCATGCTGAGTTCGAGCAGTACGAGCAGCAGCGGGGCCCATGTGAGTTTCGATACGGCGGAATCTGGCCTGGTTGGAGAAGGCGGACCCTCCACATCTGCATCCATGTCAAAAAAGTTATCCAAAGCTTCGTCGTCGTCAACAAGTTTGAATAGCGCGAGTAAGTCCAAGAGCAGGGAGGTAGCAGCCAAAATAGTGTCAGAGTCAGGGTCTGGTAGCTCTGAAGTAAAATGTGCTGCAGTTGACATTACCGTCGTGTCCAAAATTGGGAAGGATGACACCCTTGCCAAAAGCACGAAGGAGGGGGCCGTGTTCCCTGGGAAAGTTGTCAAATTAGAAGCTTCCACTATTGGTGGCACAACTATTGGCAGTAATAGCGAACATTACGCAACCACAAGTATGGAAAAAGTGCCGAATCCTGAAACATCATCATGAGTGGGGAAAGCAGGGGCGGAAAAAAGCACAAAAAAGTAAATGCATTCTCCTTTCGTCGAGCAAGCCAAACTTTTTTCCAGTCGACTTGCACACTAACTTGACATGATTCGTTTATTGATATGATGATATTACGTAGTAAAAGTAATAATATATAAGAGTATAGCGCAACATTGGCAATCACAGCTTGTGCAAAAAAGTATATATACATCTTCCACATATACCGATTTTGATGAGCTGTTTTGGACATTTATGATAAAAATGGTACATAAATCATAGGTTTAAATAAAGTATGGATTACACATGCTCTCTCATTTTTGTGTCCTCGTAACCAGCTCACTTTTCGAGATTACTGTAAGATTACGATATCAAAGGAGTGGATATAATGAAGGTGCTCTCTTCTAAATAGTTGTAACGAGTGGGTGAATCAAATGCAAAAATTCTCACTAATTTACAATAAATAAATTAGTAGTCAGAAACTTTCACCAATTTGAGTACCTGATCGTCGGCTGATTGATACATAAAAGATATTTTAATCCCGTCTCGATTGTGCGAGACCTCGTTAAGTAAATAAGTTTCCAAATGAGCTGGAGGCAAATTAATACGTAGGCATAATAATTACACTAATAATGCTACTAAATCCGTAATAAGTTATACTTATGGACGAGTAGTTTGTACAGCTTGTATATGCTGTGATTTGATTTTCATACGTACATATTTACACAAAATAACCAACCATGTGAAATAATTATATCCCGATATCAATCAATTCCCAGACTTGTAATTGGATTTTGCAGCAACGAGAAAATTTAATTTATTACTTAATTTACTTACTTCTCCCAATCAAGCTTGCCAATCCAGTCAGCCATTCATGATTCATTGTTAAATATGGACACACATATGGGCATCAATTGCAGCGTCGCGTACAAGGGGGCTTGATTGCATTGAAATTATACACCATTGATTCCTCTTTATGTTGTGAATGTAATTTATGAAAATTATACAGATTTTATAATACACACTTAAGAAATGGTGGTGATGATGATGAGTAATAAATTGGAGAGAGAATAATAATAATACGTGTTCAATTGTGTACGGATAACTTGCAGGCATACATAAACAATCCATCTCATTAGGAGAGAAAGAGAAGCCAAAATAACTATTTTGCTCTCATTTTGACGAGATGAGAAGTCGAATTAGGTGAAAATTATTCAATGACGACGATGAAAGTCAAGTGAAAGTTGAAACTATGCACGTTTTATACATGGTACAAACACAAGAGCGAATGAAACTCGCCCACCACACCGAGAAGTCTATGCATCAGTCAGAGGAGTAATAATCATAAAGGGAGGAGAAAAGTACATAAGTAGGCAAATGAAGATGAGATTTCAAAGGTAAGTAATGTGAAACGTGGTTCAATTTTGAACTCTCCTTCCTGTGGAATTGTTCGTCGTCGTCAACCTGGCCTTGTCACATGACGTCCTTGTTTGTGGTCACGCTCAGTTTCCACTTTTGGCTTAGACGACATCATCATCATGATCCCATCGTAGCGAACAACAAGTTTGCTTTGAAGTCGAGCTTATCATATCACCCGTAACGTGAATGACAAGATGAGAATAGCTCCTCTACAAAAGCCAACCAAACCCAAAACCAGCCACATACACGGAGGACGGAAAGAGAGAGAGAAAGAAATTAAAATTTCGAGAGAGCCTTCTTTGAGATACTTGCAACAAGGATGATGATGAGTCGAGAAAGTCAACCTTTCACTTTCTCCGTCTTTGTTTCTTCCTCTTCCCTTTCATGATTTTCATGAGGTTGGCTGATGCTGCTGCTGCTATTTAACCATAGGATCCACCCAGCTATATATGTGTATCCTCCCCTATATATCCTCTTATCCAGTTGGATATGTGTGCTCTATGCCACAGTTCTTGGAGAACGGAGAGGAACTTTCCAAATAAAATCTGGCTATGTACCCGTCAGTCCAGAGATTTTATTTGATGATGGGGAAATAATGCCTACTTTTTGTTTGAACCGTCGTCGGAAAAAAGTATGGGATGAAATGAATAAAGAAGCTTATCATAATTTTTTGAAGGAGAAGGGTGAACGACGCATATATCAAAAAACTCTGACGTACTTACATGCATTACATTACGTAAAAATTATTACAAAGTCTAGACAATTTCTTTTGAGAAACTTGATGAAATATCAAAATTGAGGCAGCAATTCCAATTAAATTTCTTTGAGCAGACTGCTCCTTGTTTAGTGGGGCATCGGCCTTTTATAATTAGTTTGGCGCATGAATGGACTGGACGAACGGTAAATCCGTTTCCTGTTGGGAACCATGAATTCGGTTGGAATGCAGCAGGTCTTTACTGGCCTGGTCTCCCTCTCTCTTTGGGCTGAAAGTGAAAGTGGGAAAGGCAAAGACGAGAAGAATGTAGAACAAAGCCTATTTTATTGCAAAAAGACCATCGTTCCAGGAAATAAGGCTGAATGAACAATGCACAGAGACAGAGAACAGTGCCCCTGTGTCTGGTGGTTGTTGTACCCAGGATATTCCCTTGGTGGAAACATTACAGAAGAGTATCAACCAACCAAACAAACCACATTGTCTTTTTGGGACTTTGTGCATGTGTGAGTTTATTATTCCAATCTTTCATTTAGTGCTTTCATTTTATTTGTAGTGCAAAAAGATGCAAGAAGCGGAATGGTTCTATATGCAATTTCTATAAAGAAAATGTGACCAAGTCGTGATCATGTCATCACCTCAAACTCGTTACCATTGACAGAATAATACCGTTTTTCAAATTATGACTACGAAGCAGATAATGCAATTGTAGAGCAAAATGAGAAAAGAGAAATATGAAAAGACTGTGTACAAGAATGTCGTCTGTACATAATGTTTGTGAAATTGAACTTATTATTGAACGCATGGTGGATTTGCACTAATTTAAATTTAATTTTCTAAAGTTAAAGTTTTTGATATAAAAACTAAATTGGTCGTGACTCAGTCTATTTTACTTCACTCGTCTTCGCTACTAGTTGACCCATAATCACAAGATATAAGGGACAGTCCTCCAGACGCAGCACCATTTGTCAAACTTGTTGGAAGTTCATTTGAGATATCAACAACGATACTATTCAAATTATTCTGAACGATAACGTTATCGTTTTCTAACGTTGTTACTGGAGGAGGTGATAATGCTGAATCCGACGACATTGAAGAGCTTTGAGACGGTGAAGGGGAGGATGGGACTGACACATTTTCAGACTTTATTCTTCGAACAAGATTGATTCCAAGACTTGATCTCTGCTTGTCCAGCAGCTTCACCCTGGTGGGATTAAAATTGTCTACTTTTGTGGTGGTGAAACTAGGAAAGAGTGGATCATCCGGCTCCGTCTTAATTTTGGTCTCGGATGAATCATTTGTGGACGCAGTTTCAGCCGATGATGGGAGTGGAAAGGGGAAGCTACACTTTTGATCTATTTCCAAGCGTTTTCTTTTCTGTCTTTCCTCGATGCCTACAAGAGAATCGTTTATGGTTAATTGTTAAATATGTAATTACGCAACAATAAAAAATATCTTTATTGCTTGACATACTTTGGGAGGGCTGTAGCCTAATGAGGGACGCAATTTTAGCATCCTCTTCAGATTCCTCTAGTAATGGGATGTTTAGCGACCGTTTTCTCAAGAACTCATTGTCCTTGTCTTCACTAACCTTGATTTCTTTCTTTCTCGTCTAAAGTAAACCCCAAAATTGAAGTTATGTTCAAATAAAAATCAATATTACAAAATTTTAGCCTTACCCTAAAAATATCTCGCAATGCTTTATTCGCTGAGTAATCATCCTTCATCCGTTCTTGTAAATCTTCCAGTTTCCCTATCGTCGGAGCCACGGATTTCAACTTGCTTTGGTCATCCACTCCATGTTGTAATCTTAATTGATGAAAACCATCGAACATGACATTAACAATTCCCATTTTGCAAAGACGTATTTGTAAACATACTTGAACATTGCATCGTCCGCGAGTTGTCGAATAACTCGCTTATCGTCTGGAACAACCTGACCATTTTCCGTCGGATCCCAACGATTTTCTTGCCTTCGTCCTCCACTTACAATTACATAGTCCAAATTCTGTGTAATGAACAATTTTAAAATTGATCGTAAAGCACGTTCTTCATTCTTTATTGCTCAATTAATTAATGTGCCGTACCCCTGGGTCCGTTTTCATCTCAATGTAATTATCGCACAGGTGACACTTCATCCGAAACTGGTAAACTGGTGTGGAATAATACATTCCAATTTTGGTTTTCTCTGCATTATATCTGAAAATCAGACCATCCGGTCATTTATTATCTCTATTTAATTGGCAAATGAGTGAATTCCACTGTTCATTTATTTAATCATAATTAAGTCATTCATTATTACCTAACCCCCATCCCGATGTGATTCTTACAACCATCGCACCACATGTTGTACGGCATTTCGAAACGGATGATAAGGATTCCGAGGTGGAGTTTCCTCGCCCTTTCGCGAAGGGCATGTGTTCCAAGGAAGGCATTGAGGCCCCCCTTTTTCGGATCGTAGTCCGGTGGGTAGTATTTGTTGGTTCCTTTACGTTCTCCCTAAATAATAATATATTTGTCAAGTTAGTTAACTAGTATTTAATTTAGAGGATAGCTTTTTAATTTCATCTTTTTGGTGAATTTCTGGCCACGGATTGGCTACCAATTTGGTAATTAGCTAATAAATCCACCCCCTGATACAATTATTTGTGCTTACCATGATGGATTCTTATTGCTTCAACTTCTTTTTAAATTATTTAAAATAGGCAATGTAAAAAACAAACGTTTAGTTTCAATTTGTTTAGTTTTAGTAACACAGACTGCAAAACTTCGATGGTGATACTGATGATGATTTCCTACGATAAATTTTAGTTGAAATTGGCGAGTAATTAATTAACTATAATGACAATTTAAAAAAATCAACATTGAACTTGCCACATGTGACATGCCAGACGATTTGTTTTGTGTCTACGAATGAATGAATTGTAATGAGAGCGGGACTACAGCTGGGCGAAAATGTGAAATGAGATTCGCAATTTGATTTTATTTAGTTGTAGTAAAGTTAAAAATCTTAATTATATAAATAGCGTAATTAAGATTTAGATTCTTAAGAATATTACGCTGTGAAGTGAAAGTCAGGCTACTTTTGAAAGAATTTAAACAAACTGGTAAGTTTTTTTTGCGAATATTTATATTTATTGCCTCGGTTTGAAATTTTCAATAGGTCAATCCTAATTATTATCTTTTATAGACATGAAGGAAGAAGGGCAGCAAGCCAAATCTGCCGCAAGTGGGGGCGACGGACTAGGGCAGGTCGAAGGTCAACGCCAAGTTTATGACACGATCATGACAGAAATTGGAGCCATCGCAATGGAAGTCTTGGTCGTTGAAAACAAAGATATTTACGAGAACAAGAAGGTCGTGCTTCCAAAAGTGGAGATCCTGAACACTAGAGCACAACAAAATCAGTCATCTGAAGAAATGATTATAGGAATTGACACCGATCCTCCGGATGCATCATCGGCGAAGAAAACGCCTCAAAACAAGCAAACAGTATTCCCTCAAAGTATTGCTGCCGCAGTTAAATTAAAAAAACGTGCTGCGTCTAAAAATGTCCAGAAGATCATTCAGAAACAACTCTTGTCTCATACCAAGATGGATTTACCATCCACTACGACTGATGACAACCAGGAATTTAACAAAGACAACCAAATTGACGCAAGCCAAGAAACAGCATTAGTAAAAGATGAATGTCGTGACGATCCAGACATCAATGAAGAAAACTTGGGAGAAGAAGTCTTTCCCAATGACAGGTGTGCAAATTGTCTACTAATATTTGACGAGACGGATGCAAAGTTGTCACGAATCAGAATGGAAACGTCAGACCTCTCAATACTGGAAGCACTTTATTCCGTTTTTCGAATACCCACCAATAATTCTCGTGACGGCGTCAGTAGTGAAGAACATGTATTGTTTTGTGATACTTGTATCAATCTTTTATCATCATTGTATTCAACATTCCAAGAGTTTATGGCGTTAGCAAAAGAGGGTTCATTTATTAAGATCACATTAAAAAATCTGGACGAAGAAATGGTTCAATTGAGACGGAAAGGGAGGAGGAAACCAAAGAATCCAAGAAAACCAGAACCATCTCCGGAACCACCTGAAGAATGGTTTGATGATGAAGATGATGATGAACTCAGCAGCACAGATGAGGACTTTCTAGCGTCTCTATCTGATTTGAATGACTCGGATACCAATTCAAGTTCGGATGACGAATACGACTGTAATATTTATCACAAGAATTCTAATTAATGAGTTAATGACGATGTGAAAATTGTTTATTTCTTTCACATAGATCACTCTCAAAAGAAAAGGAAGCAACCAAAGTCAAAGAAACTAAAAGTGCCGTCCAAAAGCGACATGGATAACCAACTCGCGAATATTGGTGGCCAAGGTATGCATTTGTAAATATTATTTTTAAACATGTCAATCCTGAATTAATTACTCTGAAAATAATGCAGGCTCCATCGCGTCCAACAGCAAAAAGACTCGGAAGAAGACGAGGCGATACATATTCGAAAAAGTTACCTACACTTGCAACATTTGTGAAAATACATTTAAACGACCTAGAGAATTACGTCGACATTTGCGGGATCATCGTAATAATGCAATAATCGCCAATAATGTTCAATCCTTACCCGACGTAATTGGTGATGAAGGGACGATCCCAGGAAACATAACAGAAGATCATTCATTCTACAAATGTCCTTGCTGCCAGGAAGATTTCGATTCGTCAATTTCCCTTTCACTCCATCAACTACAAGAACATGGCGACGATAAAGAAGAACAGCATTTACCCTCATGTTTAAAGTGTGAAAAAACCTTTAGCGACCCAAGTTCTTTGCAACAACACCATGAAATGGTTCATCGAGTAGCTATCGCCAAAGTTGACGAGCCATACAAGTGCTCGAAATGTAACATGTCGTTTCGACGGGCGGACGTGTTCAATGTTCATTGGAATGAACATGCAAGTAGCTCACAATTGGAAAAGAGAATCAAAGCCAAGCGTAAACGACACCTTATTACATGCAAAGTTTGTGGAAAAATATTTGCTCGTGAAGACCAATTCACTCAGCATTTAAGGGTATATAATATGTTTGTTGAAAAACTATTTTAAATGATTCATTAATTAATGCAAGTCTTATGAATGTAGGTACATACAGGTGAAAAACCTTTCTCGTGCAAAATTTGTGGGAAGGCTTTTACTGACCGTCGTGGCTTAGCTTATCATGCACTAACTCACAGTGATACTAGAAATTACTGTTGCACCATTTGTGGAATGCGATTTAAACGTCTCCATCACCTAAACGATCATGAAAACAATCACAGAGAAAACATAGTACGTCCCTTCTCTTGCGTAACGTGTAAAAAGACTTTCAAGTATAAAAAACATTTGGTAAGTGAGAATTATCATTGTAATTGATTTCTTACTTAACTTATATTAATTAAATTGAGTTAAATAATATTGATTTCGTCCTGTGTTTTAATTCAGAATACGCATCTCATAACTCATGGAACCGTGAATAAACATCTGTGTAAAATTTGTGATAAAAAGTTCACTAGGTATTAATTTTTATTTTTGCCGAATTATATATTTTTAGCCAGAGCCAGCGATCGAACGGTTTATCCGATGGACTTGAAAATGTCTAAAAAATAACTGATTTCACTTACATATTCACGAAATTGAGTAAAAGTCTCTTACTAATCCTAAGATAAGAGAAAAGTTACTGGCTCGGGCTAAATCTTGTCATGTTGTGTAGGTTTTATTATTTGAATATGAAATCTTTTTCATATAGGAAAGATAACCTTCGTCAACACGTGAGAAATGTACATGGAAGAGATCCCAAAGAAGTGGACTCCACTACCACCAACGAACAAATGGTTGAAAAAGTAACGATAATGACCACGACCAGTGACACGGTGCTCATCAAAGCTGTTGAATCCGTCACAAGTACCACCGTCCCTGATACCATCGCTCACACGACTTCTATCCCCGTTCCCATCATTGTTCCACCCACCACAAATACTACCATTGCGGGAGAGATTCAATTGGAAAACGTACCTTTGGAACATGTCGTTTACATTAGCTTGTAGTGTTTAAGAATATATGTGAGATGTGTTTTTATGAATTTGACTGATGTGAGAACATGTCTTATGCAGATGCATATGATATATTTTTGTAATTTTCGATATGAAGTGTTGTCCAGTTTATGGCCGTCTGTACAACAGCAAGAAATAAATGTTTGCATTTGTGTCCCGATTTTTGGTGATGCAAATTTATGCAAAAACACAAAGGTGTAAAAGGTTGTAAATGTTCAGTTATGTGTGTTTTAGAATTTATTAACATGTCATTATACCTCATAAAGTTTTAAAATGTATTCTTACATGTTATACAAAGCGTACAAAAACTAACCAAATATGTATATGTAGCTATTAAATAATGCGCTTCATATCTAAGATATACATTCTTCTATATAATATATTCAACACCGTTACATACGACTAGAAAATACAAACATCCATCTCTCAAAGTAGGATCTATAATCTACTCAATACAATCTAATCTATCAATTTATTCATTTTCTCTTCTACCTGAGCAGGATAAAGTGACCTTCTGGTCACTTGGTGAAACAATAGATTGCCAAAGGCATCCACCGGAATGACGATTTCTTCAGCAATGAATTCAACTTTTGGGTCAGAAGAATCTCGTCTGGAAAAGGTCGATAGAAACTCTTGCCATTTGTTGTTGGTCCATGCTGGGTTATTGCAAGGCAGTAGTTTGATGTCTGGCTTTATGTCATCGTTCCTCACATCCTCATCCTCATCGTAATCCTCATTATAATCATCGTTGTGATTATAACTGGTGCTGTCCTCGTGTCCGTCAGATCCTTCTGAATATCTCCTCCTTTTCCCATCGTGATAAGCAGGATATCCTTCCTGATCGTTATCACTGTCATTCCACTGGTCAATGGCAGCATGGGGGGTCTACAGAAATATGCAAATTGAGTTGAATTATGGTTATTCATTGTCACAAGAATATACATTGCAAATTTGTATACTATTAGCTTATCATACCGTATTTCTTTTCTCCTGATCCCTGCGACTCATACGTTGGTACGATGTGCACGTCTCATATCCACGTCCTCCCGAGGAGGACTTGTTACCATAATCGTGCGGTACTGATGAATAATTTCTGTTGTTGTTGTAATGTTGTGGGTCATCGTCCGCATTTCTATCTTTAAATCTCCTCTTTGTTGTATGATGATCTTGATTTTCATACGAGGAGTAATTTTGATTTTCTCGTTGTCGGTACGGTTTTCTCGCGTGATGTTCACGACTTGTGTGCTTCCTCTTCCGATCGACGTAATGGTGTGGCCGATGGGGATGAGATTTTATCTGCAGGCAACAAAAATTGTACAAAAGTTATTAATTATCCTCGACTTGATTTATGTAAAAATTTGGGTAAAGTTATTTATGCATATCGCAAAAACTTACGTTATCAGCTTTTACTAGCGCAGAATGACTGGTTTTCTCCAGATCCATTTCTTCATCGTCCTCGAACTGACTTTCGTTTTCACTGGATTGTTGTATCGCATCCGTGTCCAATTCAACTTGACTTTTTGTTTTTTTCAGAATTGATTTTTGCACTACGGTAGCCGTTTTTTCAAGCGGGATAATAATCGGTACCGGACAAAATTGTGGCCCACGCGTCGCAATCGAATTATTCGACTTGTCAGGCCTTTGTTTATCAATAGTTGTAACGTCACTGGAAACTGGAGCAGCTTGTAGTACAGTGCTTTCGAGTCGAACACTCGTTTGCTTTTTCCGTTGTGAGGGAATTTTTTCGGAAATTTCGGCTAGGAGGATGGTCTCATTCATTATCCGGATGTCATAATTGTACTTTAAATTCTTCCACTCGTGCAGATATCTTCGTAAAAGTTGATGAATTTCCTCCTCGTAAGGCACGTTCAACGTTATCTTCTCCAAGTTGGGATAATTGCAGATTGCTTGACGCAGTATTACCTTAATTTGAGTTTGAACAAAAGCCCCAAAGTTTTTGGGGTCCCCTGGCCCCCTACTGGGAAATTTGATCTCCAAACTGGTCACATGGAGAGCTGGGTTGGTATCCACGAGACCCTTCTCCTCCTCCACGTTACCGGGTAGAATACGCTGTTCCTTCTCGCCCAAAACGAAGATGACCTCGCTACAACTAACCAGCCTTCTCGTGACCTCCATCGCCGTCTTGATGTTGAAAATGTAGCCATTGAATTCAACACTGGTCACATCGTCCTTGTATTCGGTGAAATCAGGAAGTTCTGTGGACCCCATCAACTTGTACCAAATCTTGTTTGGACGGTTGTTCTTTTCATAGATTTCGTAAAACAGGTGGATATCAGGCGGACTGTCAATCCTCAGGGTCGTCCCCTGAGACATTGACCGGGTGACATGATTTGTCGGTTTCGAGAAGCCCGTCTTCTTTTCAAGGTTGGGCTGTCTGTCGGCCCAGGATTCGGGGGATGGGTTAAAGGTGACGAGTTTCCTTTTCTGAAAAATGTACAGAAAAACATTAGTACGGTTTGAACGTTAGACGTCTAGTTAAAGAACGTTTCAAGCGAAAAGTGACTTACGAAAACCATTTTTGCAGCGATTCCAAAAATGAAGGTGAAAGTGAGTGGACGACGTAAGCAATTTAAACTACAAGATCATAGCCATCTTTTCCCAATAAACGTTGAAGTTTTCACATGGGGTCGTTTTGGCAGGTGCATGGCGGCTAGCTTCTGTTGCTCATTGCTTGCACAAAATCCTAGAGAAAGATAAACATTTTAAAGTTAAAGACGGCCCTGAGCAGCTAATGTTTGTTTGCTCTATTTAATTTTACTCTATATTTTTCACAGCTACGGAACAAACGGAACACTTCTGTGTCTGATAACATGTGGAAGGCTTTCCTTCACAATTTTATGGACAAAATTTATGGCAGTCTCAGGTCGACTAATCGTAAGGTCGTGTCATTTTCATATTTCCGTACTAAATATGTATATACCCGTCAGAAAAATTTCAAAAATTTTGCTATCTTGACTTTTCAACAGAGCAAGATTATTGAAGAATTTTAGTAAATATGAAGATGATGAATGTATAAAATCTATCAAATTCTTCTACTATCTACGCCTCTATTTTCAGCTCAAATACTGACAATCCGTCGCCTGGCTGGCTATCTGTGGGAATGTGAGACAACATTCTCAACTCGAGAAAAATTTTCGGAACGCTGAAATTGAGACTGGAACTCATCGCTTTAAAGACTTCCTTATATACTCCACAATCATTTACATATAATACAAATGACCAACCAAAGTAATTTGTGAGGAGATAACATGAAGCTGACCCCGAAGAATGCTACCATTCAAATTCTCCCAAAAACATGCAGGAATTCAATAAATTCACATTTGACGTTCGGACACGCTCAAACTCAGATTATAAATTATAACCACAACCGCCGACAAGACAGCAACATCTATTTATCTAAATCGATCAATTAATTCATTCCTTCATTCATTTAGGAGTGAGTGGTCCACATGAAATACAAAAGTTCAAAGTGTAGAGCAAACAGCAGAGCAAACGAATAATTTCAACTTGACATAAAACTGGACGCTATTTTAATTTATTAAACAAATATCTGTAAATATGCAAGCTGAGAAATTAATTTGCATATTCTGCATTTTCTTATCAAAATGTTTCTACAAGGACGACGTTGATGGAAAAATTTGAATGAAAGATTGATATTTAAACTGATAATAAAAACTATTGAATTTACATACTTACATTTAAAAATTTAATGCAAAGTTAACAAGTGAAGATATTATTAGGCTACGTATTATGCAGCATAATTTCCAGGCTGTTATTGTAATTTGGTAAAACTGGTCTTACATTTCCACTAATAAAATCAACCAACCACAAGTGAGGCGAAATGAAACTGTAAAACTGTGAACTGCACTAGAGACGATCGATTTTACTTACTCAACTCGTCTCATTTTTTCAACTTCCTAATCTCATTTATCGTGTGTGTGTACTGGTGAGACTTTGCATATCGCCGTTGAACGTGCTAACTGAATTGTTGGCCGTTGTATTTCCTGTCTCCAACATGAATGTGATACGGTGGGAGGGATAAGCAGTCACTTTACAAAGTTGCGATAAAAATGTTTTAAAAAAATATTTTTTATGAGACAAGACACAATTAAACCATTCATACTAGAAAAAACTATTCTATTTTAGCTGAATACTTGCCAACTAAATAGTTGTAAGCATTTTATTCACCAGTTCGATAAACTACCTTGAAACTTGCAGAATTAAATATGAACTTTGTAACCAATAAATCCGATCTCAAGATGTGCAGACTAAAAAACTCACTGAATACTTTGCCGGATCACAAAAAATGGCATGTGCAAGTCGTAGTAGAGTCAGAGCTCCAATGGCTATTTTTAAACGAGGTTTTAGAATATTTAAGTAAAGAATGGCAAAGATAAGATAAAATGAGGCGGGAACACAGCAGTCTCAACAATTTATATCAAACGCATGATGAACTAGTATGTAAACGGCACGGCACAGATTCAGTGTAAAAATGTTCGAACCTTGACTATATATAGAAGATTTGAGATCGTGGCTCAGCAGACCTTCTTGTAAAAGTACAAAATTATGCTACCAACACTGCCTAAAATGCATATTATATGAAAAAATATGGTCGAGCTACTGATCAAGGTTGATAGTTTGACATGGTTTTCGAACAGGAACATGTAGGAGTCGAGGGTTGCATACTAATTCTTTGAGGGTTGTTTTTTGAAATGCAAGATGTTCTTCTGCTATTCTTCTATTTAGGGCATGGGTACTTAAAATGGTACATTTTTTGTTACCACTTCAACATTCAATACACAACGGTTATATTCAAGGTTGGGTCAATTCTCACAAGTGAATTGAAGAAGTAGCAAGTGTTACTAATCCTAAGCATAGGTATATGTTGCTTATATACATACATATGTATGCTGGATCCCTCCAGTCTCAATTTACTCACGTAGACAAAAAAAATCTGGTTTCAAACAGAAGGAGAAGGTAGCACTTTTAGAAAACTTGTCCACAAAGATCCTTTCTTACAGCTATAAACAACCATGTTTTTTTTACTACTGGACAGTTTTAAACCTGTAATCTCTTCTCTCACTTGTTCCTCGGTCTCGGTGTCTTTTTATTACAAAACAACCAAGAGAAGACCTCGACCTGCATCGTAAATAGTGTACAATGCAACACTCCAAAAGTTTGAAATTCCAATAATTAAATTCTTTTACAGTAAACGCAATCAATGTTGTAAATTCAAGAAATTGGATAAAACTGATAAAGTTCATTACGATGTATGAGTCAACTACGTACATGATTCCGTTCTATCTTGCAAATAATTCTGTGACTTTTTATTTACGGCATTCGATTAAGCCTTGTGCAGGGCAGGGGAATGACTGTTCGCATGAAGGGTCGTTTTTCCATCCTTCCCAATTTCCGTGCGTGATTTTCCCTTTTCTATTTTTAGATTGCATTTCACTTTTCATTTCCCTAGTCATTAACTGCGTTACGTGGACAATGTTGCACAGTACAGGATTTACAACACAATGCAATAATATTCCGACCTGATCGTACGCAATCCCTCACGCAATTCAATTTCATACAACATACGTATTTCCCTTCCCTTCCCTGCCCTTCTCACACCGTTTTGTACATACGAGAAGGAAGAGACAGTACAATTTTCAAGTTACTGAATTTTGCGTAAATCTCTAGCATTAAAAAATAAATAAAAAATAATGTATCGCAAAGTGTGCACTAACTATATATATGTATATGAAGCACTTAAAAATTCTTACTAAATCCAACTTTCTACCTCAAAACTTAATGCCCTAAATTTTATAATTATGAAACAACTATAATTACCGTGTATTTAAAGAGATAAATATTTTTTTAGTTACCTTTTTTAAATAGTTCCAATTAATTTGCTGCAGTGCAGATCCTTTTTTTGCAGAACTCACACTTCACAGGTGTCCATGTCACTCACACGACGAGACGACGCACTGAAACTGAACTGAGGTTCCCACGGGCTGACGCAGTCCTTTTATACTCCTCTGGAATTGGAAACTCGAATTGTGTCGCTTCGTGGTTCGAACCACCGGGCAGAAAACGTTGCTCCAACATCGTCCCCTACCCCACGTTTTTTGCCCCAGAGTTTGAAACCACCCTTCGAAGGGGACCCCCCTCTAAGTCACCCTTTTATTCCAGTCACATTTATTGCATCGAGAGATAGGGAGTTACTTACATATTAAGGGATACGGAATTCCCTGATAGCAAAGTACTGACTACAATCACATCTCATAATTTACATCAATTCTGTGTAATAGAACCCGAGTATTTTATGATTTTGCATAAGCTACCACCGAATTAACGTTGCTACGAAATATATTAAGCCGGGGAACAAATCTAATAAATCTGTGGAACTTTCACATACATATTTATCTCCACTCGAAAATGTTTTAATTTCTCGCACAATTCCATTATCACATTCATTATCCAGAAATATGAACAAACTCTTAAAACGCCTCCAGTCCAACAACTTCGAACCAGAAGGTCGTGGCAGCGGTGGTCAAGATGAAGCCTTGGATGCGTACAAGGACGAGTTGGAGTCACGATGGCAGGTCGTCGTCATAAAACAATTTCAAAATGAGTCATCACTTTAAGTATAATCACAGCACTTAAGTACACGTGAACTTGTTAATAAGGGGTGATACTTTTTATGGTTTTGTTATATCTGTCCGTCCGCACCATGATATGATATCTCGAGAACATGCGGTTATCGCCAATGTGTTTCTAATTCGCCCGGACGTTGCAAGTTTGAGGATGGGGCACACCACTTTCCTGGGGTGTTGTAGTTGAAATTCGAATTTGTTTCTTGATCCAATTTATATGGGGCTGTTCTACTACATTCGAGAAGACTATTTTAACCCCGTGTGCGTGTGCCGGAAGTCCATTATCGCATAATTCAGATTTTTGGGGAATTTGAGACAATGCTAGAAATGAATAGGAAACATATCGGGAGACATTTTTGAGACGGTGTAGTAACTACCCATAAAATTTCCATATGCTTTCTCCCCTTTATGACATTCCGTTTGTAACGGATTATTTAAACATTTAAACAAACGGATTCTTTAAACAAAGAATTTAAGAGATTATTGTATAATCATGCGTGTCAACAAATAACCATTACTCATAATTCCTTATCATGTTTGTAGGAATTTGTGCATCGAGCACGCGTCCATGAAATGCTGAAATGCTTACAAAGCGAGCACAGAAGGTTACAAGTGAGAGATTAAGAAATATTTGTTAATAAAAAAGGCCTAAAATAATTGCCTGTATCTCAAAATCTGTAGGTTCTCCGGGACAATATTGATTTCGATGAGCTTCTCACGGTGGACCGGGATCGTCACGTGAGTGACGAAGAGGACGACGGCAAGGACCAGCCCAGCGTGTCGGAAGACGCTGAAGTCGCCCCACACCCCCAACACCACTCGTTGGGGGATGCTCGAAACATCCGGAAATCACTGGCTGGCGTCAGTCAGAGAAAAACCGCTCTCGCCATCGAAATCTTCAAGAGCAAAAATATCATCTCGGACAAAGAGTTTGAGGACATTTTAGAGCTTTGTGATGTCAGTTATGCACACTGTTTTTTGTTTGTATTAACAATGCAAATGACGTCAATTTGAAGCCTAAATATTTATGAAATCCGCATATTTTTATTTATTTAATCAGGACAAAATGGAGCAGCAAGCACTTCGTGAAGCCTTTGAGGAGAAGAAGAATCGAGACACGTACCTCCACAATGCAACCGAACGAAGACAAATGCTTTATGATTTCATAAACAGCAAGTTTTTCGTACAGTTTATGCTCGTCACGATCATTGTTTCTATTTGTGGAATATTTTTAATGACGGTAAATAGGAGTGCAATCGATATGTGCAGTTTTATTAGATGTCATCAAATTCTATTGTTATTTTTTTTAGTTTGAAACCATTTCAACCAGATTTTGTACGTATCTCATTACATAAATTAATTTTTATCTTTACGAGTTCAAGTTGCACTATTCTGTGTATGCAGCCTTCCCTCTGATGGTTATGGATTCTTGCATTATTGCAATTTTCGTGGTGGAAGCAGCCTTCAAAATTGTAATTTATAAGCTCGACTATTTCAAACAGGTCTGGAATCTGCTGGACATGCTTATCATTGTGGTGCATTTGCTGTAAGAAGAAGGCGTCATTCACGCCATAAATATGATATGATATGATTGATAAGAGCTGAAAATGCATTTTATGGCTTTTCTTTCCAGCGAAGTGATTGTCGACCTAACAACAAAGACGTTGGCTCTCAGCACTGAAATTAGTTCTGGTGTCACGTTCAAATTTTTAAAGTCTTTGCGAGCACTGCGACTTCTCCGTATCATAAAGTAAGTCGAGACATGAATGTTTTCTAAGAACGTGAGAATGAGAATTGGAGATGGTGAATTAATTAAATGATGACTTATAATACTTACACATCTTTATCTTTACTGTTGCTTATCAGGTTTCTGCCAAATCTTCAAGTTGTCCTTCTCACAGTGTTTCAATCAATGTTGAGCATGGGTTCTATCGCAGTTTTAATGGTAAAAAATGATGTCCAGTTTTAAATTGGGTAAAAATTTTAAAATATAGTGTCCATATAATTTCTTTATGTAGGTGCTGTTCATCTTCGTTTTTGCTGTAATGGGGCGTGGTCTATTTTATGAGAATTCCCCAGTCCATTTTGGTAATCAGAAGCATTTCCTTTTATTACTTACAAGGGACACTCACGACCTGTCGTTTGAGTCCAGGGTACCCACTATGTTTTTTAGAATCTACTAGGACCCCTGATGAAGGATTCCTTCATATTTCCGTGTAAAACTCATATTTGGCGCCATGGCGTGGCGCTAAACTTAAAAATTTGCATTTTCGACCAATTTCAAACCCCCATAACTTTTGCAGTTTATGTCGGATTTTTAAAATTTTATGCTTAAAATGATCAGAAAAGTCGAAATTTTAGAGAAAAAAATAAACATCAAAAAGTTTTAATTTTTGAGATATTTTTAGCATTTTTTCGACGAACCCGAAATTTCGAAATTTTGCGAAAAGTTAAAAACGATAATTTTGAAAAAAATTTCATAGAATACGAAAGTTGAACTCCTTGTCATGATTTTTGCAAACAATTTTGAAAATCCGTCCAGGATTTCAAAAGTTATGGCAGTTTTAAAATGAAAAACCATCAAATTTGGCGAATTTGGCGCCACGCCATGGCGCCAAATATGAGTTTTACACGGAAATATGAATGAATCCTTCATCTGGGGTCCTAGTAGATTCTAAAAAACATAGTGGGTACCCTGGACTCAAACGACAGGTCGTGAGTGTCCCTTGTTAGATTTTAAAGAAATCAAAAATTTTAAAGAAACCATCAAAGAACTGCAATTTTCACCAAATATTTTTTCAGGCTCGATTTGGCTGGCATTTATAACTCTATTCCAACTCTTAACTTTGGATGATTGGTTTGAAGTATGAAATTAGTACAAAATTTGTTTGACACGTTTTATCACAAGTTTTATGCATTCTTTTCTTTTGTCAGCTTTTGGACCCAGTTAAAAATACAGAGAGCAACATTGCAATCGATAACAGTTTCCAGTACTGGATAATGTTCCTTTACCTGTAACAAATTTTGCTTTTTATTAGTTAATTAAGCATGTGTCAAAATCTATAACTGCTGTTTCACAGATTTTGCTACATTGTCATTGAATATTTCGTATTTCTCAAGTGAGCCTTCAGTCAGAAATTAAATTGCTACAAAAATTTTGACAAGGTTATAAAAATGTATTTTGCATGCTGTAAGTTTGTTCGTTGCCGTCCTCGTCGACAACTTCCAACTGACCCTGGCAGACGCAGAAATTCGACGAAAGAAAGAAGAAATGTTGTTTTTGGAAGAGCAGCAAAAATTTGATGACATGAAAAAACTTGCTCATGGCGAAGGAGGAAATGGTATTGGAATCATAAAATTAATTAGCGTAACATTTAATTATGATAAAACAAAAGTAAATATTTGCCGTGGCTTGCAAAAATTTTGGGGATTAGACGAATTCAAAGAGAATGTCGACACAATGAATCCTGACAATTTGGAATTAAATGTAGAAGACTATTTCCCTGTGCAGAAGGGGTCAAAGTAAAATTAGCAAAGAATGCAAAAATAGTTGCAAATTATTACATTTAAAAAAATCTTTCAGAGATGCTCAACTAACCTCAGAGATATTCAAAGACATGAATTCTTTAGACTTTGAGAGATTCTTATGGAAAAGAAGAATCACTCTATTAAACGATGTGATTGATATAGCCTTATCTCGCCAGCCGGTAGTACATAATATTTGATTAAAAAAAATACTTTAGAATAAGTCCATTTCAATTACCCTTTCATAGCAAAATGTCTGGACTACTCAGGACGCAGAAAGTGTCGAAGACCTCGACACACTGGAATTGATCGAGGAAATGAATGAAAAAAGACAAGAAGAGGAAACTGGTGCAAAAAGCTCAAAAACTAAATGATAAAAATCTAACCCTAGTATTATGCAACAATTAAGTTCTACTTACAACACTGTCGTAAATAATCAGTTTCAATAATAAAATTAAACGCATTTTCTCACATTTCTTGACTAAAAAATCATGGTGAAAAAGTACAAAATCTCAGAAATTGAGATACTTCAAGTCCGCAGACGAATTACGTGAGAATTGAGATGAGATTTCACGTTTTTGCCAAAAACTGAAAGTGCGGGACGACTTTCTCATTCTGCCGGTTGCGCTTATTTTATTGTGTGTGTTTCGGCAAGCAAACTATTTTCTGTCCTTGTGCGCATTGCATTGAATTTTATTTGTCGGTCAAATTAAATGACCTTTCACATACGGACTGGAAGGTGATTTACATTTTTCTCTCTCTTCTTGGAGAGGAGAGAAGCAGTAGTTGAATCAGTCCAGTAAAACTGAGTTCATTGTTCTTTTCCATTATTCCGTGGTGGAAATTTTTTGGTGGAAGTGGAAAAAGACCGAAAACTGATCATTCTAACTGCGCCTGCTGAACGACCAACAACTTATCAAATAATCCAGCAGAGCTGTACTTTGAAGGAAGTTGGTAAGTGTGAAGTAAACGGAATTGAACGGTTCAGGTTGATAACTTTATTGATAAGTTTGCTAAATATTTGCAGTTGTTTCAAATTTCAAACCACAATGGCAACCGTGACAAAGTCTTTTCGGTGGGGGGAAACTTCATTGGTGGATTCGGGGGATGATAGAAGTAGATGTTCAGGGGGTGCGAGCGGCGCTGTTGGTATTCATAGTACCAGTGGACATTTGAATAACATGCAGACTATGGTGGGGTTGAGAATGATTTTAAGCCCTGGATTAATTCGGGATACTGGGTGTGGTCCCAAACTGTTTACCATTATTCCACCCAGCCTCTCGACGGTCCGAGAGTTCAAGGTAAATGATTAAATAATAGTTAGAAAGCATAAAATACTAACATGCATTTGACAAGTATTCTTTTAATTCAAGAACCATTTGTCCACAAACATTTTGAAGACTCATATCCCGTTTTACTTTTTCAATGGCGATTACCGAATTCCCGATGAGGTAATGTAATAAATATGAATAAACAGAGCTGCATTTGGGTGTATTAAAGTTTGGTTGGATTCGTTTTATTTAGGAGGACATTCGAATCTTTTCTCTGTTGAGTGAACCCTGCCGGGTAGTCCCAGTTCCTCAACCAAAGTCTGTCCTCTCAATATCAGGAAATGGGTCCGGAATTACGACTACATCTACTCCATTGCCGAATGGACTACCACTACCACCGGTGCACAGCACCGAAGAAGAAGACTCTCAAGGAACGCCACCGTCTTCAAAACGAGTGAAATTCAGCGACACTTTTTCTCCTGATGGTATCGGACTCTCTAATGGTGGTGGTGGCATGGACAAAGTGGATCTTGGTGGAGGAAAACGGAAGAAACGCCAAACAACCAACGATAACGATTCAATTGTTGCACTCAATGGATCCGCCAATCCACCGAGTATGTTGGATTCTTCCGTTGAAGTTGGAGCTAAACGCCGAAAGCGACACAGGAAACACAAGTCCAAGAAGAGCAAACCACTTCCTGAAACGAATGATGATGAAGAAGAAGCTACTAATAAAGATTGTTTTGCCGAATCTGACGACAGAATGGTTCTCTCGCCGGAAGGAGAAAGTACTGAAAAATCACAAGCAACAACAGCTAAAATAAATCTAAAAGGACTTGGTCCCCTGGCACCGAAAAAATCTAGCATCATCCTGGGATATGACGCAGATGAGAGTGAAATGGATTTAAGTCAGAAAGTGAATTCCAACAACAAAACTCATTCTTCTCCCTCATCCAAAGGTGCTAATAACAATAAGAAGACTGAGCAACAACAAAAATTTTCTATACTAATCAGCACAACCACTGAACCAATTTGTATCGATGATAATCAAGCGAAGAAAAAGAAGAAATCTCTCGATATTGGTGAATTCATTTCTCCCAACGATGTCGTTGACCAGAAATATAAAAGAATTCGTGATAAATCCTCATCGAGCAGTAAGAGTAAATTTAATAGTAATAGTATTGCCGAGACTCCAATCCAAAACACATTCGGATCTTCTGGATATGAAGACATTGATAGCTACGATAGCTCCTCGGGGAGACGAAAGGATACACCAATGCTTCCAAAAATCCTGAAAAATCCATCTGCCACGTATGAACTGGTGAAAAAGAGTTTGAGCTTTAATCAGGAGGTAGGATCAGAGTCGGAATCTTTAGATGAGGTCGCTGTCGCACGAGCGACTGATGATCTTGAAGTCCAGGATATCGATATTGATGGTGAAAGTAGTGACAGTGATAACGAAGATTCCACCGTTGCAACTGCTGCTGCTGCCTCAACAAAATCGCCGCCCAATTTGTCGATCGGTCAAGTCAAAATTGGTGACAAGATATCTTTCAAGGTAAGTAATCATTTTAATATTTTTTTCATTTTAAGGTTTTTTAATTCAACTATTCGTGATTATTATTAGATGGTCGAAATGGATGAGAATTACTCCCCTGGCGTCTCTGATGTGAAAGTTGCCAAAATCATTGATAAGGATGATACGGAAGGAGTGTTGGAACTTCAGTATATTGGTGAGCTTAATACATATTTCACTAAACCTATGTTTAGTGAAACATAAGCGCAATTAACCAAAAATTTAAACCAACTTATCTTGCAGGTGAAGAACTTGCAAAAAAGAAGGAACGTTCTGGAATTTACGAGATTGAAGATGAGGAGCTGGAATCTGAACCATTGGATAACCCCACCACCGTCAAGTTTACGGGGTTGTTGTCGCTCAGTATTGTCAAAGAATGAAAAGGCGAAGACATCCTATCTCCAACCAATCCAATAGCTACAGAAATCTTTATTATTTTCATTTTAGCCTGGTTCGTTTCATTTAAATTACATTCAATTGTCAGTTCTTATTTTTGTAGTAGAATTGCATAATTTTAATTATTTTTGATCTTAGTATGCAACTTGTCATAGAATTGTCGTGTTGATGAATTGTCCTGTACTACTGCTTAACTATTATTAGAAATTTTCCAGAGAATGTGATATTGGATTAGATACGGAATTTATAGTCATGCTAAATTTTGAGTGGTATGTAATTAGTGAACATTTTGAACTGATTGATTTTTTATGAATGTACATGTAATTTGTACAACGACGGTTGTATTCACTACTTAATAAACTTGGTAACTAATAATCAACCATGAATGCTTCGAGTACACAATAATTTTACTTTTCATATCAATTTTATTGAATGAAGTTCTTGCAAACAGTAATATCAGAATACCCGAAAAGTTAGTAGCGGCAGAGTTGGCAATCAGAACTCAAAACAAGACAGAACTTGATTCAAGTTGATGATCCACAATTTCGTTCATTTGGGTGCATGTAAAAACCGAACCTCTTGAAAATTTAAAAATTAGCCCAAAATTTCATTTTTCATAAGGAAACTAGGAGTTAAATTTATCATATTGTAACCGGTAAGTTAACAATTACACTTTACTACTTCAGCCAGTCACCGACAATTTATAATTATATTTGGATATAGTTTAATCAAAAATACAAATAATTTCTTCTCTTTCAGAAATTAATGCCATAATAATGCAACAACAATCAACTGCTGTGTTGCTGAAACCAGAGAAAATTGGAGATTCCATCAAATTCGCCGATCTGGTCAAGGTGTTAGAGGCTGTCAACAATGACAGCCAGGCGTCAAACAGAAGCAAGAGAGTGGTCAAATTCATTTCAAAGTGCAGAGATTACTTCAAACTCCTACACGGCACACTGGATTCAGCTGCGGCCAATGTAAAGTCCTGAAATTATTTACCTGTATTAAAATTTAATGCGAGTTATTTGGTAATTTGATATTGATATTGATTCGTGCAGGGCGACAGCCTTTTCCCCCTGATTCGCATATTATTACTCAAACTAGACCGAGAACGACCAGCGTATGGATTACAGGCAAAAAGTTTGGGGAAAATTCTGGCATCCGTCCTTGGACTGAATGATCGTGACAAGGCTCGACTGACGAATTTTCGAAGTCCTGACGCCAATGATGAAACCGGTGGTGGTAGTGGGGACACAGATTTCGCCTCTGTGCTATATTCAATCATGCAAGCCAGATTTTCAGACCAGGCCCCCTCCGTCATCAGCCTTACCGGACTACACGACATCCTTGACAAGTTGTCCAGAGATGCACAAACGAACCAAGAAGCACAAAAGAAAGTTCTACTCGAGTTATTCACGGGACGAAAGCTTTCACCGTTGGAGGGGAAATGGTTGTGCCGGATATTACTGAAGAACTTGGAGTACGGGGTCAATCGGAATATCATTTTCAAAGCGATTCATCCCAAAGCATATTCAATGTATGAGAGGATCTCGAATTTGAAGGAGGTTCGTTTCTTCACATGCGAGTATCATAATTAATGAGATTTTGCACATAATGTCTTACCGTTTAATGTTCAGGTCTGCGAAACATTGAACGATCCTGATACTGTCAAGGACATTGATAAAATAGTATTGTCCTACTACGTCAAGCCAATGTTATGTTTGAGAACCAATACTTTAGATGATTTTGAGAGTTTTAACTATGATGAGCCAGGAACTGCAAGTTCATCATCGAGGGCACCAACCACAAACCTAACAAGTAAAAAGAAGGCCAACCCACAAATGGCGCCTCCATACGTTATAGAAACTAAAGTACGAGTTTGGAGGAACTTTAATCTAAACATTTTTGCAAAAAATTGAAATTGTATGTATTGTTTTCTCAGTGGGACGGCGAACGATTCCAAATCCATTACGACGGCCGCGCCCTAAAATACATTTCAAAACAGGGACACGACTACAGTTTAAAATTCAACGTGACTCTCACACCTCGACTCGCCCCTCAAATTAAGCTTGGGGCCCGATCTTTTATTTTGGATGGAGAAATGATGGCTTGGGATAAACGGAACAAGGGTTTCACCCAAAAAGGTGCGGACATTGACGTAAAGAATTTCCGTCCCGACAATCTGAATCATTGCCCGACCTATGTGGCCTTTGACGTATGCAATTTTAGCATTGTGATCTAATATGTATGATTCATGATAATTAATTATGAAAATTATATTGCAGGTACTGATGTTCAATGACGTGACCTTGATTAACAAACCGTTGCACGAGAGGTACGCAACCCTGGAGAAGATACTAAACCCCAAAGAATCCGTAGTGTACGTTCCTAAACAAAATATTGTGAATACGAGGGAACAAGTTGAGGATGCGCTGAATAAGGCTATCGATGAGTCGGAGGAAGGTCTAGTTGTCAAAGCTATCGATTCCGTTTACGAGCCTGGAAAAAGGGGACCCTCTTGGCGCAAGATAAAACCTGAGGTTTATAATTGTTTTAATAAAATCTGTGGTAAAAATGTGACAAATTTTAATGGTGCGCTGATTGTTTAATTGTTCAGTTCATATATGGGACGAGTGTCGATGACTTGGATTTACTAATTTTGGGTGCCTACTATTCCGAATCAACAAGAAGAAAGGGAATTATTGGCAATTTTTTGGTCGGTGTCATAAAAAAATCGGGAAATACTGAGGTTTTTATTTGTTTTCTTCATATTCTATAAGATTTTATATATATAATTGGTTCGTAAATAGATATTCTTTCAATTTGTGTTTCATGCAGGAATTCTTTGCTCTTACCCAAGTTGGATCAGGCCAGCTCCGGATTGCCTCTATGAAAGCACTCGTCGACGAATTGCTACCCCATCTCGGCAAGAAACCATTTCCTGGCATAAATTACAAAGCAAAACAACGCCCTGATCTGTACATTGATCCAAAAAAGTCTATAGTCGTCCAAGTTAAAGCAAGTGAAATCATTTACAGCAAAGTTTCCGCTCTCGACTATAACCTGAGATTTCCTCGAATCACGGTTGTCCGCAGAGACAAAAACTACAATCAAATCATGACAGTAGAAGAGTTCCACACTCTGCGAGAATCGTGCGGAGGGCGATTGGCAAAACGAACGGATAACAGCAAATTCTTCGGCGCAAAAAAGAGAGGTCCTGTAGATGCGAATCCAGACTCTTCAGATGAAGATACACCAATGCCAAAAGTATCAAAACGGACTTTACCTGTAGCTCTAATGAAGAAGAATAACAACTATCCCACTACATCTGATGATGAGGACGACGACGAAAAGCCGTCTACTTCTTTTGCATTAAGGTCGAAATCCAGCAAGCCTGCAGTACTTGCTCCAGTGCCATTGCCAAAAATTCTTCCACAGAAACCCATTATCAAGAAGGACATTTTCAAGGCAAAGATATTCTGTGTGCTTGGAAAACCCGATTGGAAGAGTAAAATAGAAGAGAAAATTACATCTTATGGAGGGCAAATAGTTCAAAATCTTATCAAAGAAAGGCTTTTCTATGTCGGGGAATCACTGAAGAATCCTAAAGTTGATAAGGCTGTTCGATGGGGAAAACACGATGTTCTGAAATCAGACTGGATTGAACGATGCATTGCGTCCGAAACTGAAGTTCCTTTTACGCCCGCAGACTTTTTCGTTTACACGGAAGAAATTGCAGCCATATTCAAAACGGAGTATGACGAGTATGGCGATTCTTACAAGAAAAAATGTTCTCTCCAAGAAGTGAAAGACCTCGCCAAAAAAGTCATTGAGTTGACCGAGGCAAATCGTAAGAAAAGAAAAAGTAACGACAATCATGATTCTGATGAGGAAGATGAACCTGACGACGATGACATGGATATTGATTACATAAGGAATGAAATAGAACCTGAACTGTTCCCTGGCCCGAAAATTAATACGCTGAAGCAATATCGATTCTTTAAAGATGTCCGGGTCGCTTTTCGTGGTGAAACCGACCCTGTTTTGGCAGGAATGATAACTTTCTACGGGGGAACGGTGGCTTCCAGTGAGGTGGAGAAGGACGATTCAATCACGCATGTCGTCGTAAAGGATCCACTCTCTCCAAGTAAGAAGAAACAACTTTCCGCTTTCTTAATCAAACCACGTTGGATTACAGAATCTGTTGAGAAACGAAAGTGTTTGGATGAATTGGGATATTCTGCGGGTTGTCTGGTTTAGAAGAATACACAGGGTCAACTTTAATTTTGGTGCTTATTCATACATATCGTAGTCTTTAACAGTATTATTATGACATGACCCGTAAACAGAAAATTAGCATGCAATAATAAATGGCGATTATGCGGTCTGCAAGAAAAAATAATTGTTACAATATACGAGATACGACTTATATTTTATTGAGTTCAAAATTCATATACTCTTTTGCATGCTGTTATTGTACAAGTGATTTCATGTGCGTGACCAATTTATTACAACTTAAAAAATCCTACTCGAGCTTGTGCGTTGTAATTACAAGTTTGAGTGCGTCAAAGATTTTGTCCCCCTTTCCTACCAGATTCTTATACTTGACGGCGTGAACAATGAGTCGATCATGCAGCGACACGATAAAATCCAGAGATTGGTTCTCTGTACTGCAAATCAAGCTTTGGCTCAACGTATTGATTTGTTCTTGGCCCTTTTTCCGAACACCTTTATTTGTCGAATTTCCCCCTAGCACGTCCGACACGAGGCATATTGCTGGTCTAAAAAATTCCTTCCTCTCCTCCTCGCTCGAATTCAACGCTGTGTGACGACGTGAAGGAAGAAAGATTCGTTTAATTTTGGCGTCAAGGGTGGCCAAGGGACTGCTGCTTGTGCACATCAGAAGGACTGGTTTTCCTCTTAGTACGTTAAAATTCTCTACCATGAGCTCCCTAATGTCTTCTGGAAGTTGGTCGATTCGTGGGACGTAGAGGATGCAAGTATGCACAGAGTTGGATGCTTGGTGGATGACTCTTGGGACGAAATTTCCAGCCCCTTCGGAACTGCTTTCGATGTCCTCGAGGCTTAAACGGTAGGTGGGCACTTTTCCAACGTTGGCCTGAGTGAGGACGCCAGGAATGACGTAGTTCTCCAAGGATTCGTCATCATCGCTGTTTGAAATTGTGAGGGGATTACAATTAATTTTATTTACAGAAAACACAAACATTTTTTTTGCTTAATTACGCTCGCAAATCCTCTATGAAACAGGTGTGAATTGCCAAACTCATTCCGTTGCATGCTTCATTATTTCCCCACTTCCCGGCCCCATCCGAAATTTGTTTGAGGTACTGCTCCAGCGTGTTGGTGAGCGCGTTGATACTGGTGGCAGATAATTTGGCAATTTTCTCTTCGGGTGGTTTAGGAGTATATAGAGTAGATCCAAAAACGGCAGAATTGGAGGGTCGTGTTGTCGCTAAAGCAGCGTTCCAATCCTCTAATTTGACCTAGATAATTCCAATAATTTGCTGTTCGTCAAAATTGAATAAATTTTGTTAGAAAAGAAGAAGTGACGCCTTCTTACTTGAAGATTATCCAACCCGATTTCCAAGTCTGCATTGGGAACATGACGCTTAAATGCGATGTAGAATACATTTCGACACAACATGTCCAAATCAGCTCCCGTGAATCCAGCGGTGGCTTGGCCTAAACGCTCCAGATTGTCACCGGTTGGGTGGCTGTTCTTCCATTTTTTAGTATTAAGAACTACAATCCCTTTCCTCGCGTCCAAATCTGGAGGTAGAAATTCCAAGTGCTTATCAAATCTACCAGGTCGTAGCATCGCGGCATCCACAGCTTCCACCTAATGAAGTAATTCACCTAATTGTTCACTCATTGTTCGTTAATATTTACAACGCGTAAAACTTGGATATATAACTCACCCTGTTTGTTGCGCCAAAAACAAAAACTTGTCCGGGCGTTAGATTATCCATCTCGCCCAAAAACGTCGTCGTGATTGCGGCATACACGGGAGATCCAGCAGCACCATCTCGGGATGGACAAACGCCGTCCAACTCGTCCAAAAAAATGATGGCTGGTTTGTTGACCTTGGCTTGTTGGAACAAATCCCGAACATTCCTTTCCGATTCACCAAAAAACATATTCAGTAAGTCGCCGCCCTTCCGATGGTAGAAAGTGACTGGACGACCGACTTGTTTCGACAGCTCGTTTCCAAAGGCTCGGGCAAGCAATGTCTTTCCAGTTCCTGGAGGCCCATAAAATAAAATTCCCTTCGGTGGGGCAATTCCCCATTGGTTGGCTGTGGGGTCCTTCAGTTTCTTGAGGATGTTGTTATTCAGCCAACTAAATGAAGAGCAAATGTTTTTTACAATGCCGATCTTGCTGGCAGTCAGCAAAGTGATGAGTTCTTACTCTTTGTGACCTTGCAGTCCACCAACGTCGTCAAGTGTGATTTTGCTGTAGGGATCATCATCTCCGCCTCCTCCTCCACCACGTTTTGGTGCTCCACCACCACCACCACCACCTCCTCCTCCTCCTCCTCTGTTCCAAAATTTTGGGACGTCGTCGTCAGGTTTGGCCGCAGGAGGACTGACAGGGGCGACAGGTTTCTTCAAATTGGACTGAATTGTTTTCTTTCCTCGTTTTGCTGGTCTTTCTGAAGGTTCAGTTTCGTCACCGGCATCGCCATCTCTTTCGTCTCCAGAATTCATTTCTTCGTCGATGTCCATACTGATATAAATAAGTGGAAAATGGTGGATAATTTTTTTTGTATATAAAATGTCGAATGATTTTAGCTGACCATGAGTTCGGAAATGCACAAATTTTCTCAATTTCTAATGCGTTTGTTGGTTTGACGACGATCTGCGCATAACATGGCCCTCTGAATCTGGGCTTATAATGTCTCGTCGCCTGTCAGTCTGGCATGCTATCGGATGAACATTTACATGAGATAATTAACCTACGTTCTATAAATTTTAAAATTTAGCACAATCTGTTCCGTCATCTCGAAATTCGAGACTCAAATACTCAACTTTATATTTATTAAGGTATTTAAAAGAGGTATCATTCGGGTTCCGAGTCTGAACTTCAGAGTTCAGACTCTGTTAGTATCATTGTTTAATGGTATGTGTGTGTATAAGAACAAAATGATACATAATTTCAAGAGTATTTTGGTCAGCGGAACCCCAAACCGAATGAAGCATGCCATCCACCATGATATATTTGTCTACTTAAATTACGAAAGAGACGATACATGACCAGCTCGGGCTATACGAAGTTTATTTTCTTCAAAGTATAAAGTATCAGCAATCAAATTATTGAAATTGCGTGGTAGCGATGGCGATATTCTGTTTCTTTCCGAATTTCAAAATAACGGACTTGAACTTTTTTTTGTCCTGTTGAAGAATCTTTTTGCCAGCCAACCCAGTAGAAAAATATTTCGTAACCGCTTTTAAAATCCAAATCCACGCATAAGTGACGAACCCATATCATTTTCAAGAGGTCGGTGAGATCTTTTATCAATATTTTAATCACTTATCCTCTTTATATCTCTTCGCACTGGGGTGTCTCGTCTGTGAATTTTTTTGCAATTCTGCTCATTCCATTCAATTTCTGTGCCCATTCAAAATATGAATATCTGAAATAATATTTGGAATTTTTTCTCAGATAACAGTCCACCCTCACCGCGATGGGGTGCATTGTCCAAAAATGCCAAAAACCCCAGAGGGATCTCAACGAACTCAAGGGGGAGTTGGAACTTGATGACCATAAGATAAGTCTGGAAGAATTATGCCAGCGATACGACACCGACTTGGAAAATGTACCAAAATTTTAATCTTAGAATCTTAAAATGTATCATGCTGAATCATATTACTGATTCTTTGTTTTTGTATATTATGCAGGGGCTCAAGGCCGATGCTGTGGCGACAAATCGTGCAAAATACGGTCCTAACGCGTTAACACCGCCACCGAGGACGCCAGAGTGGGTGAAGTTGCTGTTGAATCTGTTTGGAGGTTTTGCCGGTCTCCTCTGGGTCGGAGGAATATTGTGCTTCATCGCGTACGGGGTTGAGATCGCTAGCAAAGGAAACCAAGCTGAGAATGATAACGTATGTGGATACATACGCCTTATCTTCTCATTTAAATTAATCTTTTATTAAAACTTCCATCTAGTTGTGGCTGGGGATCGTTCTCGTCGTGGTCGTTTGTCTCAGCGGAATCTTTTCCTACTTTCAAGAAGCCAAGAGTAACAGTATTATGGAATCTTTTAAGAATCTCGTTCCCCAATTTGCCACAGCCATTCGAGACGGCGAAACTGTAACCGTGCACGCGGAAGAGTTGACGCTGGGAGACGTTGTCCTCGTAAAGTTTGGGGACCGAGTTCCTGCAGATATTCGAGTCTTAGAAGCGTCCCAGTTTAAAGTAGGACAGTAATTTTTAATTACAAATGAGGAAAATTCTGTAACTTAAGTGTGACAAATTATTCGATCCAGGTGGACAACTCTTCACTCACGGGTGAAAGTGAGCCTCAGTCCAGAGGGCCGGAAATGACGCATGAAAATCCCCTCGAAACAAAGAACTTGGCTTTCTTTTCTACCAACGCTGTGGAAGGTTCGAATTTTTAGTTCACAAATAAAAGCGAACTTTGTTGACTGATTATTTTTAGATTAACCATTGTATTTATAAATATGCAGGAACCTGTAAAGGTGTCGTTGTCAGAATCGGCGACAACACGGTTATGGGTCGAATTGCTGGATTAGCTTCCGGGCTGACGACAGGACAAACCCCTATCGGCGCAGAGATTGAGCGCTTTATCCACATTATTACCGGGGTTGCAGTATTCTTGGGCGTGACGTTCGGAATTTTGGCTCTCGCGTTGGGATATGTATGGATTGATGCGGTCGTTTTCGTCATTGGCATCATTGTGGCTAATGTTCCTGAAGGATTACTGGCCACCGTCACGGTAATAATTTTTAAAACACCATCATTATCGATAGGAATTGGGACTGTTAAAAAAATGAAACTCTGCTAGGTCGCCTTGTCTCTCACTGCGAAACGAATGGCACAAAAGAACTGTCTCGTGAAAAATCTGGAAGCCGTTGAAACACTGGGGTCCACCTCGACCATCTGCTCCGACAAGACGGGAACGTTGACACAAAATCGGATGAGTAATAAGCAGCAACAATTTTTACGCATATTTGTATTCTGATCTGGAAATATTGTAATTTTTGTGGCTTAATTTTCAGCCGTTGCCCACATGTGGTACAATTTGAAAGTTGTGGAAGCAGACACAACCGAAAATCAGTCTGGGGCTGCGTATGACGTTACAAACGAAGGATTTAAAGTGAGACGCAATTTAAAATTGATTGTTAGTGTCGACAGAGCTTTATGTATTTAAAACAAAAAAATTTCTATTTATTCTCAGGCCCTCTGCAGGTGTGCCACTTTATGCAGCCGAGCCGAATTCAAAGGTGGTCAGGAAAGCATTCCCATTTTGCAACGAGAAGTCAACGGAGATGCTTCGGAGGCAGCCTTGCTGAAATGCATGGAAATCGTGACCCATGATATCAAAGGAATTCGAGCTAACAATAAGAAAGTTTGCGAAGTGCCGTTCAATTCCACGAACAAATACCAGGTTTCAATTCACGAACTGGAAAACGATAACAGGAATCTTCTCGTTATGAAGGTTAGTTATCTATAATGTCATGTTACTGATATTAATTTCATGAAGCAATAAATTTATGTATGGTTTTATTATCAGGGCGCTGCTGAAAGGATTTTGGACAGATGCTCCACCATTTTTGTTGACGGTTCTGAGAAAAATATGGATGCTGCGATGAAATCTGCGTTCGAAAAGGCATACATGGATCTTGGAGGGTTGGGAGAGCGTGTTCTCGGTATGCACAGACTTAATTCGTGCCATTGCCACCGAGAAATTTGTAAATGATTCTATTCTATTAAACTAAATATTCTTTAAATTCAGGATTCTGTGACATGGTCCTGCCTGCCGATAAATATCCGAAAGGATACAAATTCAACAATGAAGACGTCAATTTTCCAATTACTGGGTTGCGATTTGTAGGGCTCATGTCCATGATTGATCCTCCAAGAGCTGCTGTGCCTGATGCCGTTTCAAAGTGCCGATCTGCGGGCATCAAAGTTATCATGGTCGGTTTCCAGTTCGGTATTCTCAATTAATTTATTGATGTACAATTTCATGTAATTCTTTTCAGGTCACTGGAGATCATCCCATCACTGCGAAAGCTATTGCAAGAAATGTAGGAATTATTTCTCCAGGTACATAACTCAATAATTGTAATATTGGTCAGTTTACATAGTTATCTTGACTTGTTACCATTCTTTTAGAAAACTCGACCGTTGAAGAAATTGCGGAACGAACGGGACTTCCAGTTGAACAAGTTGACCCAGCAGAGGCAAAAGCTGCAGTCATTCATGGAGGTCAACTGAAGGACATGTCACCCGATGATATCGACATAATTCTCAACACTCACAGCGAAATTGTGTTTGCGAGAACGTCCCCCCAACAGAAACTAATCATTGTTGAAGGTTGTCAGCGGAACGGTGCCATCGTTGCAGTAACTGGCGATGGTAAAATATTAGCATCATTGCTTCATTAATAATTAGTTTTTTGTGCATGTGAGTAATTTCATAATTTTTGTCGATATGAAATTTCAGGAGTCAATGATTCCCCAGCTTTGAAGAAGGCCGATATCGGAGTGGCAATGGGCATCGCAGGTTCCGACGTGTCTAAACAGGTAACTATTTAATTTAGTTTAATTACCATTACATTATTTGTATTTAACCATTATTCCATTCTTCTAGGCCGCCGACATGATTCTTTTGGATGACAATTTCGCTTCCATCGTCGTTGGTGTGGAGGAAGGTCGTTTGATTTTCGACAACCTCAAGAAATCCATTGCCTACACCTTGACTTCCAACATTCCTGAGATTTCACCATTCTTGATGTTCATCGTGGCCTCAATCCCCCTTCCTTTGGGAACCATTACCATTCTGTGTATCGATCTTGGAACTGACATGATTCCTGCCATCAGGTATAGGATAAATAAATAATTTAAACCTGTGCATAAAAATTTCGAATTTTCTGGTCACATTTTCTTTTAAAAATAATTATAGTCTCGCCTACGAAAGACCTGAATCTGACATCATGAAGCGCAAACCTCGTAATTCCAAACGCGATAAACTTGTCAACGAGCGGTACGATTTTTTATACTTTCAAAAATGAAAAAAATGGGCAAAAAGAATTATAATTAAATATTACATCTCGACAGGTTAATTTCAATGGCATACGGTCAAATTGGAATGATGCAAGCGGTCGCTGGATTTTTCTCATATTTTGTCATCATGGCAGAAAACGGGTTTCTTCCCAAAAATCTCTTTGGCATCAGAGAAGACTGGGATAACAAAGTCAAGTCTGTTCAAGACCATTGGGGGCAGGAATGGGTGAGTTTCAAATTAAACTCGCAGTATTTTATACTTCCATGCACTGCAACGTAGTGAAAGGATTGACCAAATTTTGTAAAATCATTTAGACCTTCAAACAACGCAAACATCTTGAGTATGCTTGTCAGACTGCATTTTTCGTTGCCATCGTCGTCGTGCAATGGGCTGATTTGATCATTTCCAAGACTCGTAAAAACTCCATTTTCCAACAAGGAATGACGTAAGAGTTACCTTGACTTGTATGAATTTCGGATCGCTGAACTAAAATCAATATGCAATTGATTTACAGGAACTGGACTTTGAACTTTGGATTGGTCTTTGAAACATGTCTCGCTGCCTTTTTGTGCTACACTCCGTACATCAATGCCGGCTTGAAAATGATCCCCTTGATGTAAGCCTTTAGTTGCATTTTAATTAATTATCTGAAGAGTTAAATGTTTACTAAAAATTTTACTAAAAAATGACTTTATTTTTAAGGTCTCAATGGTGGTTTTTGGCGATCCCCTTTTCTCTCTTCATCTGGGTGTATGATGAAACCCGTCGCTTATTGTTGCGCTCTTATCCCCCCGGTGGCTGGGTCGAGCAGGAGACGTACTACTGAAAAATTACTCTCTCACCAAAATCGATCAATTGTACAAATTGGAATCGATTTCTTTAAATTTAAATTATATTTGTGCGTATCGTAAAAATTTGTATGATTCCAATCCAAAGAATTACTTTTTGAATAAATCCTAGTGAAGCATTAGAAAAATGTTTGCATACATTATTTTTTCTGTTACAGAACTTCCAGTACTTACACGATAAGTAGTTTTGTTAATAATACAATGGATATGTGCGTGCATGCATTTTAGTTGGTGGATTATCTACCAAAGGAAGTTGAGTAGTTATGTAGTATGAATTAGTAATATGTGCAAAGTTTCATGTTGAGTATTATAATCGAATCGATTTGCATAATATTCGCCAAAGGCCGTGATGGTGCTGTCTGTATATGACGATTCCACGAAAAAAAGTAATAATGAGTCATACGAGTCATACTTCTTTCTTGCACAAATGCCATCGAGTGACGTTGTTTAGGTTAGGAATGCAATGCAAGCAGTGAAGGGAGGATGTGTGTGAATTTATTCTGAGCAAGAAAATTCACACAAGTTTAATTTGTAAAATTTCGAAATATTTATTATTTATTCCAACTACCGTATAAATCCATTATTACTGACTGACTATACTGCTACTGCTGTACGATTGAACTTATTTATTTAAGTGAATATTAGAAAGTGTGTAAACATAAGATTGAACATTGCATTGTTTAAAAAAAGAAGAATAAACTGATTTGATTGACGTAAGTTTTTGATTTTGAATATTAAATAAATAAATAAAATGTCTATTTTCTAGAAAATTGAAAATTTTGTATGTTCTAATCCTAATTATAGGATTTGAAAGAGATTATATTGAGCTGCCAAGACTAAAACATTAGTCAATTGTGAATATGATGGGACATTAGTTTAACGAGGTAAGTTATCAGTGTTATCGCATGATAACTATTTATTTATGTCTATCTGATTTGGTGGTAGTGAATGGGTTTGTACTTATTCATTGGGTAACCCATGAGTAAGTACAACGGGTTGATTTAGTTGAAAGTGTTTTCGATAAAGATTAATATATCCAATCTTTAAATTAAATTTTACTGTAATATTTTAGAGCTAATTATGAAAATGATAATTGCAGAAAGAAGTGGACATGCCCAAGTGTCTTCGTGATAAGAAGTACTCGTCCCCTCCTCTTCCGCTTCGACTTAATCTCGCATCGTTTGTTGTAGTTATTTTCGTCGTCGTTTTATGTTCCTTGCATTGTATTGACGCTAGGCCTTCTCCGGATCGTGACGATTTTTGGGACTTCAAGAAAAAGAAAAACAGAGAGGACTTTGACTTTGACGACGAAGAAACAATGGAGACGTGAGTCAATATGTGTATTTATGATTTAATGCATTTACAAAATGGATTTCCTTACTTCAAACTAACTTTTAATTAATTTCTTAATTTTCTAGAATTGTGAATATCATTGTTGGAGTCGTGGTGTTTTTCTTTGTTGCAATTATTGCATTCATTGCTTGCCTTTGCTGTCCGATATGTCTCCTGGCTAAGATGCGAGGTCGGCGCCGTGGAGTCGTTTACCGATGTAAGATTTACTTTTAAAAATAAAATTCATGGTTGATTAGCTAACTCTAATAACCCAAATTATTATTCTTTTTGCTACATATTCAGCCGCCGTAGAAGCAAATGGAACCACTGTCACAACAGAAGAGAGACGTGGAGGAACGACGATAACTATTTCTGCTCCACCATCTCGAGCACCGAATGCTAACCAAGTGCAATCAATTCCTGTCGCATCCTCGACAACTACGAGTCCTTCAGTGATTGCAATTTCGAACAATGCGCACAAACAGAATAAACCGTACCCGGTGCAAGAGTCGGTCACCGTTGTTCCTCTCGTCGTTCCACAACAACAACCACCAATGATGAGCCATCCCGGATATCTGCCACAACAACAACAAGTTCCTTACCACCAGTATCCACAGCCTGGCTACCAACAACCTCCGTATGATCCATCTCAGCAACAATACCCTGGACCTGCCGGTAATTACTTTTGATTCGATTATAGAAAGACTAAGAATTTGTACTGATTTTTATTTCATCTCAATTCAGATCCACCTCCCCCCTATCCAGGGCTTACCAGGGACATTGATAACGCCAATTTGCCATTCAACCCTTATTACACTGACGGTCCTCAAGCATCTGCTCCTCCTACCAAACAATAATTATTCAACAAGATAATAACATAAGGAACTGATCTGATTTTCGTGGTAGCGAAGAAAACAGAGATCCTAGACACATAATATAATTATAACCACGCATAAGTATTTTTCAAGCAGCCTTACTATAGTATAATGCTATTCTGACATAGTGTCTTTGTCGCACTCATGAAGTTCATGTACCTTAAATTAATTGATTCCTTGACAAGGGCTTACTTCGTTTGCCATATTTAAGATTATAAAATGGTTATTTTCTATTTCTGACGATACATTCGATTAAATAATTCAAAGATTTTGAGAACAAGTCACTTATGAGTTAGAATTTACAGTTTTTGCAATCCAATTTCCATTGTCCTCAACAAAGTACAACAAACGTATTTCAATTATGTATGACCTTCGACTTTGCAACTTCCTGCAGAGTCATTGTGCAGGCAGAATTATTTGTTTTGCCGAAATCAAATGTATCCATAATTCCCCAACACAATTCTTCATCAATAACTTCGACGTAACTTATGTAGATATACAATATCGATAAACCATAGGCCTTTACAAGTACCAACAAACAACCAATATACCTGTATCGCTAGTAAGAAGACTGTTATTAATTAGTACCCGTGTAAAACCACAAATCAATTATGCGCATTTGTTCCTAATAATAAAATATTTCCCGTCAAGTAAATACTTTCCCTTCACCATAATAATTCTCAAACCACATCAAAGACGTCCGTACGTAGAATACGAAGATACGAAGCAGACCAGAACATTACAATAACCTTTAAAAAATGGGGAGCACATACATACATAACAACCCCACAAAATCCTAGCATCTTGTCCTCTTCATGAAATCCAAGAGATTAGGTTTCCCCCGAGACTGGGAAACTGTGTTCGTAAGTAAGTCTAAGGTACACATAAGTAAGTTCCTCCAGGAGGCGATATTCTATTTCCTATTGGGCATCATTGCATTGACGTCTCTCTGCCCCATCCATCTGACCTTATTGGTTGGGTGGTTGGTTGGCAGGATGAGGATGCGGATTGTATCCCAGGTAAGTATTTTTAGGTCTCTTGATCCGCTTTATTTTGTTGTCGGCTAGAGAAAAGAGATATAGAAGAAGAGGGGTTGCGAGAAAGTAGTATAATTTCCTTGTACCTCTGGGTCCGATTTACCATTTATCATTACTTCTGCTTAGCCGACTACGACCAGACCAGACCAGACCACCGCCAGGACTAACCTTTACAAGAGCACTCAACTGCTCGAGCGATTAACTCCTTCTTCCTGTCATGTAAAAAGCAATATGTAATGTTCTCAGCCAGTAATGGACATTTTATTCTCTTGCGGCGTACTTTTTAGTCTAAAATTTCTCCCTTTTTTAAAGAACTTGAAAAATCGGGGTGTATTCACACCGGAAAAATCATTGTCTCACGTACCGCTATGCTTTCTCCAAATTTTGATATATTTGTTACGTATGCACCCATGTCTGCAAGGGTGGAATGACATCTCGTTCAGCAAGCAGAGCAACTGCTTTATTGAAGTTTATTGCTCTTGTACTCGATGTATAATAATAATGTTTACGAGGCCACTATAATCCTTAAGCAATCAAAAAGCAGACTTAGTTTCCAATACTTTCCATCCACCCGTTGGATCAGCTTATTTACATTCATTTGTTGTCCCTGTATTTTCATTGTCTCGATTTTTACGAGATTCGCAATAATGTGGCAGCCACAAATTCGTTCCGGAGAGAAAGCAGTCTGATCCAGAAACATCAAACACGGAGCAGGATCGAGAGGTCGTAAAATTGAGCATACAAAAAGTTAAATGCGAGACATGCGAGACATGTATATTTCGCTCTTGTGAAAGTTGTTTTCCCAATTTTTCATGCAACAAGACTACCTACACGACGAGAACAGGTGTCATACGTACATGCAGCCACCTTTCTGTAGTTACATTTCATGCACATGCAAGGCCAGGAAATCCAGAACCATAAATCTGGTCAGCCAGCACAGTATAATCATCATCTTTTCTTCTTGAAGGAGGCTGTGTTTAGTCAAAATCAAGAGAAGATGGATCATCATCAAACACTTGGAAAGCAACCGTGCATCCAAAAAACAGAGTTCATGCCGCATTTGCACCTGCAAAAGCACAACAGAGTCAGCTCTTCTACGTGTATGTATGTGCATGCATATTATGTTTCTTTCCATCCACGGACGGCAGGCAAGGTCTGGTGGAGAAAGCGGAGAAAGATGGATCGACCAAGTCTGAAAAGACGTCACTTCTCTCTTCCTTCTCTCCCCCACCTGTAGCCTGCAACCGGACTGCTTTTCTGCTGCTTTTGTACTTTACTTACTTTACTTTACCTGGATTGGAGTTTATCTTTTTTTGCACCAGGAGAAGACTGATTCTCTCAGTGAAAGCAGTTTTGTCGTGCTAGGTGCATGTAAGTAAGGAGCGAGTGAGGAGTGAATGCTGCATATGTATTCGGCTCAGGATGAGAAGAAGAGACCCCTGTGGCTTGAAAGCTTGCCTTGTGACGCCATTACACAGCATTCACACGAGTATCAGAGTACCACTGGTAAAAGTATTAATGGTTATTTGGTTTAGGGAGAAAAGGAAGGTAAAGTAGGCTAGGCAGGCAGGTAGGCAGGTCGCAGGTGGGTAGCTTCAAGTGCTATTCAACTCACCATCAGACGTATAGCAGCGCAACGAAACACCAAATACTTATAAAGAATCAAATATAAATCTCGTCACCGGAACGGATTCCGTCGGAAAAGTCTTTGGAAAACGTTAGGCAAACAGGTTGAAGATCGATGCCCGTACATTTAGATATACTTTTGAAAGAGATGTGACCTCATTTCTATATTAATTTCACAAAATATTTGGCAATCATTCCCCACTCGAATCTCAACTCGTTCCAACAGCAGAAATATGTTATGTGTAAGGAAGGAGTCCTCCATTGTCTAGAATCTATCAAACATCAAACTAATGAGAAACTGATGATCATCTCGTGATGACGCGGAGGAAACAGAGGAGAAATGCAAATATGTAGGGAAACCTGTACAGGCAACCTACGGACGACCTCACTTTCTCTCCCAGTTCGTCGTCCGGTAGTGAAAGTAAAGTTCCCACCGTAAGAAAACCCACGGGCTGGCTGCCATGTACGTATTTATCGCTCATCTCTCGACATTGTAGGCCGACTTATCTCCCTTCCTGACTCGTTCCTTGCTACCATGAAGAATAGCCCCGCACACCAGCCCAGCCTGCTCCCAGAGATTGCACATTGTTGTACATTATTTGCATCAAAATCGGCTCAGGAATCGTCGTATGTACGGTGCCCATCCATCTTCTCTGGTTTTCTCATCATCACAGGTTTTACTCTCCCGTGGTCTGGTATCCCACCTAAAGTATCAAGGTATTAGTTAGCATTTGTAGCACCACCATCGCCTCCTCGTTCCGTTCGCAAATCCATCTACCGCTTTATTACGGTGAAAGTGCGGTGGAACGGTACCCACTTTCTGCCTGCATGCAATAACTCTTAGCGAAACAGACCAAACTTTCTGGGAGTGAAGAAGGAGAAGAGAAAACCTATTGGATTGGAGGAGAGGATCTCACTTTTCTTATCTCTCGCTCTATCTCTCCCGTTTTCACAGGGTGAGAATATATATTTATATTTTATGCCATCATTTATATGCTATCGTCGTATATTACACGTAAATTCGTCGTTTAGTTTAAAAGGGGGGAGAGATAGATACGTAGGTATAAAGTAGTTGGGGAATCGTGGTGGTGGTGGTGGTGGAAGAACTCTACTTTCTCGACGGGAGAAACTTGAGGGGAAAGTTCTTCTCGAGGCAGACCTGTGAACAAGAAGTAAGTAAATTCGGTTTGCAAAGTGAGTACGAGATAAATTTCATTGTATGAACTGAGGAGGGGAGCTTGCGAGGTTGATAATAACAGATCTTGATGCCCTTTGGATATGTGGTAGGGTCCTATGAGTGTACTAAACCCCTGAAGTGGTTTGACTCCATGGCCACATTTGCGCCCGCCACACCCACTCAAAAATGTCCAAAAAACGCTTTCACCCCAGTTTTCACTCACTCAAATTCACGCCAAAAATCCAATTTTACTCGGATTTTGAAATTTCTTTCACCATTATACTCCCAGATAGTTGCTTTCTTCAATCCAATATCAAACTCAATTTTTTCGAAATTTTTAGTATTTTTAAAATTTAAAATTCTGAATGAGCATTGTTGTAGTCATCAACAAAACAAATTATGTTTGCGAAATAATCATCAATAAAATTGAGTTTGATATTGGATTGAAGAAAGAAACTATCTGGGAGTATAATGGTGAAAGAAATTTCAAAATCCGAGTAAAATTGGATTTTTGACGTGGATTTGAGTGAGTGAAAACTGGAGTGAAAGCGTTTTTTGGGTATTTTTGAGTGGGTGTGGCGGGCGCAAATGTGGCCATGGAGTCAAACTACTTCAGGGTTTTAGTACACTCATGGGTCCCTACCACATATCCAAAGGGCATCAAGATCTGTTATTATCAACCTCGCAAGCTCCCCTCCTGAGCGGATCTTCTCATTCTCATTTTAATCCGAGGAGGACTCTGCTATGGTCCGTGCATTAAAAGAAGACCGAATTTTGTGTATGGGATCCTTATGAAAAATGGGTCTTCATACTTCGAGGAAAAAGTACTCAGCAGGAGGAAATTTGATTTCTTACTCTACATACACACACGTCAAATGGACCGTCCTCACAAAATGGATGGTGATGATGGCCATGACTTAATTCCTATTCAAATCCCTTTCCAAACAAACTTGATTTCGCATAATCCAGAGTAAATGAAGTTGAAAATGTTCGCTACGTGATCGTGATGTGATTCCGTATACATTTTCTCACTCAACTCGCTCAGCCAGAAATGGAATTTGAAATTCAAACAACCCAAGAGAAGAAGAAGAAGAAGACCTAGAAATGTCCTCTCTGAACCGAACTCTGTCGTCAAACTTGAGACCAAAGTTTTGTCGAAAGTTTGACTTGGCAAAAGAATAAGAAGAGAAGATGATTCTGCTGCTCCTGAAGATGATGATGATGACGACGATGATACCACTTCGTCTCATGCCATAAAATCCATAAGGGAAAAGAAAGCATAGCACAAAAAAAGCTTTGTTCGCCGCTAATAAATACATACTTTCTCCATTGGAATCACCAAAATAAAAACAAAGCAAACCACAACCAACCAACTTGCCATCCATCACTGATACGACTGACTGCTGCACATTCCTCTCTCTCTATCCGATCAACAGATGAGGAGCGAGGCAACATGAAGAGGGTCTTCTCTCTCTCTCTCCGAACTGAACCAGGCTGACTAAAGGGCAAAGGTATTATCTGTGTCTGTGTGTTTAGCAGTGGTGGTAAGGCTGGTGGCTTTCTCCTCGCACTTTCTCCTCCTCGTCCGGGCCGGGTTCAGTTCACTTTGGAACTGGCTGCTTGCCTCATCAAAATCTGAATCTGACTCCTCTCCGACAAAGTAAGCGTGTTGTTACTGTATCCGACCAACCGACCGCTTGTGGGTTGTAGTTGTCACTAATTCGTTCCGTTGGTGGTGGTGATGGTGGTGTCACGACGGGTGACAATTTTGCACGCGGACGAAACGACCTTTTTCTCCTCACATATCTGAGCAATAATAGTTGTCTCACAAAGGAGACGAAAAAGGGAGAAAGTAAGTGAGAGACAGCACTTTTTTCTTAGTGACAACGACGCTTTTGTTTGGTGTTGATCATCTCTCACACTCACATTGGCCATAAAAGAGACGAAGAAGGTTTTAGCCAAGCGAGCTGTGCATTTTAGTGGGGACTCGAATTCTTAAGACGGACGGTAAGCTACAGTCTCACAAGACGAAAAGTGGAGTGGAGGTGAAATCACGGGAGAAAATTAGATTGTTTTTCTATTTCTTTTTCATCTTGGTTGATCGAGTTGGTGAAAGTCTTCTTTTTTTCTTCCTCCTTCACGCTGGGACAAACACTTATTTGCTGCTTTCTCTCTCTCCACTTGGTTTGGTCGTCCGTTGGTCCGTTTTTTCTGGCGTTATTGTGTCGAGGGCCGAAATCGAATCTGCACTGGAGCAAACAAATATAAACGATCTACACAATTCACGATGCGAAACGGAGTGAAAGGTACACGTCCTTGACTGATGGATGGACTGGTGGACGACGACGATGACAGGGTAACAGTGTAATAATAGTTATCAGCTAAAGTCGACTGGTCGTGAGTGAGTGAGTGTCATTTTGCTCGTCAAGTGGTTCCCGTGCTAAGAATAACGTGCAAAAGACACCCAACGGGGAAGAGTTTTGGAGAAAGTAAGTAAGCAAAGTTATTAATAAGGAGAGGAGGAAATTCTACTAACAAAGTGAATTTAGTTAGCGCCTCAAGTTAAAGTTGTACCTAGATAGACAGTCACTCTCCTTGAACTTGGTTGGTCGTATCATCATCATCATCGTCTCGTCCACGGTTGTGACAGCATCCCGTCTTTTGTCTGAAAAGTGCATTGCTTCAGAGAGAGGAGAAAGCTACCTCGTGTTTGTGGGAAAGATTGTGATCTTCTTGTTCATAATTTTGACAAGTTTGGTTGGCAGACTTTATTGAGGAGACTTGAAAAGAGAGACAAAATGAGATTATTCACCGTTCCACCGCTCCGTTCTGTGCTGCGAGAAGGACAAGGGAATGAAGGAAATGTTACTTTTCAGAGTTGTCTCACCACAAACAGCGTCGTTCCACTAATCGCATCAAAATGAGACACGACAATCGTATCGTAACCTAATCTTGTGGCCAAGTTGAGATGAGACTAGGATTTTTGAGTGACAAAATGTGAACAACTTTAACAAACTGACAGGAAGCCAATAAAATCACCCATATTTTACCCGTGATATGGAATATTCGACTTTGTAAGTCGATGCTAATGCATATTTTCATGATTCAATCAAACTAATCGTATCGCTCGAATTATGTATTGTTCTCGCATTGTTCCAGATCTACGGTAGCCTTGACTCTGGGATTGTTTGCCCTCGTTTGTCTCACAGCTGGATGTCTGATACGACACTGTTGTCCGTTCTGGATTTCCGAAAAGATTGGAATGTTCCGGGAACGGGTTTACCAAAGTATGTGTATCGCACTAATACTAATTATTATTTGCATAAGAAATAATCCACGACCTGGAGAAAGTAGCGAGATTAGTAGTCTGGTTTTAATTAAGATACAAAACTTGTCCTGTACTATCTTCTTTTCCAAAAAAAAGAAAAAAATCTCATTCCAAATCCCGTCTCATTTACCCAACGAAAAGTTATTTCCTTCCACCCAACTCATTACTAAACTAGCCTTACTTTTCTTCCTTATTTTTCAATCTCATCCTCAGCCAGCCAGCCTAATTTGCAATTACTAAAAGTTGGCGAATATCTAATTTTTGCACAGCCGAGCTGCACAACTTTTCCAAGAGTCCGTCCCTCTTCTCGTGCAACATGATGGGGCGATCTCACCCCACTCATATAAACATCCCCATCGTCATTGTGTCGGACGAGAACGGGAAGCGTGTCATGGGGGGAAAGGACGCCCACTGCGTGTACGAGAAGCAAGACATGGAGGAAATCTTGTGAAAAAATGTCGTCTTTTTTGCAAATGCAACCAATCATCCATCCCATCCAAGTAAATGATATCAATCACTTCAGAGTACGTAATATTCTATTATGTATCACCACCACGATAGCAATTATCTCATCGTATCATCGTATCGTCATCGTATCGTATTCGTTGGTTCGTACTACGTGTCGTCCTTCGCATCCTGCCGTCGGCCTGGGTCACAAACAATTTCATTTCGGAATGAATGCTATCGCGTATCGTTGAGTTCAAATTATAAAAGTTTTATCTACGACTCCCTCAGGAAATTAGAACCTTGTTGTTGAAATGGAACGTAAATAAACATGGACTCGAGGACACGGGTGGAGGAATCATCACCGTCTAATAAAAATGACGAGGAGGAGATTGTATTTACGTGTCAGGGTTAAAAGGTAACCATTTCGGTGTCTATCGAAGTCCTTTGGGGACGAAGAGATAGATGGAGGAGATCCAATTCCAATTCGCAGCACTCTTTCTGCCTGGCTGGTTGGTTGGCTGCTAAAATGACAATCACCACACGAGGGTCGAATTACCAATTACTAGGCTAAACTTCATAAATTTGCTACATGATGGAGGATGCTATTTTTAATACGGTTTCACTATTTTGAAGTTCCCTATATCTATATCGTATGTATTTATTTGCATATCTACTCGAGCAGTAATTGGGTATAATTAATTACAATTTTCCAGCATGATTCCTTTCTCCTACCTAAATTTGTCTTGTGTGGGAGCGATTTTGTTTGTGATCCTGATTGCAGAACACTTCACTTTGGGAGATTACGTACATACACAGTCGTCCCATTAATTATTGTGGTGAGGTGGTGGAAATTCCAAGAAATTTATTCCACCACCAGCACGAACGAACGAAAGTCTATTTAAACTGAAAAGCTTACTTTACTTATGTACATACTTTACTTACCTCGGCAATTTACGACCAGTGATTGGTCCTAAAATATTGTGACAGTCTCAGAATAAATGTTGTGCTTTCTCTCTCCTCTCTAAACCACAAGGTGTGTAAGGATTGCATAAATATATCACTATTTGTACGAAGTAAGTAGGATATTGCAGGAGGAGGACTGTTACCGCGTCTTGTTTATATAAGCTAAAAATATAATTGTGTTGCGTAATAATGAAAATGATACTGTACTAATATTGCTAATAAGCTGATGAAACTCGTTGCAAACTGTGACACGACGAAAAGAAAAGAGATCTAGTTTTCAAAAAAGGCTAGAAAATATTAAGCAGATGAGAGAATCACTTTTGTACATAGGAAAGAGAAAGCTGCTTACAAACTACTTATGTATGAAACTAAATTGTACTAAATTATTGTCCGATGCGTTTAACGGATCCAGTTATTGATTATGATTATTATGTACTACAAAGTATTAAATGAGGTGGAGAAATGTATTATCTACATATTTATGGACGTGAAGTGATAATTGATTAATTAATTAATTACTAATTGATGATAATAAACCGTTCCATAAATTCCTTCCTGTTTTAACGGATCGTGTTCTTATTGGTTTCCATCTCTCGAACTTTCCTAGTCATATTTATGTTACGACGCATATAGCCATTGGTTCAACGATGAGTTTTCCATGAAGTAGGAGCAAATGGATGTCGAAATCACTCAACTATTAGTTCGTTCATATTGGTGAATCCTCTTGTGTGTGACCCTTGGTGGTTTGGGTTTGGGTGCAGTGGCGCCGGAAGTTGGGGGGGGACAAATGGGGACATTCATATTGTGGGATTTGGACGAGGGGGGACTTATTGGCATACAATTTTGCTGAATTTCTGGGGGGATAATGTCCCCCTGCTTCCGCCGCCAATGAATTTGTACTGTACAGCATGTGCCATATAGCCATATATATGTATTTGTATTTACGATACATGGATGCTTTCACCCTCCAGTCATTAGTTGGTGAACCAACGTGATGATGAAAGTGACCACTTGGTTCGTTTCGTGGCCAGAAAAGCAATGTTATTTCAACGAATGTATCTACGTGCTTACATCACCACTGCCATAACTTACACACTTTATGACGCCATCGACTTTTATTAATTCCGCCACCACCACGACCACCCCGACCATCAACTACAGACAAAGTACAGCAGCTGATTAATCATAGGTGAAAATTATATTGGAAATGAGTCATTAATTTTTGTTACTTTTGCTAATTAAAACGGCCTAAAAATTGAGTGCATGCATGCACACGCTAAGCGGACTGACAATAGAAAAAAGAGCGGAATAAAAGGAACAATACGTTCGTTCGTTGGAGCAAATGACTGATGATGATGGGAAACAAGGAACGAGGAAAGTGCGACGACATACATCGCGACTAGAGCAGAATGCTTTTTGTCCCAGCGACAATAATAACAGGGAGCCGGGAACGTAATCCATTTCACTTTCACTTCACACAAAACTGTGGAGATTTCCTTTCCTCCTCGGTCGCTGGTTGGTTTGCGGGCGGGTGAAAGCAGAGAATCTTTGAGCAGTCGAATTGAACGCTTTTTGCTACTCTTGATGATATGAAATGATGATGATGATGATGGGATTGTACGTCGTCGTGTCTTCCTCGTCGGATCGGTTCATCGTGTCTATAACTTAATTTATACAAATTTAAGTCCATTTGCTCCAAATTTTACTTCATTACTCACTTTACTTACGCCGTGTCGCATCCGACATCCGTTCTGGTGGGGCGATTTATCATGATATGTTTGTTCGAGGTTGATCCTCGTCACAATGGGGGAACGAACGTGTATGTGAGAGGATGAAGCAGTGGGTGGAAGAATTGGGTACAGTTTTCAGCAGTATTTCGAATTATTGTAGGGTAGAGCCCATTTATGGGAAGATTTTGTCCGTCTGTCTGTCTGTCAGCAGGATAACGGTAAGAATGGATTGAGATCTATTTGCTGGATGATACATATGACCCCAAGGGGAGGATCCTATCAACTTTTGGGGTCAATCGGACCGTCCCCCTTCGAGGTCAGGGGGTGCGGTCACATAAGTCACATAATTTTTACTTGTTTTACCCATTGTTACATTACGTTTACTACGATTTATTATTGTACGTATTTATTTTCTGCGAGAAAAAGAGACCAAACTTACAAACGATGTATATATTTATTTACGATTGCGAATTCTTTTGTACCCTATTTTACTTTGTGTATGTACGTATCATAAAGTTAGTTTAGCAGCCTAATAAAAATTGATTTGTTTGAACAGTTCGTTTCATTTCGTTTGTCGGGGAGACGGATGGATGGATGGACTTGCAAATGTCAAACATTATCCTCAGAGTTCTCGGTAGTAAATACGTCCATCATCATAATGTTTCCTCATCGCATCTCTTCTCCGGCTTCATTTCATCCACGTCTCCTCCTCATCTGGCCTTGACAATTAGAATTGGATCCGAGTCTCGGAAACAGGTTGGGCTTGTTCACCTTCACTCCTGTTAAATCAAAGATTAATAAATATTATTTACGCTGCCAGAGTAAAATTAAGTTTCGCAGTTCGTGTCACACTTCTTGATCTGCGACGTCCTTTAATCTCAACTTTGTTCCGGGTAGCGAATTTACTTTTGATCGCAAAATAAATAAAAATGAGATGAAGAAATGAAATGATACCTCATCGCGACATAGACCGATTTGCTGGCCGAAGCCTTCTTAGAATTCCCAAATAAGCCCAATTTTTTTTTCCTTGAAACGACCTTTGTCCAGCAAACGAGGGATTTTATGATGACGATAACCAACCCAAAATTTGCGAGGAGTCCGATAACCATGAGGCACAAAGAGATCGACACGGATGGGAAGGAGAGTGGGATTTGATCTCCTTCCATAAGCCGCCACCAGCCCTCCCCCTCCGCCTGAAATTATGTATTCAATCAATTCAATCCCGTTATTGTCAACGAAAAATGTAATCATTTCATCTTGACGAGAAAAAAACTCAATAATAAGAAACCTCACAAAAAAATCTCTTGTTGCATAAAATTTGTATTATAAATACACATATTTTTCCGTAATACATAAGTTGGAGAAGATTTTTTTTAAATATAATGTACAAACGCGACATTGTCCAAATAATGAAATGCGTCAATGTAAGTAAAAGCTTTTTCCTGCTCCTTCATTCAACCCACCTTCAAAGGGGAGTAAGTCAAACCAAGGACATTTTCCAGCTCGGGATGAATAGGCGGAGATGTTGAGTGGGGTGGAGGAGGAGTACCAGAAAATGTCATCTTTTCAAAGTAAAATTCCACCTTTTGAAACGAGGAGGAGACGTTTGAAGGAGTTTTTTTATGTAACAGAATTAATTGGAGCGCACTACTCTGCTCAGACAAAGACTTTTGGTCTCAAAATTGGGTGACCTTTGGAATCAGTTAATAATATTTAATTTGTGTAATGAAGAGTCACTGGTGGAGGTGGAGGTAAAAAAAAGAGGGGGAGATCGATGACTGGTATTTGTTCCAAAGTAGGAGGGGAAGTATCGACTAACAAGTTCCATGAAAAATAAAAGTGATACATGCAGTCTGTCTGATTTGTAGGGGGAGCACGTACATAATTTTGCATGTATTTGCTCAACGCATCATTTACATTCTTTTGATTTTCATATGTATGCATGTAATACATGATATTTTCGCAAATTTTGGATTTGACTCGGCTCCAGGAAGGACACTCTAAGAAATTTTAGCATCGGATTATTATCACTGACCGGTGAGTATATGTGACTTTACAGGATGGTGATAATATGTCACCGCTCGGTTACAGCGGAATCACAACGTGGGAACAAGCTCGGTGACAGTCTATCACCAAGTCAAAGCATACTACTACCAATATGGTAACAACCCGACCACCGGATTTTCTAGAGTGTTCCCACGTACATACGAGTACCTAATATGCAATCCAAGCGATGAAGAGCTCTACACGTCGGTGGATGGATGCATTTGTGTATGTAATCTCGCTCCGCTAACCAAATGATTTGTTCATCGTCAAGTCTGGAATTGGATGCATTGATTGAAGTTGTTCCTTTAAATTGGCATAAAATAAAAGCAGCAGCAGCAGACGCAGTAAAACCCATTCGCTAATGATGAATTCCAACATTCTCCACATTCTGCCATAGACATTCTTCTCTTCTCTTGATTTCTACGTATTCCATCTCCATCATCTCCATTGAATTCCCGGCCAGCTCCGGAGAGGACAAAACGATAAAACCACAACGGTTTGTTGTTATGCGTTGTTTCCCACAATCAGAATCAACCTTGGTTCCTGAACTAAATTGAATTAATTAGCACAATCTAAATTGAACATGGCCAAAATCTGGACCACAAAAGTCATTGTGTGTCATAAATCCAGTTTCAAGTAAAGTTTACTATCCCATAGCGGATACATATGTCAATGCTGAATATATTGCCAAAACCCCGACCAAGCTATTTGCCAATAAGAAGATACGATGGGATTGCACTTTTTTAACACTTGTTTTTCACGTGGAGCTAAAATTATCTGCATGTATCGAGGAGTCACACGTGTCGAGTCGATCATGGTAATGCAATTCTTTTCCAACTGACAACCTCACCACTGGTACGAAGGTCGTCACGTATGTGTTTAAATATCTCGCAATGACACAACAGCAAAAAACCACACAGACAGAGTAGAAACCCGGTTTTGGCTACTACGACCGTTCCGAACACGGAACGTTCTTCCACAATTCTTCCCATTCCACTCTCCACGGCTTTTACTTTACTGCTGGTTGGTTTGCCATTATAATGTCTGTTCGGTCGTGACGATGATGATGATGATGATTTCGTGGACATAAAGGTGGTTCTATGGGTTCGTGTACAGTACAGCGTGCTATTTTTAACACGGCACAATGCAATCATGTGCTCAGGATTTGGACACCCTGACGCAGAAATATAAAGCATGACAAAGTACAAGAAACGGCACGACCAAAGCCAAGTACAAGTATTATTACGGTACGGTAAGGTAAGTGTTCGCGTCCTATCTGGCCATGCAATTTCTCAGATGTAATTTCGCAAATTGCAAACTAGCAATTTTTTCGCGTTCTCATCCATTCCCTCGTCCCCACTTTCTCTCATTCTTTCATATCCCCCAACGGATCCCCACTTTACTTTGCACTTTCCTTCTTCGTATTGCACGAAGAAGGCGAACAAACTGTCACGGGAGACGGCGACATCACATTACATTTACTCGGCTCCCTCCATTACACGAATTCATTAATGCTGAGCACATTTCTCCCATTTTTCCGGTCCTCTATAGATTTGCATAAGTGTTTCCAGACCAGAAGTGACAGGCAGATAGAAGCGAGCCTGTTACATTATTTTGTAAGTTTTTAAGAAATTAACGAGAAATGTTGGACACGTGTCCGTACGAGGTTCGCGTCTCGCCGCAATTTGGTCGCTACTTGGTCGCGGCGAGGGACCTTGGCCCCCGAGAGACGATAATCTCGGAGGATCCAGTGATCGAGGGGCCGACTGATGAGCCTGGAAATATCCCATTGTGTCTGGGATGTTGTGCTAAGCTGACGGAAAATCAATACAGTCGCTGTTCCAAGTGTCATTTTCCTTTATGCGGCGTGTCATGCGAACAGGTAAGCACATAAGTAGGCGAAGTAAGGAAAATACGGCTTTTTTGAGACATATTTATTCCACCAGTTCTACCGTTTCGTATAATATTCCTCAGTTCAAGTAAATTTGTTTTATTTAATAAAGAAGGAGAACAAATAAAATACATGCATTTGTTCGAGAGTCGAAGGTAGAAAAGTGGGGAAAGTTTGAGACTTTGAGACACTTTTTTTACTTAACAAACATGCTACAAGTTTTTGGTGAGCAGAATTTTTTCCAGCTTCCCAATAAAATATGGTTGGTCCAATCTGCTTCCCAGAAACTTTTGTCATGATGGATGACTTGAATAATTACTTTATGAATTACTTTCGCCGATATTATTTATATACTCGTCTGCATAACTTATTTCATATAATTGGCAAGTCTATAAGTTTAACGCTTCCTTTAGAATTCGTCCAAGTTTTGGATACAAAAAAAGCAAATTAAACTTTAAATCTAATTTGCCATTCTACTTATTTTTCTTCTACCCTGCAAAATTCAGGGGAGTCTGCACGCGGCCGCCGAGTGTAAAATCTTTCAAGGAAATCACGTCTCATTTCCACCACCTCATACAAAGCACGTGCTCAACAAGAGCATAATTATCTTGAGATGCCTACTCCTGAAAAATTCAAGCGATAAAAAGTGGGACCAACTCATGACTATGTCTGACAATAATGAGTCTCGGAGAAACCGGCCAAATTGTATCATCGCGGATGAGCGCATTTTAGAAAACTTGAGACATTTTCTCCCCTCGCGAGAAGGAGAAGACGACGACGAAAAAGAAGATAAGGCCACGGCAATGATGACCTTCGATACTCAAGAAGTTATACGATTGAGCGGAATTTTGGACGTAAACGCTCACGCCTTTCCTTTCAAAGGAGGCGATGGAAAAGTTATAGCGTAAGTTTGTCTTGTTATTGGATTCCCTTTCGAATTTAACTTGTAGGAAGTGCAAATGCAGGAAAATACGCTGGTAACAGGAGGGGAAGGCATTATTATTATTTTCCGTAGTAATAGTAGTCCCGTCGCGATAACTAAATCTTAACCCATGTCTGTCAGTCTTATCTATCCTCTCTCTCTCCCATTGAAAATCAAGGTGATCTTGATCTTCTGCTGATGCTTCCCATTTGCCTCCACTCGACTGACTTTCACCTTCTCTCACACGATCTCAGAGGAGGAAGAGGAGGACGGCCCGACGAGTCAGCACAAGAGACAGGCAGGAGAGGATGACAGGACAGGTTTTTCCAATTTGAGAACATCGCTCTCTGTTTTTGGCACAAAGTTTAGCACGACGGCGTCCAGGCATGAAAAGAATACGGATAGATAAAAGATTCGAATCCGTTTTGTTTGCTTTCTACAAATTTGAAACCGTAATGAGGAGGATGAGCGATTTGTTTACTGTTTTATAAATAGAAAGAAGGACTGACTGAACGAGGTCGACGAGGCGGGAAGGGCACTAGGAGGCAGGAGGGAAGCAATATTCTCAGGCCGTGTTGTATGTCTTGTTGTAGCAAGTAGAACTTTCTCTTACTCGGCACGAGAGGAGGAAAAAGTTATTTGAGAGGAAATAATAATGAGGACGACATTCTAGGTTGAACTAACCTTTAGGCGTGTGTAGAGATTTATTATGTAATGCAAAGAAACCAACTTTCTTTTTCTCTTATTTCTCGCATCCATCCACACACTTTCTCCCCCTTGATCCGTGTCCTTGTAGAATTTACATTTTCTTGTTTAGATCAAAGTGTCACATCTACTTCAAGACGAGCCTGATTGCTCACAGTTGTTCGCCGAACGCTTCTTGGGCGGCGGATAAGGCGTCCAAAACTCGCCTCGTTATCCGGACGAACGTGCCCATCGGGAAGGGAGACCTCATCTGCGTGGCGTATGATGACAGTGACCTGCTCTACGGCACGTTGCGACGCCTCATCCCGATGGAAGTGAGCGGCATGTTCATCTGCAAGTGTGCCCGGTGCGTGGACCCCACGGAATTTGGGACTTTCTTATCCGCTCTGAAATGTCAGGAGTGCCCGAGGGGCTATTTACTCTCATTAAATCCGACAAACTCTTTCTCCGAGTGGAAATGCAACTCGTGTGCCCGCGTGGTTGAGGAGGTTTACATTTCTCAAGTGATAAATGAGCTTGAGAGGGCGGTCGGACTTCCGAAAAAGGATCTCCTCACGGAACCAGACTCGAGAGATGATGTCGTTCTGCTGAAGGAATATGTTGACGAGTTTGCAGGAAGTGAGCTTCATCCGAATCACTACATTATCCAAGAGGTGAACCTCCGCATTGTGAGGGCGCTTTGCTACTCGCTCCAAGATTTGGGGAAGGACGAGCTGGACGACTTTCTCCAGAGGTGTGCAGCCCTGTTGCGGATTGGAGATGTTCTTATCCCCGGTTTTGGAGAGTTTAGAGGCAAGGAGAAGACGTATAAATAACGAGATTTATTAGTGGGAGATATGTACCAAAGTTGATGATGACTTTAGATTTGTGTGGGTTTGTAGCAACTTATGTCTCTAATTAAGACTTGATTGCCTCCTACTGCGGTCAAATCTAATATTCGGATGGATTCGTTACTGACTGAGTCCAAAACTTGATGTGTGTTTAATAACTGTCTGAACAAATTTGTTGAGTTGAAGGGGGATCCAATTTCTGGGGATTTTATATTTATAATGAGACCACGAATAGCATTTCATCTCTCATTTTTAGCAATATTTGACTTTTTCCCGATAAATAATTACGCGTGGGTGGCACGTAATTACTTAGTTAACACACACTAACTAATTAAACTTTCTAACCTAATTCTCAAAGGTATCAGGACAAGGGCAGCTAGGTTGGCATACATACTTTTTTAATTTGAGTCTGAAAACCTAATTAAAAATTCGTGACTTTTATTCCTTTTGATGATTTGCATATTAATAAGAACGCGGAGCAAAGTTAATCATTCATTATTATTGCCTTCGCGTTTCCTCCTTTGTGATGTGCTCAATTTTATTTCTAATTACTTATTTCCAGCCTTTGTAGCGTACCACTACTTTCGAGGACTTTTAGCGTATCAGGAGAACGCTCCGATTTCCTTTCTCTCCTCCAAGGCTGATAAAGCCGGTGCGAAGACCGACCTGCAAAAATTTCTGGCCCGATACAAACTAATTTTGCAACTACAGACCGAAGTTGTAACGTTTCTCCTGGAAAAGTTTGCCCTGACGAGCCCACGGGTGAAGTACGTTCAAGAAACGATGGAGTTTGTGAAGGAGCAAATTAAAATTTTGGAGAGGGCGTCATCTTCATCATCTTCTGAAGAATGATGAGAGGAAGATGAATAATGGAGTACGCAAAATTAAATGAATTATCGATTCATGTTTCAGAAAGTGAGAATTATACCAAAACTGAGGAGGAGAAGAGGAGCTGATACATAAATGTGATGATTTTGATATTGTATTGAAGGGATAAATGCGATTTACCGAGCTAAATATAAATATATACAATCTGTATTGTTCGTAAATACACGAGAGATGTCACAAATAATTAATTAATTAAATATGTCACCACTATATGTACGTATATACAACAGATATCCTACCACAATAATTTGAGACATGACACGTTTTCAGGATTACCATTGTCACATTACGGAATATATTAGTTTGCACAAGGCAAAGTGACAATTTTCCATTAAACCTAAAGTGTATGTATGTACTAGTTTTATGTTATTAGATTTGGTTCGTTCGTTCGTGGTAATGACAGAATAATGAATAATGAAAGTGGGAAATCCCTCTAATTGGAAATGATTTAGAAACTGTAGGCACAAAGGGAAAAATGACAACCATATTGTACCGATATGCACGTACAGGGAGGGAATAAATGCCATTTTGGGATCAGAAATCCCCGGCTGAATTGGTGGATCTCCTGATATATATTCACTATCAGCAACATATCGGGCTTTTCCCAGAAGTACTAGTCACACGAATGAAGAGAGATGTTGCTCCCTCCTGGCCCTAAAAAAGTTTCATTGAAATTTTCCCTGGATTGGTTACATTTACATTGTTACGACGAACGAGGAGATGCTTTCTTGTGGCTGCCTCCAATTTATGGAAGCTTTATATTCATCTCTTCTTCTTCTTCTTCCAAGAAAATCCAGCCTCAGTCTCGGAAGAAAAATGTCATGTCATCACATCTTCGTCTTCCTAATGCGGGTGGACGTACACACGTATGTATTAGTAGTGGCTGCTGCTAGTGCTGCCTGCCTGGGATGATAAAATTTGAGACGGATTTCACCTCATTTTGCTCTGTTGAATTTGCCTGGGTGGATGTGATTCATGCACCCGGGCAGATAAGCCAATCATGCCCGAGATGAAGGAAATTTATAGAGAGGACGAGCCCAGCTTAGGAAAGAAGGAGGCAAAATTCTTGCTTCAAAGGGAGGGAGGCAAAACCTCACAAAAGCGAAAGATCGATACACTCACATATCTACAAAGTATTTAGCAGGCAGGTTTTCATTTTAAAGCATAATTACAAATTCCGTGGGTTGATTGAGAATGAGCGGAGGTGAAATTGACATTATAAATATCCATCTGCATACCTGGGGCTCGGATCAAGATTTATTTTGGGCGAGGGAGCGTAACCTTAAGCCGGTTATTTATGGAGGAGATGAAAATGCAGTTATTGCAACATGCTGGTATATTAATGAATGAGTTATAGATAGAAATAAGTCATCGTGTCAATGTCATTCATAACTTATGTGTCTAACATTAACATTAATGTGCCGAATTCTGCAGTGATTGGCAAAATATCTGCATCTATGCATAGTGTATTCTGCATATTTTTTTGCATACATACTCCTGCTAAAAATTTCTATCGGTTTTAGATATTCTACAGAGCAGAACTGTATGTACATAATTTTGCGCATAGTTTTCTGCACAAATCGCTTTGTATAAATTTTTTCTGCAAAAAATTGGACAAAATTTCCACAGCAAAGCCGTTCAAAGTTTTACTCGGGATAATGTAACTGGTAGGTAAATTTACTATGTTCAACGGCCTTTACCATCATTAATTTCTTTCTTAAAATTTCTTAAATTAAAATAAAATTAATAATTCTCAATAAAAATTTCTTACAAAATTACTCAAATATGTACATCTAACTAAACTTATCATGATTCGTGACGTGGGCGTCTACGAGATTATTTATTCGGGTCGAAAAAGAAGTTATTGTTTTACTTTATAAATACATCAAAGTGCATAATATGTAACATGGCAAATAGATTATTTTCGTCGAGGTTAAGTACAGGAAGGAAGGAAATATAGCAAGTGTGTACCAGAACAGAATCCTCCTTTCCCAAAATAAGTAAGATAGCAGCAACAATCTTGTCTTGACGAATCTCAAGTAAACACTCGGGCAGAAGGAAAGTTGGAAAGGTGGTAGTGGTGGTGGTTTGGTGGAGTAGTGACGTAATAAAGTAGGACGGTAAATACATAAGAAAGACGAGCACGAGAGCAGGGAAAGGATTACTTCTGCCTTACTTTCTTGATGAAAAAGGGAAACGATCATATGCAACTGGAACGATATAGCTTTCTCCAACGGTGTGAGTACGGAATAAAATTATTGATTCAGCTTCACTTATGGTTTTACGTCTCAAACACAACCTCCTCTTCTCCCTGCCTGAATAATGCATAGCGCCCGTCAAATCAAAGCCATGTTTCTGTCCATCGTCTCAAAATAACTATTCGTCTCATCAACCAACGCAGGGCATGTTCCTTCTTCCTTTTCTTCCATGTGCTGCTTGTAATACATCAAAGAAAATTGATTGTTGCTACCACTTTCTAATAGAATTAGAGATCAAATTCCGAATTTTGTAGATTCAATTCGACTTTCATCTGCTCCCTCGACACCAGTTTTATCCTTTCTTCTTCTTCGTCTTCTTCCTTCCTTTTCTTGCATGCGAGGGAGCAATACAATTTCAACTCGGTCGGGTTGGATGTGATGTGACCCAGGAGGATTTTTGAGGATTTGTCGAACAAAAGCCTGTTTGAGGAAAAGTGGCGGAATGCATGTTATGTATGTATGTAGGAATCTGATGGAACAGGTAGACAGGCGACGGACCAGATCAGATTCAACTTCCACTTTTCTTCTTCTTCTACGTATCAAACACAAACAATCCCTGCCAAACAGCATGAGAAAATAAAAACACATAATTAAGACAACGTGCGAGGAGGCAATGGTTTTATAACAACATTATTTGTAGAATTGCACACACACACATCACATAACAGCAAAAAAAAGTTGGGATGGGTTATTGCGAGCTTACTGCGAACAACAATTATGGTGCATAATGTGCCCGAGTTTATTGCAAGTTTTGTGTGCTTTGTCTCGAGCCAGACACACAAAACTGCGAAGTAAATCTGTATCCATTGCCAAACTAAAAATAGTGAAGCAAGCAAATAATCCATCCCGTCCTGAAAAAGAGAGCAGAGACTTTTTGGTTTCGTACGATTTGATACATCGCCACCGCCTACTCGTAGCGTGTGTGGAAAAGTGGTTAGAATTCGTACGACGACGACGACGACGAGAACAACATAGTTCACGTAACGTTACATTTATTACTCGGAATCTATTTCAGTTGACGTAAAAGGTTTAGCAGCCGTTTTCTTGTTCTCTCCTCGTCTCAAAATCCCAACAGGACCACAACTCCTCATCTTCTTCTTGATTATGTGTATGTACACGACTAAGATTAGCAGCAGCAGGGTGGTTAGTTAGAATAAAGCAGAATATGACAACACACACGGCTTGTTTGCCATTGCATTCCACGACGGACTAAAAAAGAAAACACTAATAAAGATGAACAGCATGTTGGCGAGTGGGTGCAGTGCAGGGGGACATGTAGCTGAGTCAGTTTGGGTCATATTTCATATCCTCATCGTCGCAGAGTCGGTCATCCTCTCTGATTTATTCTAAATAGCAATCTAAATATTTACAGGAGGCATATTTAATAAATCTGCTCTACGTCCTCGTCTCATCTGCATGTGTGCAAACTTATTGCGTGCGAAGTGAGGTGGGGTGAGATTTGTGCTACAACTGTAAAATAATTGTAGGGACTGGCTTGGCTTGGAGTAGAAGAACAGATACGTGCAACACTACAACTGCGTGATTGAGTTGTTGAAGGTGCAGTTTTTTTGTGTGCATTTTTGAAGTCATTAATTTAATTAGATTTTGAATTAAATTCCTAGATTCTCGTTATAAAAATATCATTGGATTAAATTGACGAAATATTACTTCCTCAGGACAAGAAAAAAAGGTAGCAGTAGCTTCCATTATTTGACATTCTCTAAAATTTACTTGTTCACGGTGCATATTTGTGCCGTGCAGAATTTCAGGGCAAAAATTCCACAAAAATCTCATTTTTTCGTGTATCTCAGATCTCCTCAAAATGAGAAATCTGCTTCTTTTCGCCACCACCATTCTTCTGGTCATCTCCTCCTCTCGAGCTGAGGGTGAACTGAATCACGGTGACCATTGCGATCCATCTCCCTCACAGACGGACACTGCCCAGAAATGTGACACTTCTCGACGTCTCTCTTGCGACGTGAATACCCATCGGTGCCGTTGTCACCACGCGGACCGCGACTTTTTCGATAATGACAGCGGACGGTGTGAGACAAAAGTTGGGAAATTCTGCGCCCCTGACGCCACCTTCCCAGTGATTTGTGTCAATCAAGCCGTTTGCAATAGCACCACAAAATTCTGCGAATGTCCGGGCGGATTTGAGACGAATGACGAAGGAAGCGAATGCAGTGGGGGGAATGAATCGTCCTCCAGTGTTTTCTTATCATCGTTGGCCATGTTTCTCCTCCTCGCGTCGGTATTCGTTTGCACGTAGCGTTCTAGAGTGTCGAGCCGTATTTTTAGGTGTTGTATATTTATAAAAATATTTGTCGCATTTTTTTCGTATATGTTTGTACCTCGTATCGTCATACCAGGGGTTCTTTTCGCTGATAAAGTTGTGTTGTTCAAAGTTTTTAGCAAAGTTAGTTTTCCTGTCGAGTGTTGCAAAAAGTTTGTGCAAAAAAACCCTGCCTGCCATACATATGGACCTCGTTATTTAGGTGGAATAATTGTGTGTGTTTCTGGTCAAATGTGCAATAGATACATTGATATTGACACCCTGACTTTATCCCGGAGAATAATTGTGCAAGATGTGAATATTTGTAGCAGATTGTTTTTTTTATTATAGATAATTAAGGTAACAATACTGTCCAACAAACAAGATTTTCAAGTAAATTAATTACATGAAGGTGTGTTGTGTTGTTTTCAAAGAGGAAAATAAGATTAATATTTCACACATATTGACATGCAGAAATCATGGAAAAGTCATAGTAGAAATAGAAGGAGACATAAGTAAATAGGAGAAAAAAATAAAAGTGCACTTTGTTATCCAATATTTCAGTAAGAATTATAGTGTTTTTTTAAAAAAAGCTGCTACTTGTCATTGTCGAGATACTCCTCTTTCAAATTACGTCTCAGAATCTTTCCCGATGGAGCTTTTGGAACAGCGTCGATAATTTAATTTAATTTAATTTAATTTATTCATACAATAAGGCACCCTACTATGTAGGACATTACACCTCAAGGATACATTCGCATTACAAAGTATAAAATAAGTATTTAAATATTTATAATAGTATACTTTCAAATTCATAATCGTCAATCAAATCAAAAATTTCAATCATTCTTTCACATAATTGTTTCTCAATAAGTATACGTTTTGTTTGTAGTTTAAATACATCAAAGCTAACATGTTTCGCTGAAGTACGCACTTTCTCTGGTAAATTAAGCCAAGCTTGCATAGCACGATATCGAAAAGATTTCTTTCCAATTGTTGTTTTTGGACATGACAAAGGCTTGCAATAAGTATTATTTCTAGTATTAAAGTTAAGACCTTCAAGGTTTAGGTAATTTATAAAAAATGTTGGAGCACATTCATTTATAATTTTGTATGTAAATTTGGCCAATTCAAAGCTAACAATATTTTTTGCTACCATCCAACCAAATTCGTTTACATCGTCACTAATAGTATCATATTTTGATTTACACGTAACAAATCGTGCACATGCACGAATAATTTTTTTTTAAAAAAAGCTGCTACTTGTCATTGTCGAGATACTCCTCTTTCAAATTACGTCTCAGAATCTTTCCCGATGGAGCTTTTGGAACAGCGTCGATAAATTCGACCCCACCTGCGAGGTGTTTGTGTCTGGATAATCGATCCTTTACAAAAGTCGTAACCTCCTCCTCCGTCAATGAGTCGTCCTTTTTCACCACGAAAGCTCTCGGTTGCTCGCCCCACTCGGCGTGCGGAATACCGATCACTGGAAAGGGGAGAGAAAGAGCATAAAAAATAATAAGTCCACTCGAATAACTTTGAGCCTAATGGCTCTTTGTGGTTTGGTTGGTGAGTAAGTAAGTAAAACCTGCAGCGTCCAACACTTTGGGATGTTCTCTCAGCGTTTGCTCTAATTCGGACGGAGCCACCTTTTCCACGAGAAAGAGAAAAAAGTTGTTGGTGTTTTTATTTCATTTCGCTTTCACGGATCCAATCCGAATTATTTTCGAGTGGGCACCACCACCACCACCACCACCACGACATTTGTCTTAATAATAATACACACCTGCAATCCCTTCACTTTGATCAGTTCTTTGAGCCTGTCCACGACATAAAAGTACTTGTCCTCGCCGTAATACCCGATATCTCCTGAAATTAGAAAAATTAATGAGCACCCAAGGACATTGTGTGACGTGGGTTGTGGAGTGAGATCTGCAGTCTATTTATTTACCTGTATGCAACCAACCATCCGAGTCTATCGTATTTCTCGTGGCTTCGGGATTATTGAGGTATCCACTCATGAGTTGAGGTCCTTTCACACAGATTTCTCCCTTCTCCTTCGGTCCGAGAGTTCTGCCGGATTCGACATCCACCACTTTCACGATGGTGGAAGGCAACGGAGGGCCTACTGAACCCACCTTGGTGTTCTTGGCGGTTGGGAGGACGGAATGTGAAACGGGACTAAGGAGGGGAGCTTCACCACCTGCCCTTCTCAGATCTTGACATCCTTTGGATATGTGGTAGGGTCCTATGAGTGTACTAAAACCCTAAAGTGGTTTGACTCCATGGCCACATTTGCGCCATGGAGTCAAACCACAGGGTTTTAGTACACTCATAGGACCCTACCACGTATGAAAAGGACATCAAGATCTCAGAAGGGCAGGTGGTGAAACTCTCCTTAACTCTGTCATTCCATAACCTGAAGAAGTGACAGTTACATTTATAGTTATAGCGTGTTATGTAACGTAAATGGAATTGATTTGATTACGTCGGCGACCGACAAGTGTCTAACTGCACAATGCAATGCAATCACCTTCTTGGAAATTGACGTCGTGCCCGATCTTTTCTAGGAGGCGTTGAATCATGGCCTCTCCGGAAGGAGTTGCTCCGCTGTAAATGTTGTTGGTATTTTTAAACACTTCTCTCCCCAGGTCGGGGTGGTTGATGACGAAGGAAATCAAAGGTGTGACGAGATGGATGGAGGTGAACTAGTTTTTGGAAAAATAATAATTCAGAAACGTCGTCATATCATAATTTATGTACTTATTTTTTGTACCTGATGTGTTTTCAAAGTTTCGATAAACATGTCGGGGTCGAACAGTGGCAAAGTGACGACTTTCGCCCCAAATCGTGGCGTGATGAGGTTCAAGGCTTGAAGTCCCATGATGTGAAAGAATGGTAAAAGTCCGAGCGCTTTCCCTTGCTCGCTCCCATCCGTGTATTGATCGATTTTAATTAGTGGTAAAAACTGGTGGACATTGTTTACGAGGGAGTGATGAGTGAGCATACAGCCTTTCGGGAGCCTGGTACGGACATATTTATGCATAATAAGTATTTAGTAGTAAAAATAGTAGAAAAGTAACAGGAGCTTGGCACGCATTTCATGGAAATTAATGTACCTACCCCGTTGTTCCCGACGAGTACAACAAGGCAGCCGTGTCCCTCTCCAGATCTACATTTGAGTCCGACCCTTTCGCCAAGTTGACTCCGGAGCTGTCGGTTTTTATCATTTCTCCGAAAGAGTGACACCCATCAATCGCCTCATCGCCCCCGATAACGATCACTTTGCAGTCGGCCAACTCCGGCGTGATGGCGATGACTTGTTGCGCCAAGGGGACAAAGAGGGGAAATGTGACGACGCATTTCGTCTTGCAGTCTTTTAACTGATTGGAAATTTCGGCTGGAAAAAAAACGAAATTTCAGCATTATTTGGATTTGTCTACGCGATTTGTGATGTATTACTTGCTGTGTAAGTCGGATTAACAAATGTTGGAACCAGTCCAGCCCACCACGTTCCATGGAGAGCGATTGGAAACTGTAATAAATCAGGGTTGGTTGGTATTAGATAATCGAATAAATTATATATATGATGCTATTTTATGTTATAACATATCCAGCCAAACCTCCGGCATGTTGGGAATAATCATGGCTAATACGTCCCCCTTTTTGAGCCCGGATTGTAGAAGAGCTGCTCCGAAATTTCGGGAGAACTTGTAAAGTTGGAGATACGTGTAGCTCCGTCCACTGACGCCGCATTCCTAAATATGTATTTTGGACTTATGTAACAAGTTAACATTGTATTAATCTTGTAATGAAATGAATATTTACGTACGAATGCAGTCACGTTTTCCCACTTGGAAATATTTTCGAAAGTGTACTCTGCCGTGTTGACCCCTTTGATTAGACCGACATCGGGGAGGACTGACCTCACCCAAAGAGAAGGGTCATCCTGCACCCCAGATGAAGACGATGCCGCAGCAGCCGGGGTTGAGAAACACCGAACTCTTTTTCCTCCTGCTTGTGTTAAACTATTCAGCGATCTTAGCGTCCCTCCGAACGTTCGGTAGAGCGAGGACATGATTACGATTTCTAATTTTTTAGAAATTTCTTCGAAAAGATTTTTAGCTTTTATCTTGAGAATGGTTTAATCCGGCGAAAAGATAGAAAGGGTTGACAGCCTGCTGCTGGAACTAACTTCTACATATGTAAATGCACATCTACATAGATAGCTCTTATTATTGCTTGGTTGGTGTCGTGGTTGGTAGTACTACTAAAAAACCGGATTGTATGTTTAGTCTGGTGTTTATAACTGCATACAGCATTACATGAATGGACGATGGTTTAAGCAGTGTTGTTAAATACGATAGCGTGGATTCGGAGGACTGGTGGATATGGATTGGATATATCTGTACAATTACCTACATAAAGTCAAAAGCATGGGATTTTGGAGTCTGATTAGAGACATTCACCACCTTTGTACTTTGATCGGTCTGAGGATGAGTAGAGTCATGCAGTTAATGGTCAAAGTCGTCCCAATTCTGCCCAAAGCTTTAACACGTCCAATTTTGTAAGATATCAATAGCCACAGAATTGTGTTAGACAGACGATTTATACCCAACCATACCCATGCATAGTAAACATTTAGTAGTAAAACAGTTAATGGAAAATCGGAAGGGTTGTCAGAAAAGGGTGATACCAAAAACGGGATTATTGTACCCAACCAATGCCACACTTAACAAGGTCAAGGTTCATCATAATATTGATAATAATGCGCGGATGTACATGCATGCACCTGCTTGACAAATAATTAATATCTCTCTGTATGCTAATTTTTGAATATGAATTAAGTGCTTTATTGTATGGTGTAAGCTGAACTAATATGAAAGTTGGTTATTGTGTGTGCAACCTCCCATTATTTCCATGTTCCACTTATTATGTATTTTCGCTTTTCAAAATTGTGCAAGTCATAAAATAGGTTTAAAATCCATGCAGAAAATATTCTAAATGATATGTAACAAACAATTAATTTATTGTGGTTTTGCGCTATTTAATTTTTGTCTAAAAATCATTTCGTGCCGAATGGAATAATAGGTGCTTACAATGTGAAGACTTATAAGTGTACCGACCACTTATAAGTCATTTCCACTTTTAAGTGACACTGCGCGCGCATGCGCGTTGTCATGAATTTCACTTATAAGTGATCGGAAAATAAGTCCCCTGGACTGACTTATTTCTGAAATAAGACACTTATTTTGTGCAACAGCTGCGGTTGAAATTGAACTCATTCGAGTTTACTGCCAGCCACTTGGTGACCCATAAATTATTTTTAATCGGGCTTTAATCGATTTTCGAGTTATTTAAAATAGTGCATAACTAAAATTTGGCTAATTAAAATAGTGCAGTGAACTATCTAAAATGAGAAGTTCAAATGAGAATGAGGATTAAATTTTCAATCAGTCACAAGTGTCATGTAATCCAGTGATTAGGCAATATCTATTGTTGAAGTTTTAGGTCTTTTCAAAGCTTTCAGGTTTATTTTTGCAATGATTTTGACGTTTAATGCAAGTGGTCGCCTAAACTGCATAAAAGATAAAATTTGAAAAAAGAGTGAAGCATTCAAACCTCACCCACTTATAATTGATTTATAGAAATGACTTATAATTTGTGGGAAAACCAAAATAAGTCGATTGTAAACCCCTAATATTTTTCCACGCTCTTCTAACAACAATGAGACAATTACGTAGTTCTTGGCTGGAATATTCTGTAGTATATATTTTTACTTTGAGTCGAATAAAAATTTAGCCCGTAAATTCATTAATTAACCCTCATTGCCATCATCAATATTGAAGCTGACACTTGTATAGTCAAAAAAAATTTGACTATGCAAATTATAAATATAGTTAACAGAATAATTATCCGTACGCCAGTACACGCTTAAAAATGTTTCCGACTTTGCAAGAAGTAAACTGGTAGACAACTATATATAAAGTAACACTAACTAAATTTAGCATTAAATGGATAACTTCAATTTTAGTTATGCATCATTTAGCCATAATTTTAGTTAAGTCGGTATATTACTTTAAAATAAGTTAGACGTTACACCAATCAGGGTCATACTGTACTAGCATTTACTACATTCCGGGTACTTTGTCCCGCCAAAAAAAGCTTGGTCCACGCTCCACTTTTCCCTCGTCGTTGTAACAAGAGTGAGTGCCCGATTGCGAATTAAAACTAAAGTATATATTAATTTGCCTAGTAATTAATTAGTTGAAGCTCATGAAATATTCCACACCAACTACTAGATATGGAAGAAACTGCTCGACTACTATCGCAATGTGGGTTGGATTGCTATTTTGATACTTTCAAGGGTAAGTTTATCTACAATCCATAACTTAACTTACCTTACTTAACTTATTTAACTTACACACTGCTCGCTCCATTTTATTTTAAAATAGAAAATGCAATAACGGACGACGCGACGCGGAATAAGATTTGGCAACAATTGTACCAATACGAAACTTTGAAAGGAATTCAGAAGTAGAGAAATGGCACGATTTACGTATGTTTTCAATGCAAAAATTCCTTCATCAATACCATTACTCTCCGATCACTTTAAATATGTACATAGGTTATCAAAGTTAACGCAATTATTTCATATTATTTTGGTTGTTCTATAATTGTGATTTAAAGAGTTCAAGTGGATTTAATTGAAATAAATATATGCTAATGAGGAGATTCACAAATACCGCATTCATTTCATTAAGACACTAAATACCGCGACCATTATTCATTTTACTTAATATGGGGTTAGAACAGTAACCCCAACCAGGGTTAGCACCTAGACGAGAATAGGGTAAATGGCTATTTGCAAAGGGTAACTACCGTTACTTTGTTGCTGCATGGTGGCTGTATACCCCAAATCGGGTAAAGTCACTTTTACGTTTATATTTAGTTATATTTTACTCCTTTTAGGGTAATAATTTTTAAGCGTGTAGGTAGTTAAAATTAATGAGTCAAGATTAATGGCGTGTGGATATTTATTTATTCTGTTAAATTTTTAAGCATAATGTTCGTAGCATAGCGCGTGATCCACTCCAAGTCCCATTTTTCCAATTGAAATAGATTAACGTAAGTCAAACTTTAATAAGACAAAAAGATTAGGCTGATTTGGTTCAATTAATTTGTCATGGCCTCACTTCTCATCTCCAGAACTTTGGCCATCTTTGACTTGCATCGCAATGTTTGCTGTTGCGGATTAAACATTGAAGACGAACCATACATTTAATCCTCCACGACTTATTACTGACGGACATTCCTCTTTTCATCGTCTCATCTCAGTACCGGCGAGTGCATGACATTTCACGTGGTGTCGTCTGTTTAACACAAAATCTAGCATTTTCAACATATCAATGACTTCTTGATTCATATTTGTACCTAAATTGCATCTCCTTATCATTATCCTTGTCTGACGATAATCTTAATCGATTCCTTGACTCAAGAAGACGACCGCTGTCTTGATATTCGTGTCGTGTAAGTAAATCAGGCGGAGGGGCCGTCAAAAGAACGCCCTTCTCTTTACGTGATCTCGCTAATAACCAACTTTTTTACTACTCATCAGTTCATCAAGGAGCAAATATTCCGACCACATGTTTGCAAAACTGACCGACGACAGCACTGATAACGAGCAACATTAAAATCTCCTCCCTCATTGTTGTAAGAGGCACACGGCAACTGCATTGCGCATACTAATAAAAAGAGACAACCAGTCATTGTTGATTGTGCAAGGGAGGAAGCTAAATTAACTTTGTGAGACTATCAAAGCCTTGCTAAATCTAATGTAACGTGCAATTTTATTGTTGTCTGTTAGAGAACGTAGAATGTATGTATGCTCAACTGAGCAACATTAATTATCCGATTTGCATATGACAACTCTGTCCGTCAGTCATATTATTTTTACTATTAGCAATTTGTTCTTGCGCATTAATTTGTTTTTTTTGAGGGATCAAGAAACTTGTAGATTCCTGTAACTCGGCTGTAAATTTTGTGTGTTTACTAACAAAAAAGTGAGGTCTCAAGTTGGAAGGAGTGTTTGCACTCGGTTACGTTGTCTCCTGTAACACTTGACATTCTTGAGTAAATAAAATCCATCAAAGCCACGCCATGGGTAAGACAAAAGTGGAAAGTGCGAAAAACGGGATTGGTGGTGATGAAAATCATCCTAAACTTGGGAAAGATCATAATTCCATTAATAATTCGGTGGAAAAGCCAGCCCCGAATTTGGAGGGGGAGAAGCAGAAAATAAATCTGAAGCGAGAAATTGGACTCCTCGAAGCTGTGGGAATTACCATCGGCTGCATCATTGGATCAGGTTGGTGTTAATAGCGAGCCATCTTTAATGACGTGAGAATTTAATCAGCCCCTGATTATTTGCAGGCATTTTCATCTCGCCGAAAGGAATAACAACACATGTCCACTCGGTCGGAGCTTCCCTGGTAATTTGGGCCGTGTGTGGGTTCCTCAGCATGCTCGGAGCGTTCTGTTTCGCCGGTAATATTATAAAAATAGTGCAAATATGATATTATATATTTATACATGATACTTGTTACATTTTAGAGCTTGGGACAACATGGCCCTGCGCAGGGGGAACGTATACCTATATTTTTGAGGCGTTCGGTCCAGTCCCGGCATTTTTGAGCTTGTGGGCTCAGAATTTAATGTTTGTGTATGTCGTCAAGAATTATTCCTTCTGATTTTAAATTCCCGGAAATCATGCTCTGAATCAAATAATGATGAAGTTCGTCCTAATTTTATTCCACAGTCCGATCGGAAATGCCGTGACGGGGTTGGTCTTTGCAAAATATATTGCACAACCCTTTTTCCCCACAGGGTGCGAAGTCCCCGATTCGGCTGTTCAGCTCCTCGCAGCAGCTGCAATTTGTCTCTTGGCCTTTATGAACTGCTGCGATATCAAATTCATAAATAAATTCATCAACACGTTCATGTTCCTTAAATTGACGGCGGTAGCATTGGTCATTCTAGGCGGAGGATTCGCCGTATTTCAAAGTACCGTATTTTTTAAGGAGAAAATCAATTTTTTTACATTTTATTTGATGGTTATTAATTAAGTGGTTTGGTTTGGTAGGAGGGACGGATAACTTTACAAATATGTGGGAAGGGTCAAATATCACGGTGGAAAGTTTGCTATTTTCGATATATGCGGGGTCATTTGCCTTCGGTGGTATGGTCCAATACATAAGTTAATGTATAATTATTTGAGACAGTTATTTATATCGCAACGTATTATTTATAGGATGGAGTGCCCTTTCCACGATGATGGAAGAGCTAAAAAATCCATACAAGTAAGAGATCCTTTATTTAAAAAAATTCTAAATCCTGAAAAGAAACTAATTCCGAAATATTCCGTCATTTTAGGAATCTTCCGAGAGCCATTTTCATCTCGTTAACACTGGTCACGTTGATTTACCTGTTGGCAAACGCGTCCTATTTTTCCGTCCTGTCACCAGCGGAAATGATGCAGTCTGACGCTGTGGCAGTGGTAATTAATCATCAATGACTTTTATTGTACGTACGGTTGGCCAAATCAGTATTAATTCCAATGAATGTGTGGGTGGGCAGACCTTTGTGCATGAACTGGTGGGTTCCTACTTTGTGGGAATTGTGCCCGTGTTTGTGTCCCTGTCCACGTTTGGATTTCTAAGTCTTCACATTATGACGAATTCGAGGTAGACTAATTACGGATATATAAAGAGAGACCTTTTAACACGTCAATAAATCCGCCGATGTATTTTTGGACAGGAACTGCTTTGTTGGTGCGAGGCATGGTCATTTTCCCAGTGTTTTGTCCCTAATAACTATTTCCTATCACACGCCAGCCGCTGCAATTATTTTTCAGGTATTGAATTTCTTACGAAAAACTAGAAAAGCAAAAACCAACTCCAAAATTTTCAATGTTTCCAGTCACTCTTGTCGCTCGTCTTTCTCTACACGGCGGACGTATTTTCTCTCATTAATTTTGGTGCGTTTATGCAATGGTTCTTCCAAACGCTGTGCATCGTGGGGTTGATCTACTTGAGGATAACGAATCCTGACTTGCCGCGACCCTACAAGGTTTGTTTGTGTGTAAAAATAGATCATCATTATCCTGGCCCCGAGCGGATTTCCAATTGATGATGTTGTTTGATGCTTCTTTATTTATTCTTCAGATTTCTCTCGTGATTCCCATAATTTATTTACTACTTTCTCTCCTCTTCGTCGTCATCCCGATCTACGTGTCGCCCGTGGACTCGTTGATATCCATTCTCATTACGATCACCGGGCTCCCCGTGTACTACCTCCTCATCAAAAGGACGTCGGAAAAGGGTGGCAGCAAGTTAAGTGGTAAGTCATTATGGCGAGTAAATAATTCTAGTAATACAATAATTGTGTGCAATTATTTTTTGCCAGACAACGTCACCGTTTTGGCACAGAAGGCTTTCATGCTGGTAAAAGAAGACTGACGCGATGATGAATAATTTATTTAATAATTATCTACTAACGTTAGTAAACAAAAATTCAGTTAATTAAATTTAAGTGTGAAATTAACCCTGATTTCATGAATAATGTAATAAATTGCTAGCCATAACTTGTGGCATTTACTAAAATAAACGTATTTAGTTAGTAGTATTTTTTGTTTTGTTTTGGGAAACGAAAAAATCCGTGACTAACTTTTTATGCATCATGTTCATTCAGATATTATATGATTCAACTTATTCGGTTGACCACGGTTTTGTGGGAAGCGCTGAAAAAGTGAATAATAGTTAACTTTGGGTTTTCCTCCTTGTTTTACTGATAACTTTGCATGATGCCAATTCAAAATGACGTAGATATGTGTTTGCATGAATATGTAACGTCCAACCGCAAAATGAAGTCAACTTGTAATGTGACAAATATTAAATGCTACTTAATGTAACTTTTATAAATACGTACAAATAAAACTCGTACACTTGTCAGTCAGTCTCATCATCATAGTGATACACGGTCATCAAAATCACAGTACAAAATGAGACGAGCAATACTTTCACTCTGTTTAGCGTTAACTTTTACTGCAGTGTTTTCGGCAAGGCCTGACAGGAGCAGGTTAATTGAATGGGTGATCTAAAATTGCATGCGAACGAGCCACCATACCGACAGTCCTCAAACTAAACCACAACTAAACAGACTAAAATGACGATTTACTTCTTGTATGATGGCTCTCATGTTGGGGAAAAACAAGCAGATCGGAGTGGGGTCCATCCAACCACAATGTGTATCTAAGTTGGTTTATTGACCGTGGTCAGAAACATTAGTTAAGAATTACTTAAAAATTATTTCGAAAATATTTGTCATGAAGAAATAATGAGAATTTGAAGGTTATCGTAATTTGGTAACAAGTTTGGTAACATGCTACCTGTACCTGACGTTGAAACTGAGTCTCAACAACCTCACAGAATTTTATACATAAAATACATGCCTTGTATGTGTTGTATATAACATTCTAGTGATGGTGGTGATGAGTGATGACGTAATGTTTATGTTCTCAACCAAATCAAAACATCACGTGGCTTGCATTCTCGCTGAACAAAGAGCAATGGTACTCCCTCTGCTTATATTAATAAAACTCTATGGTTTTCGGTAAGTGTTAAAATCCGACTCCTTATTTTTGCAGCTTTTGAAATATGTAATTTCATATTTTTAAGGGATCCAACCCTGAAGTAGACGATTACGACCACGCCCATCAACCCGGTTATCCAGTCATAATTCCAAATCAGCGATACGTGAGGGTACACTCCGCAGAAGTTACAGAGATCGGAAGCCTACCCGCACCAACAACGTCAGGTCAGCATGATCCACAATGGGGTGACCATAATGACCATAATGACCACGATTCTGCATCTCACGGTCACCAAAATGGACAAAAAGAACAACTCGGCGTTACGGGGAGTTGGCATATGCCAACAATTCAGAAATATGGGTTTCCACCAAAGTGCATAGACCTCTATCCGAAGGACGACATTCCAATCGAGGCTACACGCTGTCTTTACCTTGCCGTGATAACTTTAAAGTCGCTCAAGGTTGGTCACGAAGTGCAAAAATATGCCCATTTTAAAATGTCTCGAAAGATGGACAAAACTTACGGATATGTTGCCCTTGGGTTATCCAAGGATGATAAGATGGTGAGTTACTTACTGCTAAAATTTCTGACTCGTAAAGATAAACGTGTCATTTTATTTTTATTTTCAGGACGACGATCACATCGTTGAATGCGTCAAACCACGAGACTCCGTCCACCCTCGGATGTATCACTCGTGGTCAAATTTCCACAGCATGCCGACTCGACTAGCAGACAATTCACACATTATCAAAAACAAGACGGAAATATATGACTCGAAAACCAACGTTTTGACGTGTGAATTTGACAGGCCTTTAATCACGATGGTGGAATATGTCAAAGGTTCTGGCCCCGTGAAGCGAGCCTTGTTCGACTTGACGAAGGAAAAGTACAAAATTTTAATGGCTGTGGGCGAACCAGCAAAACCAGATTCCGGTAGGTCGTCAAATGACAAGTGGTCAAGACTCAACATGTCACTAAACTAAGCAAATATGTAAAACCACAAAATTGTTATTAATAGATGTGCTTGGACAACATGGACCTCGGAAACTGGGAACAGTCTCCATTTTTGACCCGGATGAATATTACTATCGCCGCTCATCGGCGCCATCCCCGCTGCAAAGTGAAGAATTATTAACGGTCTTTATTATGCTTTCTCTTTGTCGTTATGTCATGTTGTGATTTTTATAAAGAATTTGAAATTAGATTATTTCATCATTAATTTATTTACTGCAATGGTTTTCGAACCACGCCGTACAAAAGCTCATAATTTGTGCATAAGGCGTCCGTCCCTTCTGGTACGTTCCAGTGTTTGCGGAGAAAATCTGTGTATTCTTGTTTCACATCGTTCAGTAACTCCTTCGGGATGACCTTCACGTACGGGTTGAGGGACAAGTAGAGTTCTGAAATCAAATTAATTCTATTTTTATTTATTATTCGTAAGTAATATAAAGTTACGATTACGAGGATATGAAATTCGATTCTCGCTTTCTGCCCGAATATTTAATAACCCACCTGCAACCGTGTTTACGCTTTCGAAATCATATTCTTGTCGGTACGGCTTCAATTCTACAATCTCGTAACCAAGTTGTGTCAGATTTCGGCGAAATGCCACTTCGGAGTCTTCCTTTTGCTCAAACCATTCGGGAATGTAGTTTTCATATCCCTACAGAAATATGTACATACACCTATTTATTTATGTACGAATTTATTTACATACGAATAATAAGCAAGGATATACAAAGTCAATACCTGTTTCCAATTAGTTTATACGGAAGGGAAGCACAATAAATAACACCGAGTGCAAATACACAAGCAACGCATAATATTACAGCTAATAAATTGCTACCTTCATGTATTTGGACCACTTCTCAGAAGTTCCCAACTTTTCGTGCAACACGTACAATGTTGATTTGGAAAGAACAGTAAATCCAAAATATCCTCCGGGCTGGAGAAGGTCATAGCATCGTTTCAGTGCTTCCCTGAAAGTTTAATTTGCAAATTTAATTCGCAAATTAAATTCGGAAGTACATAAAAAGTTTGTTCGTGCATATGCTTCTCATTATATGCACGTGCTCACCTATAATTCCTCACAAAGTGGAGCACATACACGGCAAATATCTTGTCGAACTTGACCTCTTTGTGGGGAAAGTTGTCTTGCAGGATGTCCCCCACGTTGAAAGTTACCCTTGGACTTGGATAGGTTTTTTTCGCATGAGCAATCATATCTGGTGAAATGTCGACAGAGTGGATTTTAGAGTCGAATTTCTCCACTTCAGGCAGTACAAACTTGTTTCCGGTACTCCCTGCGCCACAACCGTAGTCCAAAATGAGCTCATTTTTCTTCCAAGTCATGTGATTTACCAGCATGGGAACAAATTGCTCAGCGTCCCGAGCTGCATTGTTTTGGTATCGAAATAATTCGGCGTGAGATTACTTATCAAGGATTCATATGAAAATATTTAATATATTTCTACCTGCAGCCGATTTGTTGGTTTCGTATCGTACTGGGTCGTACATTTTATTTTGAAATTTCGGTTACTTTATTAATTTTTGGTAAGTAAAGTGCAACCAGAATAAATTAGTGGTGACAGGTTAACATGAATGCATGAATGAAGCATATTTTACAATACAGATAATCTGGTAGTTCAAGTGTCGCTGTCGACCTTGAAATCATGAGCTTACTTTGTGCAGTAAACAAATTAGTATTAAATACACGATCTGGTGATATTTGTTTTGCTTCATGTGGACTAAATCGACCAATTTTATTAAATACATACTTAACAAACCAGCCAGTGCGAGATTATGTCATAATGTTTAAATATCCGTATGTATGTACATGTTCATTCGATAATAAATACCACTTTTAGTCAGAAACAAGATTACTTTAATAATGACCTCCATTCCAGCAAGTAAATTTTACATGATGTTAATGTGTTATTCATCTTATCTGAAATCTTGAAATTATTTCTCACATTTTCCGTTAGTATAACCGTGCATGTTGGTAATAAAGTCGCATTTGTCCATATCCGCTGAATAATTTTTGGAAATATTTTATGAATAATTATGTATGCTCTATTTCCCTATGACCAAAAATTGTTGGTTTTAACAATGGAGGTGACTTCTCTATTAATTTGCATGTGTGCAAAATTATATCACAGAGCTTGTAACTCTAACGTTACAACAGTCTCAAGTTTTTGTAACCACGTCTCAATTTGCGTCTCAAATTTCTTCCACAAGTTCCACACTCGTCGCAAGTTGATGATTCATCTCAATCTCAATCTCGTGAATCCACTCATAACACCGCTCACTCCAAAAGAGAATAAAATTCCTGGAATTAAGATGTAATAAATAAGAGGAGGGGATCCTAAAATAATTTCGAGTGATAAGAACAACAAATTGTAGACGTAAATTTTGAAGTACAACATTATCTTCCCGTTTGGCTGGAGTCGTCTTTGGTAAGATACAGATATCTATTTCTTTGTGATGACTCATTCCTTATATAATGTTATTTTTTGTAAGTGTTTTCTTCGAAGTGGAATTTCTTTTATCTGTTTATACGTAGCACTTTATTTTAAATAATTGCCAATTTGCTCTGTAGGAAGTGCCCCAAACCGGAAATAGGGGATGGCTGTACAATTTTTCTAAATAAAATCGCTGCTGGACAACGGTTTTAATTGTTCTTGCTATTGATTGGGGTGGGGTACCGGTGTTTCAAAGAAGTATTAAGAATTGATCAAGTTGGTAAGTAGTGCCGTAATTAAAGTAGAACTATCTTGTGAAATTGTGAATGAAAATGTGATACTTGTTTGGTTTAGGACACATAAATCCAGTGTGTTTCACTCATCATCATCATTATGGGGAAGTTTTCTGGATTGATTAGCTCTGCCATTTTTATTGGACTGTTTGCAATTCTAATATATTTCTGTTGTCGAGTGAAGCGCAAGGGCGCAGTACTTCAGCGAGGTAAATGCGAGCATTGTAAACTGAACTATCGTTCTATTATTGTCTGTCATCTATTGTTTATTATTAGCCATTGTATTTAAACATAAATCATAATTAATTTGTTCTACATATTTCAGCTAACAATTTTGAGAACAGAGCAGCTGACGGAACAACCACCGTGACCATTTTGCAGCAAGCGACTCCAGTTCCTGGTGGAGGAATGGGCGCATATCCCACTCAGAGTTACGCACCTCCAATGGCTGCTGGCGTATATGGACCAACTACTGTACCTGCCGGACAATCTTACCCTCCTTATCCTTATCCGATGGCCAATAATTCCAATCTGCCTTATCCTACCAACGGAGCTAGTGGTGGTATGCCCATGCCAATGCCAGGACATAACGCATTTCAACAATCGGGAGCTCCATATCCAATGGGTAATTATTCAAAGATGATTTGCAAATATTTCCAATTTTTCCACCAAGCTAATCCTATAATTTTCTAGCTCCATCAGCTCCCAATAATGATGATTACGACAAACCGCCAGCCTACGAAGATGTGATTCGACAACATTAAACTATGTACATGCCAAGTCAAGTAACAATCAAATAGAACTAGCTTATGTTTCAAAATTCGATTGTACTGCTTATATTTCTTTACTGTAATACTCTTATCGAATCGAAAACTTGATATGAATGACAAGAACGCCTTGCTTCTCGCCATAAGTATGATTTTCAATATGTTGTCATCTGCGTTGTAAATGTTTTTGAAAATAATGCCCTACTGCCTACATGATATAATTCCTACATAGTAAAATTAGTTACTACAAGTTATTGCAGCGATAAAATATGATAACTACATAGCTAGTCGACAACTGTGGATCGAATCTTATTAAAAGCAATCTGCAATCTCCTACTTCTCGAGATACTGCTCAAACTGGAGTATTTTTATATTTTTTAGACTAAATACTGTACACTTTAGTAAATGAGCTACTGAATATATTTAAATATGGTAAATCAATAATTTAATTTAGCCTTGCTACAATGTTAATTGTGACAGCTATTGTTCCATTGATTGAAGAGATAAGCATTTAGTATTTGACTAATTATTTAGTAATATAATTTAGTTATTATGGAGGACTTTTTTTATGAATGTCTTCATTTTCCGGACAATTTTCAATAATCATTGGTTTACAGAGGAAAACCAAGACCACAAGTATCATTATTTGTTCGTTCTCCTTTGTTATTTCCTTTTCCTTTGCTTATGATTTGTGCACGCGACGAATAGATGATCTATTATTTCTTACTCAATAAATGCGAGATTATTAGCAACACTCGTTTTATCTATAAATACACAATGTTCCATTTTGTTCAACTCATTGAAAGAAGATTGATTGTATGTACTTACTTAATTTTCTAGAATATACAACTGCCACATGATTTGGTTTGTATGTAAATGAGCTCATAAATATTTATCAGACCCCTTAAATTAATAGGTGCCGATTTAACAGCAGGTTTACCTTATAATATGACAGGTTTTATCTCTCTCTCCTCTCTACGTCATTGTCACTCTCTTTTCGTTATTGTTGTTGTGGTGGTGCCATGCCATGAGGTTACGTACGTAATTAATACCTCTTACCGATTGTTGAACCCTCCTCTCATGGATCATCATCAGGTGGGATGTGCCTGATCTGATGTCATGATTTTTTTATTTGAATACGTGACTGACGCTAGTTTCTCGTTTTGTATGCATTATTACCATTATAATGTTGTCACAACACAACAACTTTTGTCGAAAGAAATGCATCCATTCCAGTGCAAGTATTCAGATTCGCACACCACATTTCAGTCTCATTTACCTTGAGGATAGGAATTAATTTTGGCGAATGGTTTTGAGGGTGTAACCCGTTAACCCAGCTTTGTCTTTTCCATATAAATACCAAGTTGTGGTAGGATGCAGGCATCATTCTTGGCCGAGCTGTCACACAAACAGCAAGAAAGCCTTCCTCAAACTTAAACCGGTTTATCTTATCTACATAAATAAATTATAATAATGTCGCCCTTTTTTCATCGACTTATACTCGTTTCGGTCGCAACGGCAGTGTTTTTTGCAACTGTCATAAATGGAAAGTAAGCCATGATTCAGATTTTTTGTCGTAATTTTAGTAATAATTTGTTAGATGATAATTGACATTTTCTTGTAATTTACAGTGTCTTGTACTCTTACGGGAAACGGTTCATGACCAGCCCATATCCTGAATTGAATTACGCCATCACGAAAACTTGGGACAACCAGAGCACCACGGACAATGCCGAGTTTCAAGTAAAATTCCAAGTCGTGGACGAATTTTACCCGCATGGTCGCGGACTCGTTGTCACGTTTGAGGGTCCATATTATAAGTAAGTCATGCTTCATATCATTTTGTAATTATTTATTCACTAATAATTGTCATTTTCTCGAAATTTACAGCGAACCCCTGATTTCCGACACAGTTCCGGTCGACAAGCCCTTCCTCGGCTTGTGGAACTACGAAGTTGTAGAGTCCTTCTTCCTCGGAAATGATGACGAGTACCTGGAAATTGAGCTGGGGCCGAAAGGACACTACGTCCTGTTGTTACTCAAAGGACCAAACAATCTCATCACATATCAGTTACCTCTAACCAACTACACGGCGCAATGTTCCACAGTTTCTGGTCGCTGGTTAGGACAGGCGTACATTCCTGGAGAATATTTCCCCTGCAATGTGACCAGATTCAACTCGTTCGCCATCCACAAGTCGGAGCCACACAGGGTGCACATGGCCTTGTACCCGGTACCACAGGGAAAATATGAGGCGGCCGACTTTCACCGGTTGGAAGCCTTTGAGCCAATTTCTTTCGGAGTCGAGTTAAACCCAAAGTGTGTCATGGGGTCAAATTCGCATCCTCATCACAACCTCACTGGCAGTTTGCTTCCCGTCGAGGATATACCTGAAGTTGTGGAATCTTAGAAATAAATAGGTTAAATGATTCATATTTTCCAAATGTTCTCGGTATTGTAAGTATAAAATGACATGTCACGTGATTGGACATCAACGGCGTCGCGATGTATATTTTAAGTAATAAACTAAAGTGAAATTGAAGAAAATCAGATTTTGTACAGATTCCCATATAACTTTTCAAACTGTGATTATGTATCATAAACATCTCATCATCAACGGAGGTGAAAGTACATGAATCAGATATTGCGTGATCTAGTCGAGCTATGCATAAGCCTTACAACAACTTCAAACTTTTGTCATAGTGCGTTATGCGCTTAAAAACAAAACTTTTTAATCCTTCCCAGCGGAGAGCTTAATTAAAGTAATTGAGCCTTTTCTACTCAAATTTCTTCCACGAATATGTAAACCAAGAGTGTATCAATTTACATACGGCGAAAGTTGTGTGATTGAAGGAAAGGTTGCTGAGTGGTTTGGCCGATCGACATAATTCCCAAAATTACAGAGAATTACGTACAACCCGACCTTCCTTCTCGGAAACCGGATGATTAAAACATTTCCTCTTTTTGTTCGTCGAAAGTCATCGAACTGCGGAGAAAGCCCGCAAGCAAACGCATTACGGATGAATCTCATCTCACGGATCACAGATTCTGGTGTAATTTTGTGCTGAGAGAAACATGATTCTACTGATAAAAGGATACACACAAAGCCTTACATTCAAAGTAATAATGCGTTCCACGAAATTTACACACATTACATTTATCATTCGCGAATTACATTTTTTTATTCAACAAACCAACTTTTTTCGGAATACAAAATTTTATACTAACAGCTCAATGAACGCCTCATCATGCAAATATTATGTCACAACTAACATCACATTTGTAGACAGATTATTACTCGTTTTCACATCAAAAGAAAGGATGGTCATTTTCAGCAGGTGCGCTTTCGTCGGCGCGTTGGATTACGTCCCTAGAAAAAAATATGTATATGTAGAAAATATTTAAATATGACCTGCATTATTTTGCAAAATATTTCGCACCAATGTTCCGCGATTTTCCCACATTCGAATCGATACAGGTCTAAATGAGCAAAGACATCCCCGTTTGGTCGAATTCTCCTAGCATGCAGCCAAACCAGGTCGCCATCAGCGCCCACGGCACGAAAGTCAATTTGCTCCCTGGGACCGAACAAAAGACCTCCAGGACTAAGCGCTTCTCGGAACGCTTCAAGCCCATCTGCAACGGTGGGGTTGTGTTGAATATACGTCGGCAAGAACTGTGAATACGTTTATGTTACATGAAATATGATGAAAATGTTGTACTAAAAAATGATAATTCCAAAATATGCACTCACATATTTCTCAAGATTCGTCGTGATCTTGTTCCCCACAGTTTCCTGCACGATTTTCAGACACTGTCTCTTGTTCCAACGAGGATTGTTGGGTGGACAATAGGTAACGTCATCTGCGGCGAGAAATGAGGCTATGGCCCGAGCAGAGGCAGACGCGCGTGGAATTATGGGGGCTGAATACACGTAATCCGTGTAAGGCGAGTATTGATAAGGTCCGCCTGGATATTGGCGTCGCAAACGGGGGCCGGAAGGTAGTGAAGTGTCCGAATAATGGAAGGGAACTCCTCCTGGACCCCAAGACAGTGCGGAACCAAGACCCACGAGAAGAATTGCAATCGTCTAATTGATGTAGGCAGTTTTAACAAATAGCAATCCACACAACAAATTTTACAAAATTTACGATACTCACTGTGAAAAAGCCTTCCATTTTTAACGTTCCTTGAAAAAATTCTCCAGAAATGTGGGAATATTTCTTCAATGGGTTGTAAGTGACTTGACTGAATGAAGTTCAGTGGAATCTATCTCGAATAATAAGTATCCACCTTCTTGCGAGATAAGGAAAAGATATGTAAATTCCTCTTATCAATAAACGGGTTTATTCCATTCTGCCCACCCTCGAATAATGGTTTGCATACATACACAATAAACTTCTCCACATCATTACTCATCTTATATGCGTGAAACTTTACCGAATGACTGAATGAAAACCACAGCATCAAATAACCAGAAAATCGTGTGGGCAGTCTCTCTTCTTCTGAATAAAGAAAAGGGCGAAAGTTGTTGCATGATTCAGCAAAATAGAAAATGACCATGAAAGCCATGAACTTGTTTTTATTGCAGAGAAACCCCGAGTTTTGTGGATTTCTCTGAAACTACACAAAAAATAAGACGAGAGGAAAGATTGCTCTCATTTTGTGTGCTTCACCCAACCAAACAAATTATCCAACACATCTTTTGTTGCTTCTGCTGCTTTCACGGAGAAATAAAGTTACACGTTCGTCATCACTCCCCACGAGCTGTAAAAGGCTTAAACTAGCTGCATTTATGACCTCAGTTGGTGTGGGTGTCATTGTCCACCTTCAAAACTACTCTACACTTGGTTCATTTGACGATCTCATTGAAATCGCAAAAGTGCAATAAACCGTGTCGAAAGTAACGTTCAAGTTAATCCAATTTTCTTTACTTTATGTAACTTATTTTGACTCAGGGTCACACATGCTTGGAGACATTAGTTCTATTTGAGAAAGATTTCTGGAAAATAGCGTCTTTCTTCTTGGCTTCCTCACCTGCGAAATTCCTATGTTGAACCGACGACTAAATGTGCTTATGTCTTACTCTGGTTAAAAAAGTCGTGCCTTTGAGACCCTTTATTATTAAGCTAGAAAGGTGGCTGTTGGCTAAATATAGACTTTTTATATCGATCCATACGTACGTTAGTGTAGACAGAAGAGACCCTTATGACGCAATTTGATTAAGTTATACATACATATTTGCCAAAGGGAACATTTTTACGGGTTCCATGCGAATGACGGTTCTATTTTTGGTCAGCTTTTCTGAGAGCGAAAGGATTAACCTTTCCCAGCAGGAGTGGGACATATGGTGGCAGATTATATTTTGAAATGTATTGTAGAATACAATGCAGAGGGATTAATATGCATTCGGAATGAGATCTTTTCAGGGTCGTACTATTTGTATTTGTATCATCTTGAATTTTTTATAGCCATGCACTTGAAAATACTGATACTTACTTGAGAATATCTACAAGGTCATGAGAACAACAGTTCAATTTCATATTTATGCACAAAAGCATGGTTCGAAAATGGTAATCCGGTTGATCTCGCCTATTTCAAGGTTTACAATCTTACATTAAAAATTACATAACCGTCAGACACTCGGTACACAGTAAATACATAATTTTGGATAAGCCCCTGTTTACTGGAACTGAAGAGCTACTGGAAAACAAAAGGTGAAAACAATGGGAGACAGACAAACAATATGCAGCTCACTGAAAGTACATAATACTTCTTAGATCATGACGGTAATAAATATGTTTACGACTACGTGAAAAGTTATGTAAGGACAGTAACCAGCTACTCTTACTTAATATGTAATCATGCGAATAATGTTAGAATGTGATGCTTTATTTGTGTTAGTCCAGGTAAAAGCAGTGGATTTGCAAGTACGAAATTTGAGACTAAATAGACAACAAGACTACTTATTAAGTAAATAACATTTTATTAACGAATTTGTTGCTTGTATTGTCATTATGTAAGATATGTATTAGTAACTATACATCGTTTATTTGGTTGAATGAAATGGCACGCCTCTTAAACTAAACCTACCCGTATTATTATTTCCCTACCGTATTTACAAATGTATGTACAATAATAATTAGCATGTATGTATGTATAGATTTGTATGTAAATATAAATGTGTGAATATGTGTGTAGATATGTATGTATGTAACGTTTCACCTAATTAATTATCCTTGACTTAACGAAATTTGTACTGAAGGGACATGTGAAGGCTTCTTCTCCATGCTGATAAATTCTTCCATTTTTTCCTCGCTGGTCTTTTCCTGTCCAGGAAGAGCGTCGTCCAAGGCGAGGAGCTCACTCCGGGTGAAAATATAATCCAACAATTTCCGGACGATCATCATCACCACCAACTGCACGGAAAAAAATTGGGTAAATTTTCTAGACTCGAGAGATTTAAAAAAATATGTAATCAAGCATAAGAAATCACTAACCATGAGTGGGAACGCAATCGCGGTGGCTGGTATGCTCTTGATCGTCCACAAAATGGCGAGACACAAAACTTGGATGATGGTGAAGAGGTGAACCTTCTTGAGGGGCACTTTTCTCAGAAAGTCGTGATCTGGCTGATATTTGAGGGGCATGAAGAGGAGCAGGATTCTGTGGAAGAGGTCCATCCTCATCAGAGCGGAGAATCCCATATAAAGAAAAACCCCGTACAGAACAGGCATGGGAACATTTTTCAGGACGGAAGTGAGCAGCACGGACAATCCCACAGTCGTAAAGACCAACAGATTGGAGACGCGTTGTTCTCGAACTCCGAGAAATTTTGGTTTTTCTCCCGGAGCGGCTGTTTCCGATTCCATTTTCAGGGAGCCCACATTCGTCAAACTTTCCACGGTGGCTGCGACGAACCAAGGAAGGCCGAAGAATGAACCGATCACTATTAGGATCGCTAAAACGAACAAGTCCAAATGGTAGCCGCATCCTTTCTGCGAGAGGCAAAGTGATACAATTATGTTAGACGTGATTTAAGGCTGAATAAGGTATCCATTATGTAATAATTTACATATCTGCACATACCTGCAACTTGTGATCTTTCCTGTTGATAATTACGGCGGTAATCTGCTGATCCATGAAAATTAGAATTGTCGCCAACAATGCGGGAATTGCTGCTGCGAAGATTGACCACATGGGATTAGTGTTAATTGGCGAAATAAACCAGCCCCTCGCGTCCGAAGTGGGGGCAAATGTTTCTGGAACTTCCAGTTTTGGGGTGGGCACATCAGCCAAGATGTCCACCAAGGTCATGACCTAATCATTTTTAAGCACTCGTTAGCTTTTCGTTCGCTTATGTTTTTAATTATAAAAAATATGTATCTATTTATTTCGTACTGCAATGGCCAAGATGACGGCAAAGTCGGAAATCAGATAACGCAGCCAAGTCGGGAAAAATGGAGAGATGCGGAATTCTTTGAGCATAAAGGATACAAAGAAAGTACCAAAGAAGAGGAGGAGAGACATGAGAAAGACAGATTTCTCCGTCTCGTTTTCCAACCGGTTGAAAACTTTGTGCAGCGTTTCATTCATCTGGATTGCAATTATCATGAGTTAGCTATCATCATTATGATGAGAAGTTTACAAGAATTTAACAACTTACATCCACTTGTTCTACGTCTGAAAACTGACCCGAATTTAAGTCAATATCGTCGATAGTGACCTCTTCGTCCTTGATCGATATGACGTTCTTGATTGCCTAAAAAATCAGTTGTTTCGTGAGTATTACGCGTTCAATTTTGTTTTATGTATGTATGACAGTCACATTCATATACATGTGATCTTGCTTGATAGAAGTACCTCAAACATAAAAATGCAGGCGATCAATGTGGCAAAGTTATCCTCCGTGAAGCGGGTTATATATCGGACCAGGGAGCTGGCGTCCGTTGCGACGAGTATCATTAAAATTGCTGCGATCCACACTCCAACCCAGAGTCGAAATTCGAGATAATCCAACTCGTTACTCCTACAAATCAATTTTAAACCATTTATTAATAACGGGACAACGTAAATATTGCTAAAATTCATGCAAAACTTACTCTGCAAAATTGACAAGGATTTTCTCGAATACAAGAACAGGCCCCGTCGACCCCAAAATGATCAAAGGTTGCCCACTAAACAGAGCGAATCCGATACCACAAACACATCCTGCCACCATCGTCTCCATTGTGCCCATCGCATTATGCGTCGCTTCGCCCATTAAACCACCTGTTATAAATTTAGGGAACATTAGGTTAAATTACATGCCCTTTATTTGTGGGACTATAATAATTATGATTTCACTTACCAAATGTGATCATGGGAGTTAGACAAGCAAAATATAAAAACATCCACGTGGCCAGAACTTGAAGAGAAATCGCATCCCTAAAGTCGGACGGGTACCAAGGGATTTTTCGTTTAAGATCGTTGAACAGCCCACCGAACAGTCTGCCAGTTCTGTTCAGTCCCCCGTCGTCACCTCCTTCACCGTCGCCATCCTCACTGCCTCCGCCGTGACCACCGGTTTCCTGTAAAAATTTAGCAATCATCGTATCAAGTTCCCCATTCCAAGAAAATTTACTTGCTAAATATACATTTTTGTAGCAATTTCTAACCTGAACGTGTGGTTCGAGTCGAATCGAGGCATCCCAAACGGCCTACAATAAAAATATGATTTGATGTTAGATGAATGAACTTAAATGGATTTCGAAGTGATAAGAACACGTACGGGTGGGAGGATGGAGGTCGTGTTCAAAAAGTTGTCGATCCCCTTCAAAAGTCTTTCCTTGCTGGAAGCACAATACGCCATTTCTTTGAAGCCAGGATCTGTCAGGAGAGTCCCCATTGCTCGTCCAATCTCGATGTATTTTGTGCCCTGAAGAATAAATTAAGTGGTCATAAATAATGTGCAAGATTAATTAATTACGGAAAAATGATCGACTTACGGGTGGGACCAAAAGCACGAAAATGAATCTCGTCGGAAGGGGAACTTCTGTAAAGTTCCCGAGCACGGAGGGTTCCTTCAGTCTTACAAAAGCAGCAACAGGTTTGAGCAAGACTGGTACCGTGCCCACCATGATATTTGCACACTCTGAATTTTTTGGTATTTTTCGCAAAAATTGCTTGTTTTTCTGTTTGTCGTCTTTTGTCTGTGGTTGATAAACGACGGATAACATGCTTCCTCTCCGTTTAAGGTCGGGGGGATGGAGAGTTTCTGTATATTTTTTGTAAAATTAGGCTAAATTCTGGAAATTTGCATAGTATTTGCATAAACTTACTCTGATGCCCATTACTGGTGGGTTGTGCAGGGGTGTGTTGCGCCGGGGTGGGTGTTGGGGTGGGTGGAGGGGTCTTCTGCTTCTTGAACATGGTCATGAGGGAGGAATTCGTCTCATAAAGATGGACATGGGGTCTGAGGAGGGTTTGTAAAATTCTGGGTCTTTCCGACTCCGTAATGGCGCCCGAGTTGGTCCACGCCTCGACCAGGACGCGGCTCGCTTTCTCTTCATTGTCGCACTCAAAGTCAAGGTGAACCTCGGCATTTTCTAGGATGCGTCGCAGCTCGTTGCAAGCGCTGAGCTGGATCGCGGACACGTACGGTTTGCTCCATCTTTGGCCACCCTCTTCGATATCTTCCTCGTATTTCACCCATCTAAGCGTTTAAAAGATGTTAAATTTAGAGATGATCTTTCCCTAATTGTTTATATGGAGCAAGTAACACGTGGTGCACACATTTTAAAACCGTGATGACCCTAACGACTGGCACTTAACATGAAAATAATTGGATTCATTAGCGGAATAAGAAGATTGACAGTTTTAGTGCTGTGGAGAGATAGGGCGAGAGCTGATAAATCTAGTATTTACCGTATTTACCTGGTGACAGAGATTATAGTGCGTAGTAAAAAAGCTTATTAAGCGATGGTGCGAGGATAAGGTCATGATGAACGCTAGACACTCGAACCTGTCACCCACCTGTCAAATCCGGGGCGATAGGGTTTTATACATTCAACACCCACTTCCCACCCACATGACTTTATTCATCGTACGGTGCTTAAGCAGTGACCACACTGCTATTAATTGATAGTTGTGTGTATACCTACACGTGAATGATACGAGTGGTGCTGCTGATTTACGATAAATCTCCAATATTTATTTATTGTACTTTGTCCTGTCAATTGAAACTATACAAAAAAACGTGAAAGATTGATGGCTCACTCAAATTGTAAAGAGTTGAGATCATTCTGCTCATTGAGAGCAATTGAATGTGACAATATCAAGAGGAGGGGGGTCAATTTACAGCGAATTTAATAAAAAAATCTGCATAATGAATGACAACAAACCCAAATAACAATCACGAGTTCAAGTGTGAAAAACGGTAGTATTATATTGTAAGTTGTGATTTATTAGGGAACATGCTACTCAATTAGTGCCATTTCATACATGTGTACGTACATACTACAGCCTGACCTGACTAATAAGGGATCCATGCATGCTCATCGAAATTCCCCATCTGCGCAGTAACCCATCATACATGACCAAGAGATAACCTTTGGAATTACGTATGTCCACACATACATACTTAATAAATTAATTATTCAGCGGCGGCGTCAATTGCGATACGATTACGCCCCGCACAAAGCTAACATGTTTCCAGATTATCATCTCGGTTCGCTAATCTTATGCCAACAACATGGTCGTTGGTATGTAAAGAGATAATCAATAACTAATAATCTATGCATTTTCATAACAAATGTGACAAAATCTCGGCAACAGGAGGCAACATAGACGCCTGGCTACTCAGGTGGGTGGATTGGATGGCATGTTGAATCAATAATGTTCAGAGATTTTCCATTCAATCAATTATGTACAATTATGTCCAACCAACCAAGTAATTCGAGTAGGGCGCAAACCGTTTCATGTTTGATTGACAGCAACGAGAGCAAACATTTATTAGGCAACTGTTGGCATTTGTTATGAAATGGGTTTTCGATTAGACGCGAGGTTCACCATAATAATTGTGACATTGACATTGCACTTTAATAAACTCTGCACGGGTAAAGCAAATCAGACTGCGAAATGGTTACGTAAATTTGCACATGGTTAAAAAAAAATGAGAGTGAGATTCCTATTTTAATGGTATTTTATGTCGGAATTTTTCACTTTATGATTGAATAAAACAGGTTTACGTACATATGCAAATGGAACTTTACTCGGCACTTATACAAATACTGTTGCAGGGAATTTGAGCTATAAACAACTATGTAGATATCCAGATCAGATTTAATGATATCAGGAGAAACAAGGACAAATAAGACATTAAAGAAAAGCTGCTACAATTTTTCACGAGAAGAAGAGGAAAAAATGCTCCAGCGTTAGGTATTCGCGAAGAATCTTAGTCTACGATAATACATATGAAATTTCTAATTTCTAAAAAATAGTGCCAGCAATATTGAGTTGAAAAATAATTGTTATTACCTCGCAGCCTCGCGCCACTCCTCGGAGAGCGCCGTGCTGGAGAATTGGGCCATCTCGATGAAGAGCGGGTAGTCCCCCGAGGGGGGTAGATCGGCTTGGAAGCTCATTCTTGGAGCTCCATTCGCGTGGAGGTGAGTATCCCAAGTGGTACTCAAGTTGTCCATGATTGTTGCTCTAGGTCGTTAAATTCTACTTGTTCTTCTTCTTACTCGTGCCTATATTCTTCTCCTTCTTCTTCGTGTTTGGGGCTGGTTATTTCCAGACTTAAATAAGGTAATAAGTAAGTTATACACCTGAGGAGTCAGGCAGATAGGTAACTTTGGATTGGGGTCCGTCGTGGACCAAATTGTGGAATGGCTTGGCTACCTCAAGTTCATTGTTTTATAGGAGAGGATTGTGAGAGCGGAATCTCGATTCGTAGGTCCAGTCCGGTCCGTAATAATATGATAATAAATATGTAAGATTGCGAATTGGCGATCCTGTCTGTGGGCCGTCCCATGTTTGCAGATTGTTGCAGAGATTATAGCGAATTGGTCATCTGTATTGTAAAGTTGTGCATATTTTCTATTGGATTCAATCACTGGTCGAATTCAAATCACGACAATTTTCAGCACTTCAACGTGATGATGACACTTATTCCATTTCAACACAGTGAAGACATGCATACCAACCATTACCACGGTGCAAACAACCTACTGATCTCTCTGGCTACTGCATACTCGTCGCTACCGCATAGGCAGTTACCTACTTACAATTAGTTGCCTATGCATGTGTCCACATGCCGGAGAAGAATTAACTGAAAATATGCTCACTTTGTGGTCAAGTCAAGCCCTGTTTTGTTCAATTAAATGATGACTAAATGATACTCTTTAATATCGTGTGACGGCTCGTCTAAACAAAAAACCAGATTACAAGAAAATATGTACATAGCTACTTACTGATTCTGATTGTATAATAAGCAGCTACATAGATACAATATCGCATCGCATATACGCTAATGCTCGAAGTGCTACTACATACTTGAAGAAGGTGAGAATAGAACTATCTATTCCATCCAGAATATTTTTTACTGGATGCCACATAACGTAACGTTTTGCCATTTGAATAAGAAACCTGCTTGAAACTAGTTGCAGCAAGGTGACCATCTGCATTGTGATTCATTAGTGAATGACTTGGATGGACACCTGAAGGAAGACAAAGAATAGGCATTTCGACCACGGGAGGGTTAAGTTTAGGCTTAAAAAATGCACAGGAATCAACTGCAAGTCATTTTCCCCTCTTGTGTGCATCGGTTTTTGTTGTTAATTTATTAATAAAATGGGCAAAATTTTACGCCTTTGATTGAAACTATGATACAGCAAAATGCAGCATTACGTGTTCTCGGGAATGATCCGGGTTCTGAGAAATTAAGAAATAAATCTGTCCAAAAATAGTTTAGCATTTTTTTCATCCCACAATTTCGCCACATCACGAATTATTGCTAATTTAATAATTCATTCATTACTGCGTTTTGGCAGATTTTATATAAAAAAAGTTGCTATGTATGTAAAACTCGAGTGTCTCCACCGCCGCCGCTCTTCAAATGATGTGTTCCACTAATCATAACAATATTCAATTATTAAATTGCGATGATTTTGCTTGACTCGAGCTTTTCAATCAGACAGCTAAATCTCATTGGTAGAAGAGTCGAGACTGCATGCATAAGTTCAATATCAATGAAATTGATGTGCACCTTTTATCACTTTGTAATGTGTGCAATTTACAATATTATTAACCACTGTGCGAAAATATGTACTTGAGAGAATGCAGTTTTTGCAAACAAAACAACAACCTTGATAAGTTTCAAGTTTATGATTCTTATAATTTTCCATTCGCTATGTAAATAAGCTTTCGTGTGTGTCTATCTCCTCCCGCAACTCCGCGTGAGGCTAATCGGTGTGAAAATATCGTTTTTATTTTACAATTTATTTTTACAACGAGGGGGAGGAGACAAGTCGAAAAATGTGCATGCAAATCAGCATTGTGTGATATTTTTGCCACTAAATTTTCCTTGAATATGCTTAAAAATTGGAATCTGCCAATCTTGAAACTACGTAGTTGCAAACTTATTTAATTAGCTAATTCCGGGCGTAAGCTTTAATTTTTCTAATTGTGAAAATAAGTAAACAACTCATTTACTGAAATCCAGTCCAACTTTTACATGCTAAGGTCAAGTAGGGGAAGGAATTTCTCGAAAAATTGGATCGTATTTACAAACCAATTAAAAAACACAATGCAAAAATTAAGACAAATCTTCACGCAAAAATATTGATCAAGAAAGGAGAAAGAAGCTCATTTAAGATGATCATCACTCTTGATTAGATCCACACACTTGACATGCCACGACCAGACCGGGCGACCCGTTACTGTGCTCCAGAGTAGGCGTTGTTATCAAGGCCAGAGGGTATAAATGCGAAGATAAGGATGGAATAAGGTACAAGGGTTGATTGTAGAAGTGGTTTTTTACATGTTCCACAGAACTCTACACCATATTACACCCCCTCAACACAGCACATACAAGTTGATGAACCAGCTTAGATATGTACATACGAATGCAGATTTTGAAGTCCTGTTGTGACATTTGTCACAAAGAGTTGTGGGGCGGAGATGGATTACGAGTTTCAAAGGGCACCAAACTTTTGGCTGAACAAAGAAACGGGAATGAGACTGGCGAAGAGTGGAGGAAAGTGAGCATAGCTTAAAGAAGTTGGTTGGTGCCTTTATTTGCATAGTTGGTGGGGCGGATGAAATGATATTCCCTGCTGGCTGCGGGATATCGATGTGCATTCTCCTCCCTCATCGGCATCCTCATTAATGCAATGGCGGACTTTCACTCCTGACTTTTCTTTTTCCGGTTTTTCTCCCCTCTCCGTTTCTTGTTTTTCGAATCTCTCGAGTAATTCATACATACCCCAATTGAACATTCGGTGTAGGCCTTGAGCTTGAATAATCTCGAATTGATGACAGACAATTGAAATTGACAGGCTTGGTTGGCTGGTTGCAAAATTTAGTTGCAAAATGTAAACACATAGTTGCAAAATGATACCCACGTCATTTAGATAAAACTCTCCTAATGACAAACAATGCGAGTGATTTCGTCACCATTTATTTTATCATGACATTTTCTGAATTCGCGACGTATATAAAAATAAATAAGTCGATAAATAATATGTATTGTGCATAATATTTACAATTCTAGTCGCGAAATGACTCAGCGCATGTAGCCAAATTCGCAGAACGTATAAAACCCAACGCGTCAGTCAATATACCGATTTTCAGCAGCAACAAAGGAATCTTGGTCGTCAGACCTGGAGGGCATATGCCTAATCTGTATACCTACACAAAATCTTCCACCATGGTCTAAAGTTCCATGTAAATATGCATCTATATAGCATTGTTCAACCAAAGTGGTTATTTTATTTGGAAGACATCCATCCATGTCAGGTTGAGATTTAATGTCAAGTAAGTACGTCAATAGGCAAGAAGACAAGACAGCAACAACACCCTTGCATCGTAAACGAGGAGGCAGCGACGAGTAAACATTTTATTCGCGAAACGAGTTTTTTGAGCATAATGTACAAATAATTGCAGAGAGAAGACGATATTATGATACGACTTGAGTGAGTAATAAGTAGGTAAGCATGCAGAAAATTATTATTCACTCACGTGGCTGCATAATGAAATGTTAGCGACATACATAATACATAATCATTTGCATGCCTGGCAATCTGCACACGGACAAATTTTGCGCAATAATAACTCGGAATAAATTGAGTCGAACGCAAAATTGCCTCTTTCACGCGTGTTTCTTCTTCTTCTTTTTTTTGCTGGGTATGGTTTCAGGTGACGCTGATTTATTATTCTAGACCAAGTTTTTGCCGGAGTATGCAATGCATCCGAAATTAGTTTGACATTTGGCAGAGACGATTGTTCTGCAAAGTAACTGAAAGAGATGAAAGGCTTCAATTGCATGTTGTAGGAAACCTTTGAAATCATATTTCCAATATTTACAGGAGAAAAGTTTGACTTGAAAATCATTCGCTAAACTGATTTCCAAGTAGTAATTTGAACCCGGTTTTCTAGAGTGAATACAAATCTGGCTCTTATCCATTGTGTTGGAAATTGGAAAACTAATTATAAATGGGACTCGTACTAGGCGGGTAATTTCAGAAGTAAATACGAATTTGGAAATTACGTAATTTATGAAATTTGCCACCATCATGTAATTCGCCCAAACCCCTTCAGACCATGTTACCACATAAATTCCAAGTTCGAACACCACCACCCCACGTGAATATTGGACAGATTGAACCACGCTTCCAAATCACTCAAGTAAATCAAACACCATTCGCAGTTTGTTGAGGTTTGGTCAGTTTCAATAACACGTATGTTTACCATAAAAATAAACGGCTGCACTCATCCAAAAAACTCATCGCCATCGTGTCAATCTTGACAGGCGAATGCTCTTGAAAACCATCAACATTCCTGGTGCAGTAGGTAATCAATAGTTGTAGATCGTCGTAGTAAATAAGCCTGCACACGAATCTCAAGTTTTCCACCACGTCTCCCCTCCATCTCGTAATCTATCCCGCTATTTTCCCACCCACCAAATAATTTATTGGCAACTTGACGCCACCACGACGACTGCGGTTATCACTTGGACGACGAGATATTCAGGGGCAGAGCTGCTGATTGATTCTCAATGTGTGAAGACTTTCTCCTTCACGCCAAATTTCGAAAGACCGACTTCTATGACGAAATGGGATTCGGAGCTTTGTTTTTGCTGATGAGTTGATCAAGCCGAAATTGGTTTAGTAGGTTTCTCTTTTGGTCTGGCTGGGTGGTGGTGATACGGCGTAGAATTCGTTAATCTGTGGCCTGCTTTTCGCAGAAGGAGAGAGCGTAATAAATATAAATGTTGTAATCCTGTCACTCAGAGGAGTGATTTCACAAGGAGAAAGTATATATATATTTCACTGGGTTGGGTTCGTGACGGATTTGTGGTGTGGGATGTGTACAATAAAATGGTAAATTAGCAATCAAAAGGGGAGCTGATCTGGTGGGTCGAGAAGGTCGTGGTGAGCCGCTCATTGACAGAGTTCTCCTAGGTTTTCTGAGGCGTATGTAAGAGGCAGGACAATGGGAAATGAATCAATTGTCCAGGCCGTTTCTAAAAAAAAACTCATTACTTGCGCCCACAGGAAAGACAAACAAATCCGAATCTTCTTGGAGCTGGAGGAGCAAATTGAAGAGCAACAAATCTTTCAAGTGTTTTGTTCACCAGCGACTCTCATTGACCACGCACATTATCATCAGCTTCATCTTCATCAAGGGAATTGAATCTCCCTTATTATTTCCTTCCGACCGTGTGGTGGAATAATGGAGTGTTTTTTTTAGAACGCGGTGAGACTACTGACAAGGAAACACGATGGTTGTCCAGTTATAAATTTGTGGCGACAGGTTTTTTGGAGAGATTGGTAAACAACTCGAATGTCTCTCTGGTTTTGGATCTATGTAGTTTCGGATGACCGTGTCAGACTTTGGTGATGAAATTACTTTTAGAGAAAAATAGGCAAACCATTTTCCTTCCCCAAATCAACTCACCAACCAAATAGAAAGTTACTTTAATACGAAATCTCACCTTTCTCCCTACAAATTTGTATCCCCATTAATAAACCTGCCAATAAAATAGATGAGTCAACCATGCACTAACTCTACAAATCTCCCTTATCGTCCAAACCACTCAAATCATCGAATAAAGATTTATTTCTTACCTGCTCGCCCCCTCACATACTCGCATTTTTCAGGTCTCGTCTCACCTAACCGATTGATCTAATTTTACGCCTGCAGCAGACAAAACACGCAAATCTCAAGTTTCTCAAGTTCATCATTATCCTACTTTCCCTAAAATATTTTTACTGGATAGAAGCGAGATCAGATTATCCAGCGTGTCCATATCCGCAAGTGAAGTGAAAGTTCTCTCTCTCTCGCTTTCTCTCTCGAATTGTCCTGTTCTGCAGTCGTACGAGCTGTCTTTTCACGGAATAAGGCAGAGATCCGTACGTACGTACTTATGTGCACACACACTCACGTACACACACTTTCTCCTCTTCTTTCCTGGGTCAACCTTCACTTCCAGTCCAACCAACTCTCTCAGCCTCACTTTCTTTCTCGTCCTTAGTCTCATCTTCGCCTCCCAAGTGAACTGTCACGTTTTTCACTTCTCCTTTCATAAAATTCTCTCCACGAGTCAGTCATCCAGTGAGGAGGAAAATATGCCTCACGACTTTCACTCCAACCTGTAAACAACTCATTTTATCGTCACGTACTCCGAACCAGTCTAATGATGACGGTTAGTTAGCCGTAATAATAGTTTACACGTCCCCGACATGAAAATTTTCTCCGTTTGGAAGTAGATAAAAGACTTTGTGTTTCTAGTTTTTAGAAGTGTTTGCACTGTTAATTAGGACATATTTGTGCTCCTGTGAACTTAATTGTGGTCGAATTTCAACTTAAGGTGTGATTAGAAAGCAAATAGTGTGGGGATGCGTGAAATCGGTAATTGTTTACGTAAGCAATTAATCTCTTATACTTGCACAAATCTGTAATTATTTATGGCATTGCGAACTAACGAGGAATGGTGTCGAGGCGTGAATCGAGTTATGTAAGGGTTGACATCTATTCCTAAATGTGCAGAAAGTATAGATTTTTAATATCTAGGATGGAAGAATTTATTTTGTCAAATTCATTTTTTAGCAAATTATAAGATGAGCATACAGAGTCGTATATACCATCGGGACATTTAAATATTTAGCATCAACAGGTATTTATTACTGATAAAGTGATAACTTGCCTTATGCCTCGGCAAATAAATCAAAGTACGGGAAAGCCAAAGCACACAGAACAAAAGACTACTAACCAGATTAAACAAAATCTTGTCCATAAAATCTGCGATTTTAAATAAATCGTAATTTTGACAAAAAATACTTTCTGGCGTTCAACAGATCCAATTTTCTTTTCAATAACCTTTCACTTTTTCCAAGCCTAAAATTCCATGATGATTCCATGATTTTCCATGTCTGTGACATGTCTGAAAATAAGTGCAGTTTGTGAATAGTGAGATGAATGCACGGAAAAACTTTCAGAAAGAAAAATAAAGAGAGGAGGAGAAAAGAAAGCAACTAGTGTCTCACAGTTGGAGACAAGATTGCGTTAGGGAGAAAACCTCTGTCTGTAACCTTTCAATGTGGTGAAAACTATGAATTTAAATTTATGTGGTCTAAAATTATTTCATATTTTGATGACATCCTAATTTTCAGACAGAAATACATCTAATCTCCCAGCATAGAAAGTGTACTCGTCTACTTTCTCTTGTCCTCGCATTTCGTCAATCATCACAGCAGTCGTATTTTCACCACGTGTAAACATCTACAACATCCTGATCAACTTTGACCTTCTTTTCACCACCACCAACACAAACCACCAACAATAATTCGAACAAATAATACACTCACCGCAAAATTTTATCAAAATTCATTCGTGCCCCAAAATTTCCCTCCGTACTATTTGATAACCACAATGTGCTCTTGAATGCCAGGAGTTCAGTGGTTGTTCAGCTGAATCACAAGTTTCTCAAAGATTTCATTGGTCCGACCACAAAGCATTTCTTCATCTCAAAGAAAATGAATTTCAAGTCTTGCGGAACACTTTTCATGTTTTTCGTCGCATGTGAAGTTCTCCTACTTTGCTTTTGCTGCTGCGATGGGGCGAAAATCCCGACCTCCACCCGCCCACCGATCACACCCACCGTCGACCCGAAAACCCAACCTGGTCGAGTGACACAAACTTTTACGGGGAACGAAAGCAGGTAAATGCATAAAAATGGGAATTACAGTATTTCTTCTATTATTATTTCTATTTGATGTGATACTTATCGGATAAAAAAGCAACGTTTTCTTATAAACCCAAGTTCCCGAGAAAACCGATAAACTCCAGGAACGAATGTAATCACAATGAACTGTGCTTTTATCCACTCGACTTAGTTTGCATGGATAAAAGGTACATACTTATTCAAAATACCGGAAATTGAGTCTTGTAATAATCTTTCTGCTCAGTAAATTCTTTAAGCTGGCAACAAAGCAGTCTTCATTCAGGTTGGATTGTTGATTTAATAAATATTTTATGCATGTAGGAGCACAGGTAGGGGCATAAGTACAGTACTTACGATAAGTTCCCCCATTCAGGCCGACAATGGTTTATTTATAAGCTTACTTTACTTTCTCCGAGATCAAAGGGAATTGCAAATCTATTTTTTTATACGGTTAATAATTTAGCCTGAGCCAAATGTAATTTCATTTTATTTAATCAAGTTACATAACAAATTAATAAGAGGCAGTCACGAGGATTAATTTGTGTATTAAAATTAAAAGGCAAATATGTACGTCATCATGCATGCAAAATTTTTGCAGTCTAAAATTTTAGACTCTAAATATAATATTTTAGAAATTTCTGAAAATTTTAATTAAGGTATATACACACATATAAATCTAAAGAAAGTTATCGCACCTGACAGACAGACATGAGGCTTAGATAAGCCTCGGCTCAGGCTAAAAGATCAGAGGCACTACTTACTTACTACAAGATTACAAAATGTACGATGTACTTATTTGCATCATTTCTCACTACACGTTACATAATACCCACTGATCAATCACCCCCTCCAAGATTATTTTATGCTGAGATATTTTCTCTCTCTTTTTATCCTCTGGTTATTTCCCCCAAGTCATTACGACATAATACTTCCTTTGAAGGATAATAATACGACATTCTCCGTTAATGCCTGCACTCCTCTAAATGCAAGGAGACATTCCCTGATCCGATCTTCTCAACGCGACTCCTTTACAATCTAATTTCATCCTCTTTCATTCATCCCGAAAAGTATTAACAATTATTTTCCCTTCTTTTTCATCTCAAAAAAATATTTCCCATACATCCATAAATACATGTTTAGTCTTCATATATGCGAAGAAATGTAATAAATCCTCCATAAAAATATGTAATTTCATGATGTGAACGACTCCGTCGAGTGAGTAATTTAATTTTTAGTTCTTTAAATAACTGTCACAACTCACATGTGGTATCACATATTTACGTATCCAAATTTGCCTGACGGCAGACATGCAATAATATTACGTACATATGCATGGAATTCCTAATATTTCAACCTTTTCCACTAGAACAATCATGTTTACGAGATGAAGAAGACTAAAGAAAGAGGGATGAAAATGTCCTTGAATTACATTGTCCTCAGAATAATTGAAAACAAGAGACGTGCTACATCCATATTGATTGATTCTCTGCACCAAATAATTTTTTATGTTTTCTGTTCTTCAGATAAGAAAGAAAGCAGATATGTAGTGAGCATCGAGGCTTTGCCACCACGCACGTACCCACTTTTTTTACGTAAATACACAAGGACCTCATCTGCATGCTTTATTCGATCGTGGATGGATCTTGGCTCGAATTCAATCAGCTTTCTTTGAAATTGCTTGCATGATTATTCCCCCATCGGCGCAGGTGATTTGCAAACAACGTAAGGTTTCTTGAACAACAGAGATCATGAAAATAACACGTCATACAATTTTCATCATGTGTATGTACATACATACAAAAAATTCATTCCGCACTGTCAAATCCACTCCGTAAACTGCATCAAACTGGATTTTGCGAGTTTAATAATGCGTACTGAACTGACAGCATTATAAAACAACAGTTGATTGTGACAGAGACTTGGCTACTTCATGTTGGACAAGTTTTTTTCCGCATTTATCTGATGCGATTGATTCAATCTGATTTGAAATTATTGTGTAGTCGAGGTGTGTAATGAATGGCTAATTCTATGTATTTCCAGTTGGGTACCAGGCGTTTCAGCTGCAGTCATCGTCATCATCGTCTTTCTCATCTCACTCTTCGCCTGCTGTATCCATTGTCCGTTTTGCATCGTCTACAAGAGGAACGCAAGTCAACGAATCATCTAAACTTAATTATCAACGAAGGAGAGGATGGATGGAATAAAATGCAAATGAATGTTGTACTTAAACTAGCAAAGTCTGACCAGACCAAGCACAATGCAATCTCATTAACCGGGTTGCATAAGTTGGTTGCATTGCATTTCTTACTGCATTTCTTGCCAGGGGTGGCCAACACATTTGATTGCTTTATCCTCTGTAATACGATAGCTTATTCATTCACTCCTTGTGAATAGCACTTGTTGTAAACGTGAAGCCAATCTCACTCAAGTCTCCGGCCAACCATAAAGGTCGAAGTATTTAACTCGATTCATTCAACAGTAATGGTAAAACTTTGGTAAAAACAAATACAGAATTTTAATTGGACGGGATACGATCTGATTTGTGAAATAAATAGCACAGTAATTCTGCCAGGAAAATGGAAGAAAATTAAAATGTTGATTTCGCAAGCGAAGCCTTTTTCTTGTTCTTCCTCCCAGAAGCAGCGGTAGAAACGTCGAGAAAGAGAAAAATAGGGCTATATTCACGAATAAAAATTCAGTAAGAGGAGAAGAAATGAGACAACATGAAGAAAATATTTAAGTATTGAGGAGTATGACATATCTAACAAGGGAACATACCGAGGTGTCCAACGAGTTAAGGGTCGACACCTATACCAAAATGACCACAATACATGACTTGTTAAACAAACTGAAGGAATTTCCGTGTAAAATTCACTTTTCGTCAAGTTGTGACGATATTTGTGACGAGCGCATGACCTCGGGTCGCCAGCGGGAGAGGTCGGCCGCTGAACGATCAGGTCGTCCACAGAGAAGGGTCGTCGTGATCACGTCGGCTTCAGAGATTTCGAATTCTTTCAAACTTTGAAACTATTTTGAAATTTTGAAGAAATTTTGAAAACATTTTGAAATTTAGAAAAACTTTTTCAAATTTAGAAGAAATTTCGAAATTTTGGAAAAGTTTGGAAAAGTTTGGAAATTTTGAAATTTTGAAACAATTGTGAAATTTTGGAAAAATAGAGGTGTGTAAGTTATTTGAAATTTGAAATCTCTGAAGACAACATGTGTTCGATTCGACACACCTCTAATTTTTTCAAAATTTCAAAATTTCTTCAAAATTTCAAAATTTCTTCAAAATTTCAAAATTTCTTCAAAATTTCAAAATTTCTTCAAAATTTCAAAATTTCTTCAAAATTTCAAAATGTTTTTAAAATTTCAAAATGTTTTCAAAATTTGTTCAAAATTTCAAAATATGCAAGAATTCGAAATCTGTGAAGACGACGACGCTTCTCTGTGGTCGACCTGATCGTTCAGCGGCCGACCTCTCCCGCTGGCGACCCGAGGTCATGCGCTCGTCACAAATATCGTCACAACTTGACGAAAAGTGAATTTTACACGGAAATTCCTTCAGTTTGTTTAACAAGTCATGTATTGTGGTCATTTTGGTATAGGTGTCGACCCTCAACTCGTTGGACACCTCGGTATGTTCCCTTGTAAGTTAGATTTTATGTACATGCATAAATATTTATGTAAATGAGGAATTGTATTGTACTTAATATCATGCATGCATTCGTTAAAAACTATACAAAATAAATTTAAGGTAGGTTATCCATGGAAGGTTTAAGGTAGGTTAATCCTATGTACATAGAATTTGGCGTATAGAATTTAAGGTGTATCTATCAATCAATCAATCAATGTATAAAGTATTATATAATCCATACACATTAACGTATTACATAATTCTCAATTGTACTCGTACGTACCATATAAACCTCTGGATTTTGTAAATATCTGCATATACTTTTAATTGATACAAAGTTTTAACCATATTTACATAAATGTTGTATTGTAAATACTTAAACTTTAATAATAAAATCTGTCCAAAATAGTTTCCAAGTTTTGTTTTGTATCAATTCCTCTTATTCTTCGAGCGTCAATCCTCCTTTCCTCCTCCTACGTGTGTGTCTGTGTATCAAATTTCTAGGAGCAGCAGCAACATCGTCTTGGTTTCGAGGTCTTTGGGTCTCCTTTCACTTACGTCATCTCAAAATACGTTTCGTAGGCTACCTTATGTCACCAACTGCACAATTACAACTTCAAGTTTGAGTCGTGTACGTATACCCTGCGTAACATCAAACAATATGAATTTAACACATGCATCCGTCCATCCAGAATCCAGAAGTGGCAGTGATTACATAACCCGACAGTAATTTTGTAACTGAATTAACAGAATTATTCTATCTCGTATCTATCTCGCTCGTCCTGGAAAGTTTGCAAGTTTCAGTGGAGTATGAATATGCATATTGAACAAGGGGGGAAACCCACAGCCGAGAGGAATATGTACACATGGTAAATAATCTACAAGTTTACCTAACCAAATCCATACTCAATTATCAACTCTGATTGACCGGGTTGTGTGTGCAGCGCAATAAATAACTTGCAGCATGACTAAACATTTGTCGAGTAGGGCTCACTTCCGTTTTGTGTGGACTATAATAATTCTATGCGGATGGCAAGTTATAAATATAATGAGCGAATATAAGTAAATGATAAGCTAAAAGACCGGAATATGTGTAGGTGTGGGATGCATTGATTGAACAAGGAGTTATTAATAATAGAAGGTCAAAACTACATGGAACTCGTAACGAAATTAATTAATGGGGTAGGATTTCAGTACTTTACACAGTTCTCATTAAGCTTACTCATTACATACTTTCACGAGCAGATGCACACATCCTTGTACGTAAATAATAACGCTGCACAAATCTGCAAATTGGAAATGGGGTCGTAGTACAAAGTCTGTTCCTGAGGGAGGGGAATTGTCCATATTATTCATAAATTCGGAGATGAGGCAGGATGAGACCGACTTCTTATGTCCAGCTCAACATGTGCCACAGTTCCATCTAGCAATTAATTTGCTTCGATAAATACAGCCATACATAAGCTGGTTGGAGGGTAAATACATAGATTTAGATACGTAGAAAATTACCCAGGACGAATATTCAGCCAAACACCATGTGTCTTGTTTATCTTCATGCATTACAAATTCTTCCTCGTGCCTGCACACGCAGGAAATCTCAACTGGGAATTATTGGGTGGTGGTGAAAGCAGCAATACTTCCGCTCACATGCGCCAACATGCTCGAAAATCGTAAATTGCTTTCACTTCGAATAACTTCCTCTCCTCGTGATGGACGGAAAGGGCAACGAGACGAAACTATGTATGTATATCGTGTGGTCCACCCATCCATAAATAAAATACATATGCAAATCATAATCCAGCGTGGGCAGGCTATTTTTATTTTAAAAAAACTCGTTTTTCTTGCTATAACGAACTAGCAAAACAATATTTTTTTTTGGAAACTAGTCGAATTTTCAGTTTAATAGTTAAACTTTAACTTGACTCCTTGCCCTTTGAACTTGATTAATTCCTCCAAAGTTTTGATAGACTACACCCTTCAATACATTTCTGTTTGAACTTCGGACCAGAAATTTGAACCAAACTTTTCACACATAATAAAGTCGCCCACCTTTAAGAAAGCAGAAACTATCCTACTTTCTCCTCTCACCAAAAAAGAAACCAAGTGAAAGAAGAAACTTGCCCCTAATTCTATACTTAATTTTACTGTATTTTCACCCCAAACCCTTCACCAGACCAGACAAAAACTTTGTCGCTGACATTTACCTACAAGATAATAATAAAAACAGCCATGCATGCATTCTATTCGAGGCAAAGATGCTGTGATTGGATTAAAAGCACGCAGTCCTGCTCCTGTCATGTCGTCATCCTACGTGGATGGATAATATGCATCTCTCTCTCTTTCTATACATCCCACAGGAGTGAAAGTGGATAAGAACGCTGTCCGTTCGGTGGTGAGAGAGAGGGATTGGACTAAATTTAGACGATGGACTCGTTACCATCAGCACGGATATAGATTTACTCTGCTGGCGAACAACAACCTACGTAAGTATTTGTATGTACATACATATTGAGCCTCATCCCCTAAGACACGACCTCATACATACACACGGACGGCTACACTTTGTATTGTGCTAGTGGTGAAAGTTCGATTAAAGATGGGATGATGGCAATCCTGGTGAGGATGGAGATTCATCAGGCTGTCAGAGAGGCAACTGGTGGATGTGGATGTGTGGATGAAAAGGAAGGAAGGAAAAGGAAAGCAGGAGCAGCAAATCCTCATCAGAGATTGACGTCATGTTTCTCTCACTACGACGACGACGACGACGACGATGGCGATGGCAATGGCGACGCCTGCATATCTCCATAATAATGGAAGGTGCATGGTGTCCTGTGTGGAGGGACAAGGTGAAATTAGATGAACTGTGAAAGGATTTGTGGAAAAGTAATGACAATCCGAGCGGATCAACAACTAGACTCAGCTTTCACTCTCGCCTTACTTACGTACTTACTTACATCATATTACATACGACGACGAGGACGAATCACTGGAGAATACTTTCACTGGAAGGGATTTCTATGTATGTAATGTTTCGTCTGCTCTGGTGGAAATCTGCGGAAATGTAAACGATGCGACAGTCTCGAATTTCTTTAGCGTTTTGAAATATTATATGTAGTTACATAAATGTAAACGACCTGGGCAAGATGTGGCGTAATCGGGAGGAATTCCATGTGGCAGTAGTAACGTTGCATGGTTGAATGGATGCACAACATTTTTTTAGGATGGATTAATCCATTGTCATCTTAATTATTAATTAGAACTAGAAATACAATCAGTCAGAGCGTGTTACCAATTCAGTAATTTGAACTAAACGATATACATACAGAAATATGCGAGTTGACATTTTGCTTGACCCAATTGCTCCACTAATGGGATTTATCATGAGGAGAATTAACTTTCCAAATGTGTTTAATTACAATGTTGCAATATGTAAATAGGTTTTAGGTACGAGTACAAACACGAAAATTGGATTGTGCATTCCCGTGTAACGAAATTATGACTAGATAAACGCTGTTATGTAAAATTTTCATGGTCATAGTTCAATTTTAGAATATTGCACAGCAGAATAATTAAATCATCGTTTTATTTACTACGAACGAACGCATATCTGATGAGACAACAAAGGAAGAATGCTTGCCGGCCTGCAATTGACAGGCGTTATTAAACTTGACTTTTCCCTTTGATCTCTGAGAGATAACCAAATCAGAGCAATTACGGAAAACAAAGGGAAATCAGGATGATTAAATTATGAATTTTCCTGGTAATAAACGGATCCAAGGAGAAAAAATATGTGGCTAATTTTAAAGAAACTTATTTTTATCTTAGATCCTTCATGCTATTTTTCCATTCAACATCTTAACCTTGATGTGAGAACCGAAATACTTGTGAAATTTTATATTAAAACGTTATGCAAGACGTTTCATGTACAAAATCCTGCTTCATATTTACTTTATATGCATGCATGTAAGATGATGATGGGATGGATGGACAGGTATGATTACAGTCCGCAATTCAAAGTCCAAGAATAAATTGAGATGACACAATCCAATCCGTGCCTGTGTATAAATAGTTGCTCTATAACTCGAGCCACTAATTGGACACAGATTTTCCTCATCCCAAGAATTGGCTACATTTATGTAGCTATAATAATTCAAGACCAGTTTTTTAACGATCAAAGGACAAGACACAAAGTGGCATCACATACGTACGTATATCACTATATAAGCTCATAGAACTAGTTTATTCTCTCTTCAAGTCATCTCCTCCTCCTCCTCCTCTTCCCCTCCTGTTACGAGAACAGCGTCTTTACAAAGCAATTAATTAATGTATTAAATGACTTATGTATTCAAGAGCATTTTTCAAATCGTTCCTAAATCCTCACAAATTCATTCCGCTCGCTTCCCTCATGGCGTCACTTCACTACTCCGCTTCTCATCGCACTTACATATTCTTTAAGACTCGATATTTAGTAATGAACATGAACAAAGTATATGTATGAACGGATATTGATATACATAATTAATTAATTAATGTAATTATAGCAACAAATTTCTATTGAATTCAGTCACTTGCTTGCTTGCTTTCTCTTCTTGAAAGCAATAACATTTCTCTCACTACTACTCGGATAAATCACCTCAATTTCATCTCCTACATACCTTCTGAACCTTCTCCACCCCTCCAATCACGCGTCCCCTTCTTTCACAGTCTTACAAACAGTTACGCTGAATTTCCTCAGGCCAGGCGAAAGCAGATCGGTGTATGTATACGTAAATTAATGACAACAAACAATTATTAATAGACATATATAAAGGCTACAAACTACTAAATAACATGACCTATATCTAAACAGTGATTAATTAACAACAACAATTATTATACATAATATTACGACAACAACTAATAAATAGTATTCATTTCTCAACAGATATTACAGTTCCATCAGTCCATTATTTTCTGTTAACTTCAGTCATTTATTTAACACGTCGGCAGTATAAGATAGATTTGAGTGACAACAACTTTCACCATCATCATCCCTCCCACCTATGCACACCACCTTCGTCGTGGTTTGATTTTTTTAGTCAGTATTACAGTTGCAGTTGTTTGCATCCATATCACTTCCTACTTCTCTTACTTAATATAATAATGAACAACATTCAGTAGATTTTTTCTATATATAAGTTATCCCATCAAATCGTGAAGAATTGATTGAATTGAAAGAAGCAAGAGTTAATAATAATACGTAAAATCATAAATTTTTAACTATCTACTCCTCCTCCTCCTCTTTTTCTTACTTATATATTGCCTGCAAGCATGCATGTAAATCATCAAGGAATAAATGTGTTAAATAATAAGGTACTATCGATCCAAGACCAGCTCGCTGTCTGCCAAACAAACTACACCACAAAATTCAACAAAATTGCAATAACCACTTTCTCCATTATTCGCTCAATACCTATCTCACCTTCATCAGTCGATGCAACGAAATGCAACAAAAATCAATCCTATGCTCAATCTCTCTCCTTCTCCCCATTTCTATTGACGTGATCGTATCATATCGTTTCGTATTTCGGTTATCACATTGCACATTAAAGTCAAACTACTATTTCTCTCCGTATTCTCGTCCCCTTGCTCCCCTTGCTCCTAGTTAGAATAATTATTAAAATTCATCAGTCTCTGTCCAATCCGTAAGATTATTCCTAAATGTTACACATAGTATTAAATATATCATAGTTTTAGCTCTTTCTAGCTCTCAAATAATCTTTCAGCAGCATCACATATCCTCGATCCTAACGTTACTTATTATTTTATATGTAGAACCATATGTAAAGACGTATTAGTGACTTAAGGTAAATATATCGCATTGTCATATTATCAGGCCCAAAACATTTGCAAAACTCAAAAAAGTATTGAATATCATCATCAGCATCATGATTGATTGAATGTATAGCTTGCTTTTTAAACCTAAGGCTAAAATGTAACATAATCCTTCCTCTACTTCTGCTTCCTTCTCGTCTTCTTCTCTCCTTTCACTTTCTCACTAAAAGTCTATCCGTTAATAAAATGTTATCAGCTCAGTTATTGATATATTTTATCGTTAAATACGTTACCCTACAGTTAGGTAAATGTCGAATGAAAGTAACAAATCTAAAAAGTTTTTCCTCTTCTTCTTTCTCTTTTCTTAATGTATGTATAATTCCTACGCTGCAAATATCACACTACATACGTCAAAGTATTTCGTTTTCACTATTGCCCTATATCATCAAGTCTTCAAACCCTCGTTATTAAATTCATGAATATTTTTGCAGTATGCACGTCTTTCAATCTGTCCCTTTTTTCTAAAGGATGAAGGTTTCTATATTTTTTTGCTTTCATAGAGCACCAAAAAAAATCACGGTTGAGTTGACATGATCACAATTTGAAACGAATCACCGGGTAGAATTATTAAATGAAATGTTTGATTGTGCAATTTTTCCTGACCATTTAGTACCGTTTCGAGTACTAAATATACACCTTACACTGTTTTACACCAGGTTAGTACAGCAGTACTACTACATACTAAATTTTTTACAGTTTACAGTATTTTAAATGTGATACAAATGTTTCAAAATCGTTTTAAAATTATCAAATTCCGGCGTCCGAGTTGTTGTCCGAGTGTTGTAGAGTAGTTTCCGATGATTACGAGTCATTGAATGGTGATTTTTTTATTTATGAGACCGAGAGTGTTGATTCAGTGCGCTTTTGTCGCGAAAACGCTTTCCACACTTTTGACAGGGGTATGGAAGCTCCCCGGTGTGAGTCCGTATGTGCTAATGAATAATTATCATAATTAAATATAATTACAATTTTAATTATGTATAAATTATTAGACTAATTTTCAAAATAATTAATATTAATTACCTTGATCAAGTAATCCCTGCAACTGTAACGTACAAAAAAAAGATTAAGGTCAATGTAAAATCAGGAAATGAAATGAAATTGAAAAAATATTTAGTAATTACCCGAATTTTCTTCCGCATTCGGTGCTGCAAGAAAATATTGGAAATTAAAATCTCATGAAAAACTATACGTATTTCTCATTTTGCCTCCTCTTCCATGAGTCTTACCATTGTTGAGATTTTGGGAGATGAACCCTGCGCCGATGACGGTTTAAAGTAGCTCGTTGAGAAAAACTGTGTCACAGACATGACCGAATTTACATATGGACAAATATGTATGCATAACCAATTAAAACTGACAAAAGAAAGTAGTAAAGGATACCTTTGTCCACAGTCTGTACAGCTGTATGGCCGTTCTCCTATGAGAAAACAATGGAATGATGACATTAAGATTGCGTCCAAATTGCATGGAAAGAATAACACCCTAAAATTGAACTGCCTATTATCTCACTTAACGCATGTAGGCACACTCATTTGGCAGCCGATGTAAGACACATGGATCAGATTACCATAAACGGGATGTAAGTAGTAATAATGTCATTAACTAAGTTTAAGTCAACTAAAATCGCTCCCTTTTACAATTATTTATTACTCGTGTAATGTGATACTTTAACGCTACCATTGCATTACAACGGACCAAGTAACCCCAAGGCCGTAGACTGTAAAAATACCCAACCTTTCCTCTAATTGTGTCGTCTTAATTGGGCAATTATCAAAGTGCAGATACATACTTTCACTGCGTCGTATGCAAATGGATGGAATGTCAAGTGAAAGTCGAATGTACTTAAGAGCGTTTTAAAAAGCCTAAAAAACTAAATTACAAGTCAGAAAAAGCTTCTTACCAGTATGGCTCCTCATATGAATATCCAATGACTGCTTGTGCATGAACGATCTGCGGCAAAGGTGACACGGAAACTTCTTCTGGGGCATGTCCGGACCCAGATCAGGACCACCTTGTTGCTGTTCCACAGCCCCACCCGGTCCTCTCCCGATGACCAGCCCACCCGGCCCAGTCCCATTATTGTTACCCATCATTCCCGCATTGATCAGGGAGGAGGAGGACGTCGTACTATTATTATTTCCCCCGCCGACCCCGCCGCTACTGCCCGGAATCGCGACGCCAAGTCCTCCCCCTCCTGAACCGGCACTGGGATTATTATTATTAGTATTATTGCTGTTGATGAGGGACGTGATGGTAGCCGTGGGACCGGGTAAGCCTCCTCCTGCTCCCAAAACTACGAGCTGACTCAGTCCGTTATTAGGCTCGATTTTCGGCATGATCACTTCCTGGAGAAAGTACGAGAGAAAGTGTTGTCATTTTTGTCCGTTTGACCGACAGTGGTAGTGGTGGCTGGAGTATCAATTCGTAAAAAAGTACAAGGGCACGAGGAGTAAAAGTGGTAACTTACGTGGTGGTGGTGGTGGTGGTGCTGCATACACTTTGTTTCAAAAGGGAATTCGCGAGTGCATTTTCCGCTACTGCAAATTTCCAGTGGTCCGGTTTCTGGCTTGGAGAAAGCGGAGAGAGAGAGATTGGAGAGCAGGCAACCAACACCCGCAAACTGTCAGACCACTCTGTGCCGTGCTGGAGTAGAGCAGTGGAAGGTAGCTTAGTAGGCGGTCGGCCTTCTTCTCTCCCGTCGACGGATATACCAAGATCAATACTATGCAAGACAGAAGGAGACCTAGATGTCTAGACTATATTCGCTAGTCTGGAAGTGAATTCGCAACGAAATTTTTGCAATTGTGACTGCTGCCAATGTAGCCTAGCACTCCGGGTACTTTGCACTCTTCCCTCGAGTCATGAACCATACACGGCGAGGAGCCAACGAGGAAAGGAAAGTTCAGTCTAAAAACCTTTCTTCTTCTTCTTCCTTCCTCCTATCATCCAATTTCAATCCGAACTGATAACGAGACGATGTCGACGACGATACCACGATAATGATGATGATGACTCTGATACGGTTTCTTTCTCAGTTCAGCTACTACTGCGGAAGAATAAGAATCAAAAACAATTCGTAACACAACAAACAAATAATGGTAAAAAAATTCTACTTCTTTGAAACTCGTTAAAATGAAATGTCTAGACGGAAGCCATACTATAAAAAAAAAGTTTTTTAATTCAATTCCATTTCATTGGAAGAAATGGAATGGAGAGAAAGAGAGAGAAAAATCTGGAGTGAGAAAGAGGAATGACTTTTGCATGGCTGGTTGGATTGGACGTGGTTTCCTGCCTTGAAGGAGAGTGAAGGAGAGTGAAAGTCGTTGAGAGAGAATAATCGAAGAGAAACCGAAACCCTGCCGATGGCCCTGCCCTACCCCACCGAAAACTACCAACAACCTAGCCCAACAAATTTTGCTCCGTCTCCTCGACTCGCCTGGTTGCTTGCTTGCTGCGACTGCTGCTACCACCACTGCCACTACTTGTCATCCTATTATCCTCAATCCCCACCAAATCACCCCGATGCATATACTGACTCTGAGTGCACTGCAGTTTATATCAAGTGCAGAGAGAAATTCGCTTTCTCCTCTCTGAAAAATCTTTCTCTTCCACTCTTCTCTCACCTACCTCGATCCGTCCTTCGAGGCCTGGGAAAGCCAGCCAGACTAAAACTTTCTCCTCATCATCATGCACCATGCTTTCTCTCTCTTTATCTGCAGATCCCTATTATTTCCCCTCCACTAAACTTATCACCAGACCACCGCCACGACGGCTGGCTCACACCACACCACAGCACTCACCTTTTCCAAGGCGACGAGGATATGGCGTTGATGTCGCAGTGCTGCTGCAGAGAATAAAATAATTCACAAATAAGTCGAGATCTTCTTCGCCTTAACGTATGACAAGGTCTTCTTGGCACTTGATTAACAATTAATATTAGAGATGGCAACAGCCCGCCTTGTTGTCCAGCAGGAGAGAGTTGTGTGGTGGTAAATATGTATGTATACAATGTCGATTTTCGCAAATACAGAGAGAGTCTCGTAATCAACATGCAACCCCGAGAAGGACGCAGCACGATGTTTTGTGTTGTGTGCAGTGGGAGCGAGAGGAGCAAATTATAAGTAAAAAGAGTGCAGAAAAGTTGGGTTGTTAAGCAAGGTTTACTATTTATTACGTGAATATGTAGCGTCCACTTTTACTAAACCAAACCAAACCACTTGGTCTACTACGACTGCATGCACACACACACAACATGCGGCTCTATAATGCTATTAAAGAGATTCAAGTCGAGATTGAATAAGAGTTGACGACCAGGCGTGCTTTGCTTTGCTTTGCTTTAGACTAAACTAACTCGGTCGGATATGTATTTTATTTAGCAAGTGAAACAACGTATTTAAGCACGTCGTGTTGTGGATGCAAGTTGGTGGTTATATATGCAGGCAGGCAGTGATCTATCTAAACAAGCTGTGGGCTGAAGGCTAAAATCCTTGAGAAAGAAATCTCATCATCACTGCGAAACAACAGAGTATGCAGAATGTATGTATACATTCTACGTGTAGTTATCATTATGGGGATGGATGCATCACATGTAAAAGTGTGGATGATAAAATACTACATTTTCTCCACTACTACATACATTCTGTCTGCATTGCATTTTCATCTCGCAAAAATTCGCTCTGCTACACTAACCGATGATCTGCTGCCTCTGCCTCTGCTCTTGTCGTACCATCCGACGACGGACCGAACTGCAGTTTGCAAAAATGATGATCTCTCTGCCTGCTTTAAACAAACTTGGTTTGGTGGACAACATTGCCAAACCACACCACAACCTACTCTAATCTTGACTTACTAACTAGATCTCCATGATGCTCCTGCTCCTTGTTATTATTACTTATTACTCATGCACTCACTCGTGCTGTTGTGTGTGTGTGAGTGTATCTTTTTTTTGCGAATGTTGCTAAATATCTGGAGAGATACAGATATGTAGATGATGATGATGCCGACGATGATAGCAACAAAACATACGAATGCATATTATGTAGATACGTATTTGTTTGTACCAAGTTACGAATACAAAGAGGAGGAGGCAAGGGTTAAATAAAGTTACTACTACTAATACTACTATGTAAACTTACTACTATTGCGAATTATTAGCAGTCAGTAGTGATGTGAACGAAAATCCTGCTGATAAGATATTCCTGCAGTGTATTTAGTACATAGTAAAAGATACTAAGCATTCACAACCCATCGAGAAATGGCTGATCATTAGGCACCCCTTGACTGGACCACTGTTTGAATGAGATCACATAAGAAAACAAGAATACCTACTGGTTTTACCTGCATTCCAGTTTTTACAAAAAAATGGAGAGACATGTGGTGTGTGAAAAATATACCAACCAGACGTGTCTTTCCCAGAAACTAGATCAAATTATTCGCATTATTCATCCAGCACAAAGAGGAATAAAGTTATGTATGCGAATTTATTTATGGCTGTGCATTTGTACTTTAAGTATGTACTAGCCAAAGTTAATGTATTTGAAGTTGGGGAAGGTTATGTGACTGCATCGCCTCAATAATAATAGTTACACACACTTGTGCAAATCTGACTTATGATATATCTATATGGAGTACGTATGTGGATGGATTGGATATATGTATCAGCGAAATTTCACCTACCTTGCAGTACGTACGTAATAATGTAAGTGCATTTGTGTCCAATATGCGATGATGGTTGGTGATGATATCCATGCTTGCTGCACATTGGAAACGGCTGGGTTTCATTTAATGGCCTGGTCGTTTTGAGGGTGTATAAAAATGTTCTGTTCTGTTCAATCTTTAACGTCTGCGGTATATGATATGTGAGCCACATCGTTTCCAATACCAAGACAGGGATAGATACTGACATCAACAACTACAAGGAAAGGTATAGTTAGGGCTGGCATGTCAGGTTTACTAGGATAGGTACTGTAGAGGAAAGGGAGTAATTATTGAAATTGAAAATTGGGGTGGACGGTGAAACAGGATAGGATGTAAATAAGGAGATATTCAAACTATCTTAGGATTTGGCCAGACAATCCTATGCAGATTATCTGCCGGCACCGAACAGTAATTTGTATTTCCATACCAGTTCGTTCCACACTTTTTGCTGCATAATACAACTCAAGAGGAATCGAACTCTCGGCTTTTTGAGTCATGACACTGATGGTCAAGCCTCTAAGCCAAGACGGCAGGTTCTCTAAGCCAAGACGGCAGGTTCTCTAAGCCAAGACGGCAGGTTCTCTAAGCCAAGACGGCAGGTTCTCTAAGCCAAGACGGCAGGTTCGGATGGACGGCCAATGCCATTCGTCTCTCAAGTTGCAGAGAACAATTGTAATATTATGCCTAATTTCATAACTCTGCTGCACTTTATTATTGCATTTTGAGAACAGGGTTTCAAATCTCACTACTGCATACATAATGCATACGTGCCTAGAGTGGTTTCATGTTTTTTTTTCAAATTTAATTCATTATGTCAGCTATTTCTATATGTATTCAGCCGCATTTTTATGCCAGATATCTCTTCCTCATCATTGTGAGAGAGGATTTTTCCCCACAATTTTTACTATTTGAATAAGCTGTGGGAATTTTTAAAAACAATTTCGTACCCACTTACACCACCTCCGCCACCGACCGTCAAGCAAGCGTCCAACCCCTCGTCGTAAAAATAGTAGTGCTTGTTGCATCGATGTAAAATTTTAATTCGAACCGTATTTAAGTTGCATATACGGAGGTATTTTTTTATTACTGCTTCTTCTGTATTGTCTGACTCTTGAATTGTTTGGGCTGAACTGAACCATCAAACCACTCATTTTTTGCAAGAATGCAAAACGGCTGCATTTAGGGATAAGTAGCGAGTGCATGGATACATGTATAAGTGCTGCATAATGCAACTACTCCTCGACGATTGTTTTATCGACCATGACTGTCGGAGGAATACTGAGAAATAAGTGCATTTGCTTGGCTCACATTCGTCTGTGAGTATTAATATCGTTATTGCAACCATATCGACTTTTAGCTCATGTAATAGACTCGGTAACCCTGCAGCGCACGTATAGCGTTATGACGATAATAATGGGTCGTTAAAAGTTGTGCATTGCATTTCGTCTAGGCATGCAGAAAACCATGTCCTTACCATCGGCGATATTTATTGAGCTCAGAGTGTGCAAGGGCAAGAAGGCAGGTCGTGCCTAAAAGTCTTGTCACTAGGCACGCGAATTTTGGCCAGGCCACATTGTCCAAATACAATTTTTACCTTTTTTGGGCAATGTGACTATACGATTGTATAATCGCAAATTAATAATAATAATAATAATAATAGTATTTATTATACTGATCTTATCATAATATGTGATACAAAAAAACACCTCATGTTATAAAATAGAGAAGGAGACTCTACCAACATTTAGTTAAGTAAGCAACATACATGGTTTCGACAGTTTACAAACTCTCTAAGCCACTACTATTAGTTGGAATGATACTTAACAATACTTATAACTAAACACAATTTTTATCTTTCAGCATTAGAATAGTTTCATACTTGCAACTAAATATAGTGTTTTTTTCCCTGTATTCAGAATTGATTAATCTAATTAAGGTAGGTAATGTTGAGTTATAATATTTTGCATTTTTAATATTGGTCTGATGAACAATATTAGTCTTTCTTAACATCATACTTGATGAACCAGTACCGAATTCAGGCAAAAATACAGAATAACGACCAATTATTAGTTTAAACCCGAATTTTTTAAGTGAAATGTCCCTACGCATTTCAAGAGACTCAATTTTGAAAGAATTCAATACATCAATATAATTAGTATGATCGACCCGTTTTCTTAAAATAATGGATAAAGCAATTTTTTGCACTTTTTCAAGTTTGTGAATAAGTTTGATTGGTAAACCGGGACCCCAAATGACCGCACAATATTCTAAACCAGATCTAATATATACATTAAAAGCATGAATTAATTCCGAAATAGAAAAACCAGACTTGAATAATTTTTTTAATTGATACAATTTGCCCACTGCTAAAGACACAATTTTAGAAATGTGATAGTTCCACTCATATTTCGAGGTGAAGTGAACTCCTAATAATTTTAACTTGTCAACAACAGGAATTTTAACATTATTTATATAGAAATCTGTGGAAAAATTTAATTTCCTACCACCAAAGTTTACAACTAGAATTTCACATTTGAGGGGATTAGGTTTCATATTAATTTCGGAACACGCCTTAGAAAGGACATCAAGAGCTTTCTGCATGTTTGGGAGATTATTACCCACAACTCTTTCTACAATTACAAGATCATCAACAAATCCTGCTTGACAAAAATTTAGAAATTTAGAAATTATTTCTAAGACAAATCGATATTTTTTTTTGTAGCAAAAATTAACTTTACATTCAAAAAGTTGAATTTATCTCAAAATTCGTGAAATTGATCAAATTTTAAAGATTTTAAACAAGGTAAAAATGCCAAATCGTCATCCCATATGACCTTAAGATTGTGCATAGTTATTCGTCAAGAGTCGAACCAAAGAGGGGAAAAAGGCGATTGGGCATTAAATAAAACTGGCTAAAAGCTTTGCACACTCTGATTGACCTAGATCGTTATTGTGTCTGTGGATGCATGTAATTTGTATATGGACTGCATTTTATATCGTAAGTACATACGATATTGGTTAGATATGTTTACTTGAGAATGCACTTGGTAAAAGTTGCATCGTGGAGGAGGAAAGGTTGGCCTCAAATCAAAAGTCAAATGCTGCTGCTGCTGCGCTGTCAGGAACTCTAACTGTTGAACCGTTCCACTAAACTGAACCAGTACTACCTCAACCTGTCGTAAAAAATGTGTTTAATAGTGTCAGAATCAGGAGGAGGAAGAAACGAAGGCGCAAGGAGGTACCCGAACAAGCGTACCATACGAACCAAAAGTACTAAACCTCAACCATCATCCCAGTGATACTTACACCACGACCAACGGACGGATGGGAGAAATGTATAAATAACTATTTAAAAAACGTCTCACACTTCTTAATAAGCTGTGCAATGCAAGCTGTACTTACTACACGGAAAGAGCGTCAATGACCGGTTTCCTTAAAAACGCTGCATGCTTCGTCTCTCCCACTTTTATCGTGCCTCCCTCGTCTCGTGAAGTATTGGACTTGGTGATTCACTTGCAATAAAATCCACGTCTTTGGTGATGATGGTTTTGGTTAGTACATCACCTCGCTCGATGAAGAAAGTACCTCAAAATCACAAAAGAGGAATGTTGAATGAATGCATTTTACGCTTTATTTATGTTCAGTTTTAACTTAACTCCGATTAGATTGGTGATTGAATGTGCATACAGAACAGACATGAGCACGATGAGAATACTTGATTTCGTGAGAAAAAGCTGGCGTAAAACAATTAAATTGAGAGATACACATGCAGTTTTAACTTTTTATTGGTATTATGTCGTCCTTTTATTTTTGAAAGTTCGAAAAACTAACCTGTATTTTAACTTTAAATATATATATGTACGTGGTGTATGTAAAGGTCATCGTCGATCGGCATGCATTATTAGATTAAATACTTTAATTATTTACTACATACTACACCTCGTCGATTTATGTACTCCCCTTTCTCCAACCTATTACCTAGCGTTAATTACTATTTTACATACACGTATGTACTAACTTAGATTTGTACCATCTCGTTATCAACCCCCATGCACGTACGTATAGTTACGATACGACGAATAAATAATCGACTTCAAAAGTTTGACACGATCTTCTCAATTGTTGTCAATTAATAAGCCCTGTCAACTTATCGTAAGTAATATGACACGAAATGTACATACAATTTTGAGAGAACCGGACTTTCATGTCGAAACAATGATACATACATAAATTTTATACTTTAGTACGGAAACATGGCGTAAATATATTTTAAGGAAAACTAAACAAATTATCTAATCAGGTGAAACAAGTTTTTTTTTGGTACGAGCGAGCCAGTGAGCGAGGAAAGTGATAGGTTTGTCCTCAAAGTCCGTAAATACATTTTTTGAATAATATTTTTATTGCAAAGTCAGCATCAAGTTTAACGAGATTTTTTGTGGCGACTGGCGTAATAAAATTTATTCCAATAAAGGTTAAAAGAATCTCGCTCGGCACATTAGTGATGTGCGCGCAGAATTATTATTCGTACATATGTTTGTACATCGAGAGATTGATTTAAATCCAATCCCTCAGATTAGTGGGTCACGATTCAACAATAAAACATCAAGATATAAAACTGCGTAGCGGAAGTAGTAACGATGTATTATTACGGGCAAAAAAAAGATATGTCAACTTGACTCCGGTATTGTACGATTGAATACATAGCGATATTGATAATAATATTGGGATCAATATAAAAAAACAGGATAAATCGCGGTCAATAAAATAGTCTATAAATTATTGTTATTGTCACAAATTATTACTCGTCAAGTATCTAGTGGTAAATAAATCTAGGTAAAACGCATGGGCACAATGCTAAATGATATGCTAAACATAAATAGAATCACAGTAAGAAATTTTAACCGTACGTGGGTGGGGTCATGGGGTGGGTGTGGGCGATTCCGACCGTATCGGTTATGCAGCTCCTAATAGTTCTACGTAGTAATCGTGGAGAATCTTGCACTCGTGGTTGGTAGATGACGAAAATCGGGTAAAAAAAGACCAGGAAGGACGTTGAATAAGTGATGAGGAGGAGGTAGAGAGAGATACATGCATCATTTTGCTATAAAAATTAGTAGTTCACACTACATAACCATAACTTTAGTCTAGTTATTGCTTGCTTCCGTTCTCCTGAAACCAAATAAATAAGATGTATATTAAAAATGAGTTAATTGAGTTGAGAACTTTTTAATTATTAATTAATCAATTACTTGGCTTCCAAGCATTATGTGATTGATTACATCGACAGAATTCTGTTGCTGTTGGGTGTCATTACTTTCGCAAATTTCTACAAATGTCAAAACCAGTTAATAATGGGTATTCAGTCATATCAATGCACATTCACTTTGCATAAATCGTTGTAATTGATTGTACCTTCGACATCAAAGAATTGCTGGTCAGTAAACACAATTCCGGATGATTTTAACGCTGTGGAAAATATATCTTCGTGGTTGGCCACCATATTTTGGGAATTGTGGTTTTGAGCATTATTATCTCCAGGTATTCCACCATACGTTGCATTTATAATTTTTACAGTAGAATTAGACGCTACGCTACCAGCAGTTGAATACGTGTTTGCTTCTGCTGAAGAATTTCCTGACACGCTAGTGGAAGATATGGCTGAATGACTTGCAGAGTTTCTAGTAGGAATTGTAAATTGTATTGATTGATGTGGAAGTTCGACAGAGTTATTGGCAGACTCGGATGTCTCAACTTCTTCCTCGTACGCAATTTCTTGCTCCATTTCCAGTAATTCAGCTTCAATTTGAGCCATTTGAGTATCATTTTGCCCTAAATATTTAAGAGAGTTTTAAGTATTATGACGATTAGGACGCCTTATTAGCACTTTATTCCAATTCATGGTATTGAACGCCATTATTATGTATATTTATACATATGCATCTACCTATTCGGATAGTTGCTCCAGGTTGAACATGGTTCGGAATGGTAGTGAAAACTACCTCGCTTCCTACTAATTTTTGTTTCCGATGCGACATCGACGGCGTCGCAACTGATTTGAAAACAACCGTTGGCTCATGGTGCTGATCGGGGGAGGAGGATTGAATTAGTGTCCTCTGAGGCTGACCACTTTGGATGTTCAGCACCGACATTTCTGACGGAGCTGTGAATAACAATAATTAAAATGTTACTAATAATATTAATACGCAAATTTTGATTTTCTGGTCCAATTTTTGGTCATGACATACCAGTTAAAATCCTGGACACGGGTTGAAGGAATGGGTGAATTTGATTCGTAACCTGCTTATTTTGTACATCCAAAAACATTACATTTCCTTGCTGCAATTAATTAATAGTTGAATTTATATGCTTGGCTTAACATTTCGGTACAAAAACTACGACATATTTAATAAGACATACCGAACGCGGCAATTGCTGTTGAGGTTGAGTGGTCCTTCTTAAAATCACGGCCCGAGAACCAGTTTTTGAAGCCATCTGAAATGAAAATATGTCAATTACATAACTATTTACTCGTTATTCAAGAAATAAAGAACAATAAAAAATATTCCAAAATACTACGGCTTACCGCATTGCTTTGCAATTGAATTGCTGCCGCCGGAGCATTAGAGTTTGGATTTGTCTTCTGGACCAGAATAATTGGTGAGGACCCCGGTGGTCTGGCAGTGGCCGTCGTTGTCCCCATCTGCATTGGAATAGTTGCCGGAGAGGAGTTTGGAATTTGAATGATACCCGAAGACGTAGATATAACATTTGGTATATTAACGCTCGTTTGAACTTGAACACCCGTTGTTCCCCCTGCTGTGCTGCTTATAGAGGTTATCGGGTTGCTGGTTGATAAATTAATCGTCGTTCCACCCACGCTCACACACATTCCTCCCCCAGAATTAATTACCCCGGAGGGAGTTGAGGAGGTCGTGGGAACGTACGTTCTTTGAATTGTTTTAGAGTTGGATAAAATATGGGGTGTGGCTTTTCGCTGCGTCTGCAAAATGCCTGGACTTCCCCCCGCATTTCTGGATAGTTGGATAGCTTGGTTAGAAAATATACTGCTTCCCGTTGGCATTGATTCTCTTCTTGCAGAGGAGGCAAGACTGGACGCTGTGGGCGTTGTCGGCAAGTGAAGGTTGAGCGAGTCCACGACACTTATATGCTTTTGGGGCCTCTTCTTCTGCACGCTGCTCAAACTCGTAGAGAAGATTGGTGGGGGGATATTGATTCGGGGCAGTTGGGGTGAAGGGTTGAATGGGCTCTTCAACCGTTGTTTTTGTCGGGAAGGTGGGGGTGGTGGCGAGTTGGCATTGCTGCTGTTCGTTCCGGGAGATTCGTTGGTTCTGGAGCCTCCAGTGATGCTTCCCTTTTCCGACGCACTGTCAGTCTCCTCACCACTGAGTTGTGGACTTCGGAGATGGGAGCCGTCTCTTCCTCCGACGTGGTGATGGTGGTCATTTGGTGGAGACAAGTAATTCTGGTGGTAGTGGGGGTGTTGATGATGATATCCGTGCGGGACATAGCCACCAATTTGTTTGCTATTGTGAGCTTCACCATTCTCGAGGTGAATTTTACCGTGATGATTTCTCAAGAGGGGGTTTTCCATCATGTCGCCATCATCCGAGTGGGATAGCTCGTCCGGGTGAAGTTTCCTCTTCTTGATGATGGGAAAGTGTTTATTACTTATGATTAAGGCGTCATCGTCATAATCGTTCCATTCGACTTGCATGTCGTCGTCCTCCTTTTCTTTCAGCCTGCTCTTCCTCCGACTTAGCGAGACTGGTTTAGGCTTCTTGGGTTTGGAAGCTTTCAACGGCTTAGTTGGTGACGTTGAGGGTGAGCGTTTGGAAGGAGACGATATTGGCATGACATGTCGAGGCGGTGATCCGCCGGCTGCTAAATCATTTCTATTGGGTATGAACCCTAGATTTGGCGATGACAGAGCGTGACCACCTCTCCCACCGCGACCACGACCTCGTGAGAACATTCCCCTCCCACGCATCCGAGATCCGCGTCCTCTCGATGTCGTGGTTGTCACAGGCCGCATGGGTGGCGAAGTGATTCTAATTGTGGGACTCTCAACAGTATTATTAATGGCGGAGGAGGAGGGACCCAACCCCACCAACGCTCGCGGATGATCGTCCTTATTAATAACTCCTTGATGATGATGGCGATGATGCCGGTGGTTATCTTCATCATCAGTGCTTAATTCGGGAGACGGATCGCGTGGTCGTTTGACAAATTTAATCTTTGGAAATTTCCCCTTCGTCTTGGCAAACCCCTTATTGAACTTCATTTTCTTTGTAATTCTTGCCGAGGATGCAGCCGTGGTGGAAGCAGTAGCAGATCTGGTAGTCTCCACATTTGATAGCCTCCTACTACCAGGGTTGGTGTCTACTAATTGTTCCATGGATGCTTTTCTTTTAGGACCTCGTGTAGTTTTCGTGACCACTCCACGTCGAGGAGATGTCTTCTTGAGTGGAGAACCAGCATCAATGATGTCGGGAGAGCGTTCTCTTTCGTTTTTAACGTCAGATTCGTCACTGCTTCCCCCAGCGATACCGTTTCTGTGAATGGTTGATACTTTGGTTTGCACTTTTTTATTAACTTTTTTAACTTTGGAGTGCCACTTAAATTCCGCTAAGGCTGCCACGTCATCTGAAATCGATTTAAATGATTCGACATTGCCTTCCGTCTTGACAATATCATGGAGTTCATCTATAGGTCCTGCTACTGGTAGAATAGTGCGAGAAAACGAAGTTCTGCTATATCCAGAAGTTCGGCGTTGAAGGGAAGGCAAGGGTGGAAATGTGCCGTAGGACTCGACGGTCCATGTCTCATCTGCAGCTTCGGAATCGAACCCTATTTGTAATCTTGACATGAAACAGAAATAAAATATAAAGTTAGGAAGGAAGTTTATATTTTTGCATAAAAATAACGCCATATTTTTTGTTATAATTCAATTTTTTCCAACAATTCATTTTCTTACCTATCCGCCATTTCTAATAATTTATTATTCGAATTAACTCTCCGACACTCTGCTATATGTCTTGCTTCGGAAATATTGAAATATTTTCGTAACGAGTCAATTACTCCTTTCTTTTCCTTGTCGAGCGTCCCCTCCGCCCGCATCACGTCCATTACGTTGGAGTACGCTTGTAACTCTAAACCAACAGAAATAAAAGTATCAAATTTAGTACAGGAACGACCTTTACATTTTTTTATACAATTAGTAATAGTGCAATTTACCCATCGTTCTTAATTCTTTACCACAATCCTCCCTTAATCCGTCTTGATGAAGGATTTGTAAATACAGTTTGTTTTTATCCGTTTCACTCTCTTCCATTTTCCTCTAAACACCAGTCTACACGACACTGATAAGCTCGTGACGACGGTGATAGTGCATAACGGAAGAAAAGTAAAATAAAATATCTGAAATTGGAAATTCGTGTAAAGTCAAGCTTTAAACAAGTTAAAAATGTCACAAAAAATTAAAGTTTTCACACTATAGAACAGTAAATAATTTGGGAAAATGTTTCTCTTTTTAGTAAAACTTGGTCAACTGTCGGCTATTTGTTGTATGCCTACTTTTTATGATAAGTCGCTTATCTTTTCTACTTTACTAAAGTATTCGCATCCCTAACGCCAATGTTGAACAAGTAGAGTTTCCTTAATATTTGGGTAATATTATTGAGTCGAATTTCCCTCAGAATTTCAGCGGGAGTGGATTTCGGGGTATTGAGTCACAGTAGTGTTTTGAATTGCAGTTTTGAAATTTTGACACAATTCGTAATTTGTTGGAAATAATGGAAATTTTATTGTCGTTATTTATGTCCAAATTTCTAATGCTAAAAATGCGACAATATTTGGCTCTTCTTTTTTCCGTAACATATACAACATTGCAATATCATGAATAATTATTGGGAAAATGAGAATTGTCTCAAAAATGCCCCCCAAACGAACCATGCAAAAAATGAGAATAAGAAAAATGGTTTTAAAAAATGGTTTGTCATGTTCAATTTTACTTGTTTTTACATAATTATATTTAATTTTAATAGCAATGTCATATTTATTCATCTTCTTTGGCAGATTGATCATCTCCGTGGAATAATTCTTGTTCAAACTCTGCCAAAGCTCGTGAGACTGAATTATCCATCATTTCGCACAACATATTTTGCGAATGTGAACATGGAGCTCTAAAAAGTGAAACGAGTATTTTTTTAAATACTGAACTGATACACGTTTAAAATGTTAAATAGTTATTTTCAATTTAGGTTACCCTTTAAAGAAGAATGCATCCAATCGTTTCGAATAGGACAATTTGAGACATCCCGGTGCATTGGAAGAGTTATCGTTATCATTCCAAAATTGCTTATCCATTCCAACCTTCTGACCAGATTCGGACCAAATCCAAATTAGTCCTGGATTAATGCCACCAATCCAAAAGTCTGTGGACGTAGTTGACGAAGAGGAGGCAGAATCCCTATAAACAAACGTAAGAAATAAAATAATGCTAGAAAATTCTGATAACAAATGAACAGCTCTTAAACTATTGATAGGTCTCTACTTACTTGAAGTTTGAATACTTAACCAAGAACTGCGAGATTCTCAGAAAATCGTCATAATGAACCATCTCAACTAATCGACCCCCCATCTTTCCGCAGTTCCCGTGAGCAGTGGTCCAGTCAAACAGTGGGACTGAGCCTGGTGGGAGGAGGGTGCTCACGTGATAACATTTTCCTCGAATGCCATCAATTTTCACAAAGTTTTTTGGGCAGCTTCCTATTCATGAAAATGGTAAGTTCAATTTGTCTCAAAATCTCAACTTCCCCCAGTTCTCACTCACCTTGCATGGGTGCGTCCTTCTTGTTGGTGAGATGCAACACGACATTTTCCAGGGTCGACAGTCGCGAGTCCAACTTATCAATGCGTCCCACCAGCTTTTCAATAGCGCCGATTATCTGGACGTAGATTTCTGACACGCCGGGTTGTCCTTGTTCTTGTGGGGGTGGTGGTGGGGGTGGTGGGTGCAGGTTGGTGCTAGGCTGCTGCTGGTAACTGGGCTGTAGACCACTTCCCTGGCCAAATTGGTCACCAGTAGGGCTTTGTGGAAACTGGGGTGGATACTGGTTCGTATTTGGATTGTTATTGTTCGGATAATAATTCTGATTTGACATGGGTCTGTAATTAGTAATTTGTTGTGGAGGAGGAGGCGGAGGTGGTGGTCGTTGTTGTCCCGTTAAAATCTTTACAGTTTTGTTGTTGAGTTGATTAAATCGTTCCAAGATGAGGACACGTCCTTCCGGGGTTTGTGATTGTTCCGCAGCGATTGTGCAAATCGTATGCAAAAATAGGGATGAAAATGCACACAATATTATAATGGATTTTGCCATTTTGAGAGATTTTTCTTGAGTAGTCACTAGTCACTTAGCTCGTGGAATGCAACACACTGCTGACAATGAGAAGAAGTATGTATCGTCCTTATTCTTACTTAATGTGCTATGTGGTTTGGTGTGTCCTGTGCTGACTTAACCCTAATTTAGGCAACTTTATGGTTTCGCTATTACTTAACAAAGGTGGTTTGGCTGGCTGCATGGGCAGCAAGTAGTAAAAGTGATTGTGTTGTTTGACTTATGGGAAATCCAGTTGTGATGCAAGCTCTATTTATTGCATTTTCGTTCAGGATATGATATTTGAAACTCATTTGGAATTCCTGGCTTATTTACATAAATACTTTTATGAATTGCATATCCTCATCCTCACTGACAATGCGATGGTGTGAAGTGTAACCCTCCGATTTGGTTGAAATTTCGAAATTAAGTGGTCCATGTCAATACAACCAACGTTTCTTCAGGCAGTTTGTGCGATGGTCAGAATTTGGCGAAATATTTTAGGTTAACGTTGAAAAATGTGCAATTTTTAGCACGGGACGAGAATGGAATTTGAGTTTGCTTCCTCCGCCTGGTAAAAATCGCCCATTTTTCAACTTTCACCTCAAATATTTTGGCAAATTCTGACCATCGCACAAACTGCCTGAAGAAACGTTGGTTGTATTGACATGGACCACTTAATTTCGAAATTTCAACCAAATCGGAGGGTTACACTTCACACCATCGCATTGTGAGAATCAGGTAGGAGGCGGAGGATGCCAAGTGGATGGTGGATCTGGTCTGGTGGATGCTGATTTATGCAGAAATGAGAGCAATGAAATGGAAAGCACTTTCCTCGAAAACTTGTTACAACACAAAACCAAAACTGCCATTTCCAGTTTTCCTATTAATGAATCATTTGTTACGCCACGATGCTGGATGCGAGGCGACCTTCTCGTTAAGCTGGATACACACCACAAACAGCAACAACAACATACGTGAAAAATTGCATAATAAGTACCACTAATTGCAAAACTTTCAATTTATGCAAATACGCATGACTTGATTGATGATACAATGGCTGGAAGAGACGTGATGCGATTTCAGTTTTACTTGTGTACAATTACCGAAAGTTTTTTGCTTGTAAAAAACACAGAATTATACGCGATTAGCATATTTATTGGGGAAAAAATTCAGGATAATGTGCAATAATAATATTCATCAGTTTTTATGACGCATGACTATTTTCATTTTATTATTATGTTCCATTATGTGTACGAGTACATTTTTATTTAAGTAATATTGATTGGCATAGGTCATCGCTATACTAATAATATCAGCAGCATGGCGTACCCAGTAATTAATTGGTAATAATGACAATAGATTATAGCTTATCCATAGCTAGCTTATCCGTACGGTGACCGTATTACAGATTCCAATGCAAACTGACCTATGCCACATTAAATAATTTTAACTATATTTTTTACATTTTGTGGTGTCAAACCATACCAATTCGATTTTATTTTACATGTTCTACACTTTATTATCGATCATAGATTATCTTCTTGTAATTATCCTAACTCATCAAGTCTAGTTAAAAATTGTATGTGACAACAACGATAAGAGATGCATTAATTAATCGTGAATATATTGCCATAACCTAATTTACAGTTAGAGAGACTAATGCGTTGCGCTTTCTCTACATGTTTTGGATTCAGGGTCATTTTCTCCGCATTATGTATGTGCACAGACCATTAACTTAATAAATATATCACTAGAATCCTTCCCGTTTAGCCGTTTGTTACATAATTATTCCGCACACATTTAATTACTTTATTCCCAGATGGGTTTGGTATTTAATGAATGAGAGCTTTTCACGTCAATTTCACAACTACTCAGCAGCAACGTCCTCCTCCTCGTCCGACTTCACCATTTCCACCAAAGAACTCGTAGTCTCCGTGTACCACTGATTACGCGAATCAATCCGCGCAGCAAGTGCTTTCACCGGATTTCTGCTCGACTTTCCACCACTGGATTTCCGTCGTGCCAGAGCAGGAACATTTTTCTTCATTACGAGTAAATCACTTTCTCTCTGGACAAGATTCATTTCCGTATCTGCATTCGACCCGTTCTCACCAGATAAATTAATCCTACTTATTCCACCAGTATCGTCATCATCATCATCGTCGCCGTCGTGATCACCACCATTGGGCAGGATTGAGATTGAGCCCCCTGCTTGTTGCGGAGTGACACTTTTGCCAAAAAACAATTGGAATGACTCATCATCCGGCTGGGGGATGTGGACTTGATGGCTTGTTGTACTTGGGCCACTACTACTACTCGATGGTAGTAGTGCTGGTGGTGGTGGTAGTGGTACTCTAGATGAATTTAAATTACTCTTCCTCCTGTCTGCCAAGCAGATTGAACTGGCATCATTGTCAGGAATATTCCCCAGCGGAGAGGTTCCACTTCTCGTACGCGATGTTGCAAACTGTTGTTCCGAAACTGCTCGTCTCCGTTGTCGTTGCTGCTGCTGGGTTGAAACTGAAACTCTGTTATTTTCAGCGTCATCATCCAATTCATCCTTCGATGAAGTTAGCACTGTTAAAATCTGGAGGAGATTGGAAGTTGTTGGAGGGGAAAGAGTTGGAGGATCAGAATTTGAGTTTGGATTGGATTGTCCCTGAAGATTCGTGGGCTGAATTGGTTCATTGATGACCGTGTTATTCTTGTCAGCACCACGCGGATCAAGGGGGACGACCTGAGGGAAATAATACAAACTTTTAAGCTGAAATTGATTGAGACGGATCATTCATCTATTCTATTTTTTGAAATACAACTTCTTTTACTCACGACGCTATGGCTGGTTACGTTTGTTGTGACTTTGTACGTTTGTTGGGGGGCAAAATGAGCCGGGTAAAAGTTCTCCTGTACTTTCTCCTGCTCGTTACACCGACGCCAGATCTCCTTGCTGAGCAGCGTGGGTTGTTTTGGGGCAGTTTTGAGAGATTTTTTCCGTGCTCTGAAAATAGGTTTTTCATCAATAATAAGATATTTCCCTGATCAAATAAGAAGTCATAAAGATCGGGATCCACTTACACTGGCGAATTTTCATACGATCGCGAAATAATATCCGCAACTTCCTGCCCACCAGACGAGACTTCCCCGTCCTCGGATAAATCATCATTGTTGACGTACATTGACCTAGTTTTCGAACTTCGAGTCGTCGCCGTCGATGCTGTCGCGACCATAAATTTTTGTTGCGAATATTTTGGAGGATTCAGTTCCAGATCTGAGGTGGATCCACGCCTCGTAAAAAATGCACTGTTGTTTTTAACAGGACCAATAACTGCTCTATCTTCCGTGATAACTCTGGGTTGTTGGATCTTCATCGGGAGGAAAGAAGATCTCCCCTGTGGCACCAACCCAGTCGTCGATGCCATAACGGCGGAAGATGAATGGATGACGGGAAATCCCGTTTTAGACGACGACGAAACTACAGGTATGGCGGAGACTGGGAGCAGCAACGGGGTTGGGGCACACGACGAGGACGAGACTGGTTGTTTTCCACCAACGGCAATAAGTTTGTCAAAGAGGTAGACTCGATCCTTGAGGCTTAGTTTGGACGGCTCAACAAGCGAACATTCTCCATCCATGGCATCATCATCCTCGTCAACATCGTCACCTACGGATTTAGACGAACAAATAGATGCAAATACTGTGTGGATTCATACGGTCGGGAAAGTTGAGAAAGCTCAACTGACTGACTAGGAGGTTTGTATGGATAATAAATAAATTCACTAACCCGCGTTGTTACCTTGTCCGAGATGCTGATCTATTGTAATGGAATCATCAATTGTGGCAGTTGCAGTAGCAGCATCTCCATCTCCACAATTTTTTGCTGGCTGGACCTCCATCGAAAGCTGTTGAGACCTTGATCTTCCGCTGTCAGACGGACCATCAGACGGATGTCGATAAGCAGGCGTTGTTCCTCCTGTCAGATGAAGACTTGTTGTCGGATTGATCTTCGTGGTGGGCAAAGGTGAAGCGGCAGACGAAGAAGGAGGGAGTTGTTCGTCGTGGGAATTCTTTCTCCACTTGCTGAACCGCTGATCATGTTCCAACTTCATAAAGTAGGAGGCCTTCTGAGCTACACTGCATCTCTTATTGTTCGTTAAGGTGGAGTCTTCAGCGGTATCATCGAGCAGCACGGCGCCGTACTCTTTATCCTCGCACTCGTCCGTATAATCATTGCCCGTGGTGAAGGTTGTGAAATTTGAATTTGAATCAAGATTTGATGAGCTTTTGTGGCTTTCTCCGCTTTCACTCGCATGATTCTTATCATCGTGCGTAGTAGTAGTAGTAGTGGCATTTGCATTACTATTGATATTTTCCCAACCTTTTCCCCCTTCATCTCCTTTTTTAGTGCCCTTTTCGAAAAACTTTTTGAAAAATATTGGCTGTCCATTGGAAAACTTTGACCAATTTGTACTCCCTGCACTCGGGCTCTTTTTGAGAAAAAAGGGCTGCTGCTGCTGTTGCATCAGTTCTTTTTGTTTTACTCCCATCATGCTCTCCTTTTGTAAAAGTTTCTTAATGAATGAAACGCCCTCAGCATCCGAAAACGAGTCCGCTTTGACCAACGGGCTCTTCCTACTGCTGGTGGACTCAAAGGTCTCAACTTTATTAGCAATGTTGGGCGAGGTGGGCTTAAGCTTCAATGAAGAAGGACTTGGGGGCAGCTGTCTTGCGCTAATTGAGTTATCTGCTACTCCTGCCTTCCCAGACATCCCATTACGACTTCTACTACGTCCGCTACCATCAGAAGATCGCCCTCCACTGTTGCTTTCTCCTCCTTCGCCGTCCCTCCAATCGGCCGCCACTACGTTACTACTACCGTTTGGAATGCTCGCGTGATTATTCGTCGTTAGAATTGAAGGGATCGGCGGAACTTTGTAAATGCAAGTTGACTTGCTGTGCTTGGTCCCTCTTTGATTCTCCGTGACTGAAAATGAGCCAGTAGCACCACCACCACTCACTCCGCCAGACTGCTTGATCTCGGAAGAAGAAGAAGTGTTTATCGTAGCAGGAGGATCTGTAATTGTAATTTGAAAACATTTCCTTCTTGAGTGTACTCAGTCGTGCATGGAAGAGAGAGAGAGAGAGGGAGAGAGAAATGTGTATGAAAGCGTGGGTGGGCTCGTCTGAAGAACCACTTCTTTGCGAGAGAGAGAGAGAGAGGAGATAAATCAATTGTGACTTACGGAATGAAGATGAGTCGACTGGGACGGGTTCATCAGTGAAAGTTCGGTGGTTAAGATGGGATTTCCTCTGGTGGCTTTTGTCCCTACTGGCTCCACCACCATCGTCATCATCACCCTAATGGAAAACACGCACAAAGAAACAAAGTGCAATTTATAATTTCGCAATTGAGCTCTTCCTCCTCTCCTTGCATTACATAACTAATCAATTTGATAGAAGGGGGAAAAGATGCCAGAAAACACTTTATTAAATTGTGCTTTCTCTTCAGGGTCGCGTCATAATAATGATTTTTTATCCATTTAACAACTTACCCCATCAGTTGTTTTACACGTTTTGGGGGAAGATGACACATGGCCAGGATCTGGTTGAGATTGAGATTGGGCTGCTGCAGTTGCTCTGGGACGGAGGAGAAAGTTGGGGACTCCTTTCTCCACAACGTTTCGACGCGATTTTCGTAACTCGTTCGTTCCTCTGGTCTCCCGAGGAGGTTCTAATTTCAAGTTTTAATATATTCATATATATATTTTCGAATTTTAGGAACATATTATAATTTCAGAAACACAAGTAAACAGATACTTTTAAAATTCAAACAAAGCATAAATAGTACCCAGTGGTAAATAATAACAAACACGACTTAATCAATACGTGCACTTGCTTTGTATCGTGTATTTTCTCTGTATTAGTGCTCAAATAAAGTAGCAAAACGACAAATCAAACAAAAGCTCAAACCAATTAATTAAAACCGTGCAAATTATAAAAAGAAATAGAAATAACCAAATTTTTGCTGAAATTATATGTACTTCCGCCAAAATGCTGTATATTTATTTAGCGCTCTGTTCATCACATTTATTGAATCACATAAGTGAAAGTATGCTTTCTTTTAACTTATTTTTCTCAAATTGGAATATTAAAGTGTAAGAAAAATGTAGCAAAAAATAAAAAAATAATAAATTGAAGATAAGATCATAAATTATGAGAAATATATAATTTTGAAAATCATAACTTATGAAGATTTACTACTGTATTTGTACCTTGATAATTTTCTGAACCGAGGAAAGCAACGGTTTAAAATTCTCATCTTCCTCTCCGTCAAAATGTGTCAACTCCAAATTTATACACTACACACACGCTGCCGAAGGAATTGCAGTGGGCAGAAGAGAAGTGGGGCCTGGTTGTGGTGGATCCGTGTAAAGACTTGGCCAAAAATCCGTGGGGGTTTACATTGCGCAAATTGCAACAAAGTTTGAGTGCCAAATATTTTCGCGTATTTACGTATCTTGTCAATTGGGCAGGGCATTACATAAGTGTGCTCTTATAATAAATGAGTGATGGTATCGAGTTGTAGGTGGAGGTCGTCATCATCATTTCGTCCTGGTCGCAGTCGTTCAGAATTTATTGCGACGTTTTACGAGTTCATTTGGTTATTATTATAGAAAGAAGACATCATCAGATGCTCATGTATGTACTTGTACTACACCCAGAGAAGGATTTAGCAGTAGAGAGGATGGAGGAAGAAGTAAGTGACGACGGTAGTTGGTCACAGGATTTTGAAAAGGTCATCATCACGACCTTTTCATGAAAAGACCTAAATGATTTGATAAGAAAATCGGTTATGGTTTAAAAAATCCCAAGAAAAATACGACAACAAGGACACAGAAGAGAAAAATTGGTTATTTGTACTTCCACTCATACATTCGTTTACAAAAGCAGGGTTTAGTTTTTAAATATTTTAAATAATTACTCTACTGTTGCGACTACAATTAAATAAATATTATTACGTGCATTGCACATGCATTTATTTAAGCAAATAATATGTTAGTCAGTCAAGCAAAATGTCCAGTCTCAATTTGGTCATGAAATGCTCCTCTTCCGTCCGACCTTACTTTCCGTTCAGATCTAGGCGTTCAATTTATTTCGTAAATCCGGCTTTATGGTAAGCAGTCGTCTTCGATGGTACAATTTATAGTGCTCTTGAGTTCGTGGGGTGCATTAGGGTCGAATTATACATGCTTAAACTACTTAGTATACGGCAAATCAATCCGTGCAAATTTATATTTTAATTATTCATGCAAAAGCGGAACATGGTGGGTGAGTGAGTGAGATAAGTGCTGGTGAAAATAAAATAAAACAAAGTGCACACACAAATTGGTTAGATAATAATGTCATGATTTTTACATCGTCACTTTTCTTCTTCTTTTGAGGTGGAATAATTAAGTAAGGTACATTTTTATACTTATCTTATCTCGCTATGATTCTGATTATCGATGAAGGTAAACAAAATAATAAGGGCTGTTTCGTCATTACAATAAAATTAACTTAACATAATAACTTTACAATGCAATAAAATTATATAAAGTTTCTCTTAAAATACACATTTCTCAAATAAATTACAATCTAAAATGCAGTTTTCAGTTTCATATTTGACACAATTAATAACGATATGAGCTCATAAAATAATATTATTCGTGTAACTATAAATGCACACTTATTTGGTTAAGCTTTTTGAAAGTATGTATTTGAGCGTGAGGAAACGGACAGAAAAATCAAGAATTTTATTCATATTTTGGTGAAAGCTCTCAAAATTTCATATGTAAATGTCCGTTGACATTTCTTCATGAATGTAAAAGCCAAACCCACAAAAAATCATGTTTGTCAATATATTTCCCAAAATAAAACTGAAAACTTTTTACATGCAACCCCGGAAAGCAACATTTCTTTGCTGCACACTTAATATCCCAGTGCCACGGAATGTGACAAAATAAAACGGGAGCTCGTGTGTACATATCCCAAGTTAGTCTGGTTTCTGTGTACATCACTATATTTCAAATTTGAATGTCTGCAAGAGTTCAAAGATAATGAATGAACTTGTATTTTCGTACGCAGAACATAATTGACTGACAGGAACAGGAGCACTAAATGTGGTGAGTTTGCATGCAGAGAGCATCCCATTTAAATACTACGAATGAGCTCGTCTTTATTTAAACAAGAGGTTCAACAGGCATTTGGCAACGTGTCTTAAAAGAAGTTCCACAATTATTAATGAGCCGCTACTTATACGACATCATAATTTCTGATGTCTTGCTATTCACCCAATTTCTGAAATGTGTATTTAGTAATCCAACAAGATTGAGAGAGCGGACCGAGTTATGTAAAATATGTCGACTCGACGACTTTTCTAATCTCGTGTTCCTTCTTATATAATGAAATGGATACAGAATTTATTTCAAGCTCGCTCAAGTTCCGCACGCGGAATGAGAAACAAAACATTTACAAATTCTAGTTTAAACTCGATTCTGAACGTATTTATTTGTGAATTTGGAGATGGAAACGAGCTGATGATGAGTTTTGTGTGTGTGTTTGTCTAGTGTAAGGCCGGTCGAATCGAAGGTGGAAGCTGTGGGTGATGCAAATTCATTCTTTAGTGAAGTGTGATTAGGAATGGCAATTTGTTGCCAAAACACTTGATAAAGAAGAATGTTGCTGCTGCTGCTCGAACAGAGAAAAAAGAGTTCATAGAACCGGAACTCGACACAAAGCAGGCTTGTTGTGTTGTTTTGTGCTTATGGCATGTTTGTGAAGGAAGCTGAATTTTTAATCGAAATAGAAATAGCGGAGGGAAAAGGGGGTCAGAAGATTGGATGAATGGATGGTGTACAAGAGAACTATACCATTTCTGGTGGTGTGGTCTGATATGATTTATTTTTATCCACTCATCCCTACGCTTCGTGGTGCTATATTATATATGTAGATAGACATGCTTTTGTGGTCGTGGAAAGTCTATTGTCGTAAATATCCCTCCTCGAAATAAATAATGTAAAGGACAAGAACAAGCGGCTGTGGCTGCGGCGCGGCGACATAGAATTATTACGAAATCAAAATAAATGTGCGAAAAAGACGAGGACGGCGAGCAGGATGCCGACCACGGGGAGAAAGTCGAGCTGTGCAAAAGTGTGGATGAAAGCAAGCAGGTAACATGCAACAAGCAAGACGCTGTTCCACTCGGTCAACCAACGCATTCCGCCCTCCACGGCACCACCACTACCACTCGTCGATGTGACCTCACCTTCTTCGGACAACTTCTTCTCCAAGGCTGACATCCCAGAAGGACCGGGCTGACTACTATTACTACTACTCGTCGTGGAGGAACGTCTCCTCGTCTCGACCGGAAACTGGTTATCCGTCTCATCATCAACTTCCGCTTTCTCCGCCGGGATGGAGTTATTATTATTTGGGGAAGACAATCCCTCTCCCTCGGTCACCTTGCCTTCGCCAACGAGGGTAATGGAATCAGTCGTCGTGACGTCGTCGTCTTGGTAGGACGAGTGGGTGGATGAGGACGAGGTTGAGGAATGGTGATGATGTGGCCGTGTCAATAGTGTGATCGTTGTGATTGATAATGGACTCGCAGGTCTCGGACTCGGCACGGATGGCGGACTTGCACTCCCCGTGGAGGACAAACTGCTCCCATGCGACTTGCCCGTGGAGGAGGAGGCACGTCCCGAAGACGTTTCTAGTGCTGGGAGAGATTCGTTTATGGAATCAATGAGAGCACCGATTGAGCCGGGGTCTCGAGACGTGGTGGATGTGATGAATGGCTCATTTTCATTTGATGTCGGATTTATACTAGTATTTGTTGTGGTGAATGTTGAAGTTGAGTAATTTGGGGTCAAATTAGAGTCAGTAATGGTGGTTGTCGTGTTGATGGTGGCATTATTATTGTCAATTCGTTGTTTGATACTGATCTCATCGGAATCACCCTCGTGTCGCTTGGTTGGATGAGTCGTTGTCGTCTTTCTCGAGACGCCAACAATTTCGGGAGGAGGAGATGATTCGCCTTCTCCGAGGAGGAGAGCATCTCTCTGCTTTGACATGTTGTTGTCCCCACCACCACCACCAGATCCACCACTAGTAGCACCACGACTACTTCTTTTTGTTGGCTCATCAATTTGGGATTCTTTTTGTGGAATTTTTGGCACAACCATCCGGTTTCTTTCTGAACTATCCTTTTGTGTCGTCGTTCCTGAGGACGACGACGACGTTGGAATGGGAGTAGGCTTGCTAGCTAAGTTTGATTCAGATTCCGTGTTGCTTCTCAAGTTGAAAAGTTGTTCGTCCTCCTCATGCCCGGTCTCTGCGGAAGATAAGCTGACGTTGACACGGGTTGTTTTGCTTTTGCTATTTGCAGTATCAGGACCACATGTGTCGGCCTGGTAGATAAGCATATCCATCAATGCGTTCAATTCTGCTTCACCCTTTGTGTTCCTAATATTACTGCTTTCTGCTGGTGCTCCTCCTGGAATTTGTTGGGCCGTTTTGTGCTGATGTTGTTTTTCAGATTCCTGCACTCGTTCCCCCTCCTTCTGGTAATTGAGCTCCTCAATTGGATTCGAAGTCGACGAGGAATTGAATTGGCCCAAGTTTATCTGTTTAATTTTCCTCGGAGAGCAGATCGGATTAAAAAGTTTGTTCCCATCTTCGTCCTTCTGATCAAGATGATGATGATGATGATGATCCTTTGGAATATCAGACCAACTTTTTCGTCTCTGGTCATCCTGCTCCGTTCCGTAGTCTGATGCTGAAAGATAGCTGGAAGATATTCGCGATGGCTCGACCCAACTCCCACGACGAGGGTTATATTGACCTGGTAACATGGCGAACGTTGTCGTCGTGGTCGTCGTTGTGGGCTTGCCTTCTGTTTCTGGTGGTGGTGGTATGGTTGTGGAAGAATAGGTTTCCGGGAAATTTGCATAGTTTGTTAACATTTTATTCTGCTGACTGTTTCGATCTTCGGGTGAAGTGGATTTCGACTTGTCTCTCGCATCCAAGAAAACATCATCATCCAACTCGTCCCCAACAGTTTTGTGAGTAGTCTCAAGACTGTTGTTTAGATGAGTCAAAGCCTTTGTGGAGTCATTAATACCGTTGGAATTGACATTAGCATTAGCCGCAGCTGCCTCTGCAGCAGCAATTCGCTCCATTTCTTCTTTTTCAAAAGTCTCAAATATTAAATCCGTCCATGGTCTCCTGGCTTTCGTAGGGTCGTACAAATCCGGAGTTAACTGCACCGTTTTTCTCGGCAGCTTTCTTTCCCAATATTCTGGCTCCTCAGGAAGGAATTTATTATTAGAACCTCCTCTCACGCTGGATTCCACTTGCTCTACCCAACTTGGATCTTGTCGTCCTCCTCCTCGATAGTAGTTGAAAGCCCGATGTTGCTGCTGCTGCTGCTGCGGTTGACTGCCAACAACGCCGCTTCTACTCGGACTAGTTTGACGATGCAAATCCGTGAAGCTGTTCCACTTCCCGATCTCACTCTGATTGAAAGAGTGGTCCATAAAATAGTTGGTAATGTTGGCAGAGAGGGAACGGATCGCTCGCAACTTTTTATCCGATGCGGGCAACGGCGAGTGGACATTGTTATTGTAAGTGAACGCATTACCACTTTCTCTCCCGGATGTTGGGGAGAACAACCTTGGGGTCCAGTCTTTGCTCAGGTTGTTGTCACTGTTCAAATCCTTCCGAAGGTTTCGAAAGGCGATATCGTCGTTGACTAGGTCGGGGTTTTTAGTGGCTCGAAAGAGGGGACGGAGACGATCGGATCGCTTCGAGTGGAGATAGTCAGTCCCTGGTGCGGCGGTAATGGGTCCGAGTGGGATGCCAAATTTCGGTTGGGGGTCGATTATTCGGATAGCGTTGGCCTTCTTGTACTGACGAAAGGTCACGTCGTCCAAGGTGAGGTCGGGCTCGTCCTGGTTGTAGTTGCCGTAAAAGGAGAGAGGCAGCGTTTCTGGGGGGCAGGGTGAGACAGGTGGAGAGAAAGCTGGAGAAAGTATCATGTAAGAGCCCGTTTTCGAGACGACGTTTCTCGGGTCGAGTGGTTGCTTTGTTTCCGGGCTGTCAAATCTTCGTCGAGCCATGTCATCTTGAATGGTGTCAGGTCGCGCTGACCGTCTCGATGGGGGTGCACGAACCCTGGGGTTATTGTTGTCCGAGGAGTAATTAGTCGTCCCACTGCCCCCACTGCCCGTCGTGGAGCTCAGACTGCCCGTCGCGAGTGAGTCAACAGATCCCAGTCTGGGTGGCTGGTCTTCATAGCGGAAAGCTTGTGGGTGGTTTTGATACGAAGGTGGGAGTGGGATGAGCGGTGCGTTCCTCAGTTCCTGGTGGGCGGTGGGCAAATCTCTCCGTTCTGCCCGGTCTAGCAAATCCTCGTCGGACAATCGGAGTGATTTGTACATATTTTCCAACTCATTCAACGCATCCTCTAAATTCCTGCCTGGACTCTTCCCATTGTCCAGTTCCACCAGGGAGCGGAGGACTTTATTGGATTCCTCCTTTGTCTCTGGGGCCGATGGGTTTCGCACTTTTAGTCGCTCACATGCCGAGACTGGAGTTTTTTCTCGATCTGATTTTGACAGACCAGATTCCTGTCGAGACGATGAAGAAGAAAGCGGTGGTGGGTACGGATGATGATGAGGATGGTTGGATGGTGGAGAAGCAGTGTTTCCAAAATTGTCAACCCCACCTCCTCCTTGCTTGTTAACCACGGAGTTTGTAACGGCCATGTACCCTCCTCCACCACCATGCAGAGGAGATCCGTTGTTTGCCATCGAATTATGCCCATGACTAGTCGAGTCGCCGCCGGAATTCAGAATTTTCCGACCCATCCTGACCCCACCGAACATGTGTGGACTCTGAGCCTCCGAAAAGCTGCTGAGAGACGAGATGGACTCATTAGAATTTTGGAGAATGGCTCCTGGAGAGTTTCTCATCCGAGGTATTGGCAACGGGGAAGAGTCTGCGGAACGGATGCGGGTCATATACCGTTTGTGATTGGGATTAGGTCCCACTGCCACGCCAGTCACTTCGGCCTCCTTTTTCCTCCAAAACTCTGACGCACGCATATGCACTGGACTCTGGGCGAGTGGAATTTTACCCGCATCGTTAAGTTTCCTTACGGGAAAGCCCAACTTGGACGTTATGTTCTGCTGCTGGAGAAGGGTTGCTTGTCTGGATTCTTGATTAAGAAGAAGATCTTGCTGCTGCTGGTGGTGGTGTGGATTGTTGTTGTTGTAATAGTAGTCGTTTGGGTGGTGTTGTTGGGCGGGCGTTGGTGTGGACGCATTCCTGCGTAAGGCAGCCGCGTCCCTCATTGCTTGATGTTGAACTTGCAAAACTTCCGGAGGTTCGCTGGGAGATCGGATCAATGGATTCTTATTATTCGGAGGAGGATGAGGATTCAGAAAATTGTTGTTGGCTGCTCGAATATTGTCCACTTGGTCATTATTGGCGTAGTAATAGTTCCCGTTATGCGGATGATGCACCTGCGGTTGGTAGTTTGGTGGTGTTGATTGATTATTATGATGCGTGTCGTAATAATGTCCCCTGGGATCGTTCCCACCAAAGCTCGTTGTTGCGCCATTAATGTTGGCCGGACTTGGACTAGCATTTCTCACAGAAGGGTTTTGGGCATTATAATATCCTGTCTGGTGGTTGTACGTATCGAGGTATGAACATGACACGGGTCGGTAAAAGTTGTTGTTAGTATTTGGCAATAGACGACTATACTCTCGTCGCGGGGGCGGTGGGGGTGGTGGCGAGGCGTTCACATTATTCGAGTAATTCAACTGTGGCGTCGCACTTCGGAATCTGGCCGGTGGCGTGGCGTTATTGGGCAAATTGGCGTAATGAACTTCCTCCGTGATCTGTTGACCACCAGTTTGACCAATTATTGGGACACGTAGCCCAGCCGTGATGACTTGTTGCTCATCCAGCAGCACTGGGTCCAACACGTAGCCAGAGGATGCTGATGGGGGTCGAAGTTGCTGAGATGCTACTTGGTTTCTTGGCAATTTGACAATGAAGGGCGTCTCATTCTCGTGATTCTCCTGCGTGTAGACAACCCTTGCCTCCCAACGTGGCGACCCAGGCGCCTTCCTGACTTGGTGGGGGGAGGAAGAGTTGTTGTTATGGTGGTCAAATTTGGCTGGACTAGAAGGTGCGGATCCTCGACTCGTGACGACATACTCGCCCGCCACCACGGGACGGAAAGGTTGTCCTTGAGGAGGATAATTGTTATTTATTTGGTTACTGTTGAGGAGAATGGAGTTGGAATGTGGACGCTGCCTTCGAGCAACGCCACCACTGCCATTATTTAGATGACCTCTCGACGGCGTCAGGGAGGAGTGGCTCCCTTGAACCGAGCTTCTTGACCGCCTCTCATCTCCGTCGTCATCATCGGAGGAGCTGTCTTGGATGAAACTTTCCCTCCTGGCTACCGCCCTCGCTTTGACGGCCTCCTTCACCGCCGCCCTTGACCCTCGAGAAGAAGAACCCTCCTGACTCAGCGACAGACTGCCCGAGCTCGAGTAATTATTTACCACTTGGAGCTGAGGAACCACTTTCTTTGTGATTTCCCAACTGGGCCAAGGGCCGTTTGAAGACGAGTTGAAGATATTATTGGTAGCAAGAGTATTTCCATTATTCAAGGATTCGGGGCTGGATCCCACTCGTTTCCCGTCGTTCAATTTACTTGGCACCTTCAACAATCCATTACTGCTTGCCTCCACCCCGCCGCCTCCTCCTCGCTCCTTCTTTTTCGCAGCTGCTTTCTCTTTACGACGAGAAAGTCGGCGAGTGAGAAAGTTTTGTTTGAAGGAAACCGGCTGTTGCTGATTTTGGATTTGCTGGTTTCGAACATCGAGTTCAGAATCATCGCTGGTGAGCTCGCTCTCTGAGGGTTTTCCTGGCTGTTGCTGCCGTGCTAGGGAGATTTGCCTTTGTTGCTGCGTGGGAGGAGGAGGAGTAGTGTTGTTAACATATTTATTACCGTTTACACCACCAGCAGGACCGGATGAGGAAACATTCCCAACACTGCTGCGGAGATAGTGTTGCTGAATAAGGTTGGATGGGCTCTGGTGGTTTCGCCTGGCGTAGATTTGTGGACTGCTCAACTGGGCAACGTGTGGATTTGCATAGTGTGGGTGGGTGGAAATGGGTGCATTTCCGGAGTTGGGTGAAGGAGAAGAGCGTGACATTGAACCTCGTCCTCCCATTGGGCTTGACGTGCGATGATGAAGTCCGGATGGACTTTGACTATTAATATTGCCACCACCACCACCAGCAGGAGACGTCGAAGTAGTTTTCACCTTCCTCTTAAAAAGTCCTCCAAATGTCCATTTCTTGTTCGTGTTCGTGTTCCCATTCGTAGAATTTTCTTTTGCAGGGGATGACGATGAATTGACGATTTCATTGTTTCGATTACCACTGGACGAGGAGCGATGCGGACTGGCGGAGGTGGACGAACGTGGCGGCGGTTGTGGGGACGATGTCATGCTGGAAACGAACGTGTCGCGGAACCCTCTCGTCGTCGGGGTGGGGTGATTACCTTGTGTCGGCGGAATTGTGTAGCGATCGGGTAAAGTCCCACTTTTACTCTTGGCTAAATCACGACCACTTCCACCTGAACTGGCGACAAAGAAACCGTTACCCGTCATGGTGATTGTCGGTTTTGTAATGTCCAGTTCCTCCTGTTCGGGTGGAATGGGGCTGGGGTATTGGCGGTAGTGGTGATTCAGCAGATAGACCTGATTCTGCTGCTGGTGATCATCATCGTGATGATACCTTTCCGAAGATGTTGATGGAACTTGTTGCTGCGTGTGAGGGGGATGATGATACCTGTCACTCGGGGCGATGAGTGGGCTTGCTGCCTGTCAAATAAATCAACAAAGACCTTGTTATGAATCGTGAGTGAGTGAGTGAATGAATGAGTGGTGCTTTTTTTGTGCTGCCGACCCCACAAGAAAAAAGTTGGCCTTTGCAACAATTGGAATAATTATGCCGTAGCAAATTCAGATTTTGCAATATCCTTGTATTGTTAGCCAGAATTGTGTTTGCTAGTCTAACCTCCAGCCTAGAGGCGTATTGCATAAGATGCATAAAATATACGAGATGGTACGCAATATTATGTATGCAAATTAGTATTCCAAATCATAATTAATATGTAGATATTCATTCAATAAATTTTACTTTAGTTTTTGCAGCCTCCGACAAATCGCAGGTGGTGGAAGGAAAGGTCTCCCGAGTTATCAGACGAAACTCTGTGTAAATTACACGCACTTTTTTCCTCCACACTCACATCAACGTATTTACACACCTTTATTCCCGTGCATCACCGTATTCTCACTGAATTCGAAAACTTTCCACTTTCAGGAGCACATAAACGCCATTAAAAAAAGAAACCGAGAATAAATGTCCCCAATGTGGCTCTAACTGCGTAAAATAAAAGTTGAGAACCACGCACACAGTCCAACATTGGAGTCCAACATTGCTTTCTCTTCCTCTCTCTCACGGAGAAAGCGCACACCTAGCGAGACGGAAAATGAAGGTGAAGGTGAGACGATTGAGATTCAGAATACTCTCTCCCGTTCCAGAATTTATGTCACTTTAGAGCACCATGAAGTAGCGAGATCACATCCCATTCAATTCCAACAAGGAGATGATATTATTGGATTAGATTCCTACCAAAGCGATTGGACATTGTGTTACACAGACTTCTTGGAGAAACTACACCACTTTTTCACAATTTAATACGATACGTGCAGAAGGAGGAGAAGGTGGATCGTATCACCCAGGGATCTCTCTCTCTATCTTGTAGAATATCTAACGGAATTTTGAGACGTGGAGAAAGCAGGACCAACAACAACCAACCGTCCTCCAAGACGACACCAAGAATCACACTCCACGACCAACTACCAACCAAACCAGAGCAGCCAGCCACGTATGCACGACGACGACGACGTACTTACCTACACCACAACCGAATACCGACTGACTCAAAATTCCTCAAGAGTTTAACTCAGACCGAAACGCTCGAGGTTGTAAATAGAGTACAAATACGATATAGCCCCGCACTCCGAATTCCCCGAGAATTTCAGAGAATCCGAGACACGGGTGGAAGCCACACGTCTCTCTGGCCACGACTGCATCCTTTTATTATTGAAAGTGGATAGAAGCAGTTACAGAAGGCTGGTCGCTGCCTGTGTTGCATTGCACTGGTCGACAACTTTCTTCCTCCTTTTCGTGGTGCGTTGGTAAGTCGTCGTCGTCGTATGAATGATATAATATTCTGTACGTACTCTCGCCTATGTAGGCGCAGATAGTGCATGTAGTCTGGAACAATTTTCTTCCTTGGTGAGTCCATCGTTTCCAGTCAACGTAATCTGTATCTTTTATACTTTCTCCAGTCAGAGAGTGGCCATCCGTATATACAAAAACCGCACTCGGTCGGTCGGCCTTCGTCCTTCCAGACGGATGAAGTAGAGAAGTTTCAAAATTATTCCACTTCTTCTTTAATGTGATTGCGACACTTTTCTGCAAAATGTCTCCCACTCCATGTCATGCCATACAAACGTACTTGCACCCATACACACACACAGCCGGCTGGAGGAGAAGGAGGAAGAAGGAATAAACATCTGCATTTGTAAAAGCGACATAATAAAGGACAAGCTTCTTAACCAGGCTGTATGGAATAATGAACCCGTTTATACACTGGAGGAAGAAAGGTCTTAAATTTAACCCAACTTTAGATAAGCGAGACATAAGTGTGCCTTAAAAATGGTGTAATGGTTACGTACACTTGCCCAATTTACACACCAACCAACCAACCACAAGCAATAAGAACAAACGCCGGTGTGGAAGTAGTTTTACATTTTACACAAAACTCTCTTCAGTCTCATCAGCACGATGCCAACTTGCACAGTCGTCGTATTCATTACTGATACCAGTAAAATTAAAATTATTGACTTGAACTTTTAACCGTATTGGATGGAGGACTAATTTTGATGGTTATTCTGTCCAATTCCAAGCCTCCTGGTTAATTTAAAATGTCGACTATTCACTCGAGCCCATTTCCTTCCTCTTTGGACATAAATAAACCAAGAACCGTTTCCAAACTTCGTCTCTTACTGCTGATTCTTCTTCCTCTTCTTCTTAATTCAACTAGCGTCTGGAATGTCAAAAGTGTCACACTCACTTCTAACTAAAAAGTGAACTGGCAAAAGCCATAGACGCAGCAGCCAAAATAAATTGAGACGAGATGGAAAGAAGAAGAAGAAGGGAGTGTCAAATCAACTCTCAAAGACTTAAAATGGTCACTGCCACACCGTCACCATAAAATACAGAGAGTTACATAGTAGCTCCAGTCGTACAATGTACGTACATTGGTTGTGCATCTGTTGACATCCAAAATCCAATTCCTATCGTCTCGATAAGATAGATATGTACACCCTCCTCGTCATCCTCCTCCTCCTCCTCCTTCCTCCCTTCTTCCTCTTGCACTTTACGATATATGGAACACATTTGCAGCTCAGACAAAAGTCTCCATTTTTGTTTTTTGTTTTTCGTCAGGGAACAAATGTAGAGCGCGTATGAATCTGACAACAAGATCCTTGTTTAAGATGGGCTGCTAAATCTAAATGGAAAAAAGAAACTTTCTCGAGCCCAGCTCTGAATTTGAAGTAGGCATAGACGACGAGAAGGTGCGAGGGTTATCGCACCATTGTGTAATATAGGAGTGAGAAAGGGAGCAAAGAATCTCCAATTTGGGGAGGACGAAGCCGTGTCCTTTATTGAACTACAACGACGACGACGACGAGTGTCATTGCTGATGATAAGTCTTCTTGTCGGGACTAATAAGCAGCGAATTGTGACGAGCACCAGTGCGAAAAAGATGGTAATCTCAATGCGCTACAGTTCAGCATTAAGAAATGAGAGGAATAAGTACAATTACCTCCGAGCTCATTATGTCCTCATTCACTCACCCTTATTTATTTTGTATGAAAATATACGTACAGACATCCACACCCTAGTCAATACACTAGGTTTTGTTTGCAATGGGAATTCTTCCCCCTGCAACAACAGTGAACTATGAACTTGTCTAATTTTGAGGAGGACGCAATTTTTCACACCTTCATCCCATCCCGGAGATTTTCTAGAGGAATGTGAAGAAATCCGACTAGGAAATACTGCCACACGCATATTTTCTTCGGTCACCCGCACAATATTATCCGTCAGGTTGGGGCTTATCCAACTATAAGGAGCCGGTTAGAAAACCATTAAAGTTCAGTCTTCACACAAAATATTCGTCCTATATACGTATCAGAACCACACTATTTGTATGTACATACGTGCGTACGTGCGATTCTGCAGTGGCGTCTAGCTAAAATGATCTTCCTCCAGGAAACAACTCCAGCCGTATTCTAAATAGGATTCGTGTAAGCGGTGTGGTTTTTAACACTTTTGAATCTCACCCACAATATCCTGGCACTTTTCCACGAAACTGCAAGAGCTCGGATTCTTAGTAAACTGAAATGCTGACAAAATATCACTCTCCAGTGAATTGATGCAAATAACTACAAAACAGCCAGCAGAACCGTGACCAAGATCTTCCAACGGTCTTAATCGGTTATGGGATTTCGTAAATCTTGCAAAAATATGTAATACAGGACACGAACCATCATCGACTCCTCGTACATACGACGACCACGTTCGTAAAAGTTCTCTAAAAGTTGACTCCATTATTATTGAGTAGGAAAAAAAGATTATTTTCAAAATCTCAAAACTTTTAGGTGATACGAAGAAGCACAAAATTCTACGAATCTCTCCTGCGCTTTTTTTGTGCCATGCTCTAAAATTCTCTGTATTTGTTATTCCTGTCCTCAACCCCACACGGCGAGGACGTGACGATGAAATGAGATTTTATTTTTACTAGTAGGTGACTTACGTAACGAAACGAAAAGTAAAAACGGGTTCAGTTGACCCAACCAATTGTGTCAACATTACATTCATACGAGAAATCGCAAAAGAGGTATATACGCATTCGATAATAACGATCCCTAAAGTTTGCGTGGGTGGAAATTTCACTTTTACAATAATAATATTTCCAAGTTGAAATACTGCCTCTCCAATCTGGCCAAGTCTACGTAGTTGATATTATTTAGCTACACATCTTCAGCGAAATAGAAACATCATGTTTCTCGCTGATGTGGATAGGAATATGTACGATGAGAAATGTACGATTCCCTTGGGCTTGTATAAATTACACCGAAACGAGGAAGTTCACGGGGAGAAAACCGAAACCAACATCTTCAAAAATGATATATAATGCATGGAGGGAACAAGTCTCGCTCTCGCATTTTCATACACACACCAAACTCGTGGAAAATGTAGGAAAATGTATTATGTTTTCCTCTTCCTCCTTCCCGATGGTGATTAAAACATCAGAAAATGCAGAAAATAATAATAAATACGTTTATCTAGCTCGTTCACGCACAAGCTGGAATTTTTTCCGCTATAAATAACTCACCCCAATAATTTCAAGATTATAATTTCAAGTCTCCTGATTGTATGTTATGAATTTTAATGTGCGTGTAATAAATACCTCATCATTTGGCAGGACCTCGTCGTCCTTGTCGGCATCTTTGCTTCGATTGGAAATCAGTATGACTTGTGGTGGTTGATGAGATTTTTTATGATTCGGCCTCCGCTCACAACTGCAGCAACAATCCATCCTAGCTTAACTTGGTTTCAATTGAAAACTGACAAGAGATGACCAAATCGTTGGAAAATTGGTTTGTAATTAGTTTCCAATTACAGTACAACACCCAACGAAACCAAATGCAGTGGGACACTGAACATAATGACGATAAAT